CGGGCTCGGGTACGGGAAGTCCTGGATGTCTGCCAGGTCCGCCGGGGGGGGGTGTGGGGAAAAACGACCCGGACAGCGCCTGGGCCTTTTCGTCGGGTTCAAAGCATATGCCGTTGGGGCCCTGGATCGGTGGTGTGTAGGCCTGGTATCGAGCTCGGTCCTTGCACCATCGGGAGAGATTCCAGAGCTGCCGCGGGTCATCCGCTGCCTGCGTGATGCGGTCCCGGTGGGCGGTCTCCCGGAACCGCCGGATCCTCTTGGCCGCTGCCTTTTGTTCCTTGTTGGCCCGCTTGCGGAGGCTGCGCGGAGCTTCGGTGCCGTGGGTCTCCCGGTGCTTCATGACCTCTCGTCGCAGGCGTCGTGCCCCTTTCTGCAGATCTCTGCATTCTGTGGTGAAGCCCGGTTTGGACATTGCCGTGGGTCGTGACCATGGGGTAGACTTTTCAATAGCGGTGTCTATTACCGTGATGATAGCCTTGACATGTTGGTCGAGCGTGTCTTGATCCGCGTGACTTGCTATTTGGGGGGGCAGACTGTCCTGCACTGTTTGTCTGAGGATCGCCGCGTCCATGGCTTTCCAGTTGCGTCTCTTGGCCGGTTCCCGTAGGTTTGTGGCAATGTTGAATTCTGTTTCAATCGGGAGATGGTCTGACAGGCCCGCGATGTGTTCCGCGTGTCGTACATGTTGGATCTGGGGCTGCAGGTTCCACGTCGTGAAGCATAGATCCGGTGTGGTTCCCAGGCTCGGGCATGCCAGCGTCGGGGTGTTGTTTTATGGGTGCCGTGGCATCCGCGTGGTCGGGCTGGGTACGCCGGTGTCGCCCTCGGTGGGGCCGTGTCAGTAGTCCTTTTGGGGTGACTATCGACAGTGGCACCTGTTCTAGGACCGTCCGTAATTCCTCCGCCCGCCCCGGGTTGTGGGTGCCCTGTGGTTGGTCGCTGCGGGACCAGAGGGGATCGTGGATGTTAAAGTCACCGACCACGATGTGCTCGCTGTCATCCTGGTCCCCGGTTTGCTGAAAGATCTTGCGGAGTTCGGCCACGCCGTTGTTTTGCCGGGTCTCCGGCGGGTTATATATATTGTGGATATATACCCGTGTGTTGGCCATGCGGATATATATCGAGAGGGCGAACTTGCTGTAGTGGCAGAGCGTGTAGTCCAGATCCTTTCGGACGTAGGTGCAGACGCGTGGGCGGTCAGGGGCCTCGATCGTGGGCCAGATGAGGTCAAAGTGGTTGTAGGCCTCGCGGGGGAAATGCGTGGTAAGTCCGTCTGGGTGCACCCATGGCTCCTGGATCGCGATGATACTGTAGTCCAGGATGCCCGCGTCCCGCAGCAGTGGCGCCATGACGTTATCCAGAGATTTCTCCACATTGTACTACAGGATTCGGAGTCTGCCGTCTGCTCCCGTCGCGTCCTGGTTAGGTGGTGCCGCGCATTGGGACGTTCTCCTTGCCTCCGGCGGTCTTCGACCTCCTTTTCCCTTGCGTGGCATCTGGTGGCGTGTATGATTTGACCGACGCGATTGGTTTCCGGTTGCCAGTGAGGCCGAGGGCTTGCATCCGTTTGCTGTGCTCGCTCTGCCGGTTGGTAGTCCACCTGGCTCGGGTCTTCGCGCGTGGGGCCTTCAGCGCCTGGGTTGTGTCTCCCGCGCGGGGGTGCTGCGGGTTTGGTGTCCTGGTCGGCGCGGTGTTGCGGCCGGAGTCCGAGCTCGGGCTGGCGTCGGAGTTGGGGCTGGAGTCGGAGCTGGGGCTGGAGTCGGAGCTGGGGCTGGAGTCGGAGCTGGGGCTGGGGTCGGAGCTAGCGCTGGGACAGGGGCTGGGGCTCGCCCTGAGGTTTCTCGGGGATCGCCGCTTCTTCCGTGGCGAGCTGAACGGAGACACCGTTACCGCGTGGTGGTCGGAGTCGGACGCGGAGGATTGCCGCGCGGAGCTGTCGCTCCCGGAGGAACTTGGTCTGTGGTCCTTCTCCGCCTCGGACGTCTCGGAGTGCTCGGGGGCGGAGGGGTCCGAGTCACTGCCCTGCGAGCTCGGCTCCTGGTCGGAGCTCGCGGTGTTCGCGGCCGCGGGGTCCCGCGGCGGGTCGGAGCGGACGTGGACCTGGTGCCGTCTGGTCAGGACCGTCCGCCGGAGGGACGAGGACCGGGTGGTCGGGGTGCCAATGCGGGGGGTTGGCGTGGTGGGTAGGTAGATTTCCGTGCGGGCCCTCTTGGCCGCGCTTCTCGGTCCCTTTGCCTTCCTCTTGGAGCCCGGTTGGTACGTGGAGTCGTCCGTGTCTACCTCCGCCGAGCTGGACGCGTGGTGCTCGGTGGGCGGTTCGGTGGGGGACTCGGCGTCCGTGTGGCACGGGGTGTGCCGGCAGGATCGGGGATTCTCCTCTGGCTCTGGGTAGAGAGTGGGCTTTACTCTTCGGTATTCCTCCACTCTTTGCAGCACGGTTTGTCGTGTGGGACACGCTCCATTATTGGCCGCATGGGGGCCGTTGCAGTTTGCGCAGACACGGAACTGGGATGCACTATGAGGACAGTTAGCCTTGGGGTGTTCTTCAGCGCAGAAGAGACAGGAGGGGGGAGAGGTGCAGCCACGCCGGACGTGTCCGAAGTGTTGGCATTGCACGCACTGCACGAGACGGGCCCTCGTGTCGTAGATCTCGGTCCGGAAGGCCTGCTTCCGCAGCACAAGCTGGTTCCGCAGGAGTGCGTTGGCGTCGCCGGCCCGGTGGAAGCTCACCACGAGGGAGCCCTTGGCCTTGGCCTTGGTGCCTCGTCCTCGGCGCAGGTCCCCGGCCCACCCGATGTGGATAATCCGGGCGTCGGGGACCAGCGATCGGTTGTCGCGGAGGACTTCATCCCGGGCCGTGCCGTTGGTCAGGCTCTCCGCGGGGAACCAGTTGCGTGGGACCGCGTGGACCATGACAGGGAACTGGTGGTTGACCACCCGCGCCTTGGCGCCCTGGAGGAGTCTAGGCAGCCAGGCGTGGGCCTCCGCCACCAAGCGTTCGCCGTCCGTGTGAGATACAGTGTAGAAGTCCACGTCTCCGCTGGGGTGGACCTGCGCCGCGCGGATGGACACCCGGATCCCGGCCAGGTCAATGGCGTGTTGTGCGTCGCCGACGATGGTCTCCGGCGTGTGGGAGCGGTACGGGGCGTGGGAGACGTCCCATCGGACCCGCACCTTGTCCTCGTGGGCCGGCGAGAGGGTGGGCGGAGGGAGAGAGAGTCCCAGTCCGCCCTTGTCGGGCACATCACGGTCTGACCGGGGGTGGGGGGGGAGCGGGAGGGGGCGCGTCTGCGAGGGGTGATGGCGAGGCCGTGTTGCTTCCCGGGGTCGGCGGACTGTGGGCGAGCAGTCGGTCCAGCGCGCTCTTCAGGCAGGATCCCATCTCCATGGTGGTTCGATGGTTGCGGATCAGGCCCTCCGTCTTGACTAGAATGAGTGTGGTGTCGATTGCGTCTACCAGTTGTCCCAGGCGGTCCGTTGGCAAGCGGCTTTTTGGTCTCTCCCTGATGCAGCGGCGCAGATCCTGGCAGTGTGTACGTAGGATGTTCATCGCTTCGACGAGGTTGTGGTCTGTGATGACCGGGGGTTCCGGCCAGGACATGGTTGCTTACGCTTCCTGTCTGTGGGGTGTGTCAGAAGTCTTGAGATCACCTGGTGGGGGGGTGTCGGGGGGGGGAGGTGACTGAAGTGTCCGTGACCCACGCGTTTGAGGATGTCCAATGAGTCCGACTCCTGGTTCACACCGCTGGTGGTCGTATGAGCTGCCAAGGTGACGACGTGTCCGATGACGGTAGTCTTGCGACGGTAGTCAGGATGTGGAGCACTGTGTCTAGTGATTCAACGAGTCTGCTTTGTGCGGCGGTGTCCTCTTTATGTCTGGGAGTCCCTCTCGCAGGCGTTGAAGAGTAGTAGTAGTAGTAGTAGTAGTAGTAGTAGTAGTCCTCATTATCCTGTCCTAGCTTGCCTAACTAACTGGCCGCCATGCAGGGTTGAGCGGAGCGCCGCTCCGCTCGGAGAAACCCGCGCCCCGCGCGGGGGGTGGCCGCCGCAGCGGCCGAGTAATACAAACATGTCAAACAAAGGAAACAAACAACACAAACAAAAACTCTAATAAGACTTCATCCCGCACGTCTTGCAGGGACTGCGTGGAACTGCCCGAGCAGGCCTGTCTTGGCCATAAACTCCGCCACTGATACAGCCGCCTTTGGATTGTCGATCAGCTCCCAGAACTGCGTGTTAGTAGGGACTCTCCGCCGGCCAAGCTCGCAGCGCAGCTCGGCGCGGAGCTCAGTCAGGAGTGGGCACGCCATGAGGATATGCTGCGGGGTTTGATCCCCGAGGCCACACCCGCACCGCGCGGTATCCCGCACCCCTATCCGGGAGAGGTATTGGTTCAGCCCGACCCGCCCCGTGCGGAGTTGCATGAGTACGGAGGAGGTTGCCTTCCGCAGCCTCTTCCAGTACTTGAGCATCCACGGGGCCGCGATAAGCCGCTTAATTGGCCGGCTGGTCTGTTCCTTCTCCCATGCGGCGCCCCCACAGCTGCTACACCTCTGCGCGGATCCTGCGCTTGGCCGCGGCTCCGAGCCATAGCTGGTCCCCGGTGAGTCTCTCCACTCCAAACCGTACCCTCCGCTCCAGCGCGCCGGCGTGACTCTGCGCCAAGGCTACTCCCCGCAGGGCGGCCTGCTTGGGAAGCTCGTCCACCTCCTCGTTCCCAGGGATTCCTTCGTGGGCGGGGATCCACCGCAGGGTCACCTGAATACCCTGCGTGGCACACCACTGCAGTTTATCCAGGCACGCCTGTAAAAAGGCTTGGCCAGATACTATGCGGGGCTTAAGCAGGGCTTTCAGCCCCGCCTGGCTATCTGAGAAGATCGTAACCCCCTTTTCCACCCGCGCCTTCTACCGGGTGATGTCTCGGCACTGCTTGACCATGCCCAGGGCCATGTTGACTGCTTGGAGCTCCGCCGCGTAGACCGTCGCCGCTGTCTCCGGCCCTAGGTAGGTCTTGGTGCAGGTTGCGAGGCAGGGGACTGCGGCTCGCTCCCGTCCGTGTACATGGCCAGTTGTCCCTCTCTTTCAGCCTTCTCAGGGGCTTTCCGCGCGTCCTCTCGTTCCTCGATGATTACCCCCGGCGGCGGTTGCCACGGGGGCTGGAGGAATGCCTGCCTGCTCTCCCACCTCCCGGCCAAGGAACCCGGGGGAGCTTGCAAGCATCCTCCCGCTCCCGCTGCTTCCGCCTCCATGGGGGTCACGCCTCCCAGTCGCCGTTCGTTATGGGGTCGGTTCCCCCGCGCGGAGCGGGGGAGGGCAAGGGCTGGTCCTGTTTGGACGCGGATCAGAGTTTCCTTGATCATCCGTTGCATCTTTATTATTATTATTATTATTATTCATTCATACTCGCTTCTGTCAGCCTATTGCCGAGTGGCGGAGGTCATCAGTTGACGGCCAGGCTACCGCCGATATGTTCACTAAGTACATGAAGTCTTTAGGTCCCATATTCCCATCCCGGCCAACGCAGCTCGCTCCTTCGCAGACACCATTAGTGGGGGTGCAGGGAATACCTACCTGCCTACCTTTGCCACTTGATACTGCCCGAGCAGGCTTGTCTTATGAACTCAAACCTAGCTGCATTAGCTCCCGACTTCCACCTCCCTGCCGAGCTCGCCCGTCGCCTGGTACAGGCCTGAGATGTCTATTTCGTTGTTGTCCTGCACCGCTGACCCCGAAGGGCCTGCAGCTCTGCCGGTCTCTATATGAATATATTCTCCGATTACTCAGTAAGCCCCCTACCCTCCTGTTGGGGCATCTTCTATATCCTCCGCTTGGTGGCCCGTACCACGGGCCTGCATGATAATAGCATCGTCTAGGCCCCTGAATTGGCCGAGGAGCCGTGTCTGTAGCATGTACTGACATGCCTGCCGCGCCAGGGCCGGGGTCCGAAGGATCACGCGGTAGTCCGTGGCGCGGCCGTGTTTCCACAATGTGTTTGACCGCAGGGTTGCATGGCGTTGGCATGCGGTAAGTACGTGTTGGACTGACTGCGGCCCCCGACTGCAGGGGCACGCAGTAGATTCCATGGCGTTGAAGGTGCCGAGGTAGCCCGCTAGGGCGATTTTCCCCGTCTGCATCTGGATCAGGACCGAGCTGTACGCTCGGTGGAGCCCCTCGTGGAGCTTGAGCACGTCTTTCGTGGGTTCTGTCAGGATATGCCGCGCGTGGAGCCCCTTCGAACCGGGTCCCCACGCGGCTTTCCACGCCTTGGTGGCTTTGTCCCGCAGGAGCCGGCGGCAGGAGGCCACCAGGCGCGTCTGGGGGGTGGACTCGGTGTGGCTAGCCGCGATGGCGGCAGTTTTGGCCAGGGTGTCTGCGTGCTCGTTGCCCGTCATCCCTTCGTGGCCGGGCAGCCACTGCGCGTGGAGCTGCCCGCCGCGGGCGTGGAGGCGGTCAATTTGGCCGATGATACCGCGGACGAGGTATTGGCCGGACTGGCGCCGGTCCGGCTCCGCAAGGGCTCGGATGGCAGCTTGGTTGTCGGTGAAGATGGTCAGGTGTCGGTAGGGTTTGTCTGCGGCGAGCTCCAGGGCCAGAGCGACCCCTGCGAGCTCGGCCGCGTATACCGTGTGGGTGGTTTCTTTGCCAAGCGGTCTGACGGCCGTGACCGTGCCTGGGTCCGAGGCCAGTACCGCGGCCGCTCCGACGCCCCCTTGGTGGCCGCTGCCATCGGTGTACGCCCTGGGGGCGTGCGGTGGCGCGCAGCGGTGTTGTTCAATAGCCTCCTCCCGAGTGGCCGCGATGGTCGTGCTTGGTGGCTCCCACCAAGGCGGTACGACCACCGGCTGAATGGTTTCAATGGCGAGCGGCTGGTCTGGGTCCTCCCCGAGGTCCCTTGACAACCGTCTCTCCAGCCGTTGCAGGGGGGACATGGTGGGGTCAGTGTCAGGTCGGCGAGGATTCCGCGTGGGCACCCTGTCTCTGATGGCGCGCAGTGTTTGGTAGAAAGGTGAGGCTAAGATTCGCAGGCAGCTGTTCTCGGTGGACCGCTTGGCGGAGATCTGCGGTGGCGGCACGTAGAGGCATACCTCCAACGCGGCGCGGGATGTGGTTCGGAAGGCGCCTGCAATCCGGTACAGCGCCCCATGTTGTATGCTTTCGAGGGCTTTCATGATCTTGGTCTCGGCGCTCTTGTACCCCTGCGACCCCCGGATGAGCCACGCGGAGCTCCCATAGAGGATCTGCGGGGTGAGTACCGCGGTGTACATGCGTCGAAGGTTGGTCAGCGGGACCCCCCACGTGGAGCCCGCTATGGAGGCGAGAGCTCCCGCGAGCTGGGCTGCCCGAGTGCGTATGTGGTCCAGGTGGGCGGTTCCGGAGAGGTCTGGGTCCAGGTGGACCCCGAGATACCGCAGGCTCTTGGTCGGCTGTATGGTGGTTCCCTGAATCCGCAGGGGTCGGTCGAGTTCCATGTCGTTCGGGTTGATCCTGCGCGTAAGGCGCGTGCGGGTCTCCCCGCGGAGGGCGAGCAGCTGCCGCTGCGTGGGTTTCTTGGAGTGAGGGGTCTGGCGGACCATGTGAATGAGTCCATACTTAGCTATAGAGAACTTGGACGCGTGGGTCCGTTCCCATTGCTCGCATCTTTCGTGTACTTTGCGTAGGCGCATGTAGTTCTCCCGTACGGTGATACCCCACGTGAGCAGACAGGTGTCGTCGACGTACCCAAGGGCGAGTACCCCATCGGGCATGCCCTCGAGCAGGTCTGCGTTGTAAAAGAGGTAGAGAATAGGTGATAGAGGAGACCCCTGGGGGATTCCCGTGGCTATGTCTGACTCGGCCGAAGCCCCTTCTTGGAGAAGAATAGCCGTGCGCCGGCTGGTCAGGAAGCTCGCGATCCAATTCACCAGGGCCGCCGGGACGCGGCGTTTGCGTAGGTTGTGTAGAAGTCGTCGGTGAAGCACGTTGTCATAGGCCCCAGAGACATCCAGGGTGAGCAGGGTGGCCACTGGGTAGCCATCCCGCCAGGCTGCATGGACTTGCTCCTGTAGAAGATGCAGGGCATGCTCGCAGGAGCGGCCCCTGCGGCCGCCGATATGATTCTGGGGCAGCAGTGCGTACTGTTCAACCAGATAGCTGATTCGCGAAGCAATGATAGACTCAAAAACTTTGCCAATAGTGCTCAGAAGCGCGATTGGTCGGTAGTTCTTCGGGTTGGTATAATCGCCTTTGCCTGGTTTGCGAAGAACCACTGTGTTTGAGCGGCGAAAGTGCTTGGGGCAGTATCCCACCCGCAGGCACCAGTTGAAGATGTAGTCAAGATGCGGCTCTATCATGGGAAGCACCTGCTGCAGCGCCCGGTTTGGCAAGCCATCTGGTCCTGGGGCCTTGCCTGGTGCGGCGCGCAGGATTGCCCTGCGGATCTCCGGGAGGGAGATCAGGGGCGCTGGCAGCGGTTGAGGGTATTGATATCCAGTGATATCGGTCATGTCTGCAACGCTGACTTCGGGGAACAGCACGCGTTTAAAGAGCTCGGCCTTCTCCTCCGCGCTGTCTACCCTGGTATCTGGTTCTGCGTTGGGATCCCTCAGTGTGGGTGTGTATGTTGGTCGGGGGGCACCCCGTGATCGTGCCCACCGGCTCAGCCGCCAAAACCCGTCCAGAGAGGTCGAGGCCTCCTCGACCCTCTCGCGGTGCATATTCCTTGATAGCTTGATCATCTCCCGATCCGCGTGGTGTCTTGTCCGCCGAAACTCCTCCCATGCTTCTTCAGTTTCGGCTGATTTCGCGTGTCGTCGTGCCTGTTGTACTTGTTGCTTGAGTTGCTTCATCTCCGGCGTATAGCCGGGTCTAGTAAATGTGGTGATTGTCTTTTTCGGTGTGGCCGCGTTGGCCGCGGCGGTCAGGGCCCCTACCAGTCTCTCTACCTCTGCGTCGATGTCCGTGGCGGCTCCCACCGGGGGCAGGGCCGCGCCCAACGCCTTCCGGTAGAGCTCCCAGTCCGTAGCCGCCCAGTCCCACCGGGCGGTCTTCGGGGTGGCCGTCGGCCGCAAGTCCAGCTCGGTCAGGATGGGGACGTGGTCCGCCCCGCGGTACCACCAATCCCGCCGTGGGGTGCAGCTCACCAGCCGGTCTGCCAGCTGGGGGGTGGCCCACGCCAGATCGAGTGTGGTCTGCGTGCCGGCCTTCTCGTAGGTGACCGTGTTGGTGGGGAGCAGGAGCTCGAGCTCGTGGTCCACCGTAATGTCAATCAGCTCGTCGGCTTGGGGGTCACTCTTGTCATATCCCTGCGGGTTCCACATAGGGTGGTGCAGGTTGAAATCCCCCACTACCAGGTGTCCCCCGCGGGGACTCCTGGCCAGGACCCGACGCAGATCCTGCAGGGTATGGTCGTATTCTTGGTGTGAGGCCACTCCGGGATTATATATATTGTGTACGTGGACTGTACCGGTGTGCATGTATAAGGTCAACGTGCTCAAAAAGCACGTGTGGTGGCGGATCGTCCATGACTTCAGGTCAAGCGTCTTGCGTATAAAGAAGCATACCCACGGCTTCTCCTCGTGGTCCCGAATAGCGACATGGAATTTACCGCCCAGGGCCTGCGAGTAGGTGGCCACCGCTCCCGTGTGGCGGTAGACCACTGGTTCTTGTATGGCTATGATATCTGTACTTTGCACCTCCTCCTCACCAAAGAGATGCATCATGACCGGCTTGCTGGTCCAGCAGTTGGCCTGCAGGACCCGCAGCCTCTGTGGTTGTTTTCGGGTCCGTTCTAACATCCTTGATAGGTTGAATCATCGGCGTCGTTGTCCATGGTCGTTGCTGCTCCGCTCAGCTCATCCTCTGACTCCTCCTCGGGGGTCTTTCTGGTACTGCGGTGCACTGGTGGTACCTTGCGTACCAGCTCTACCCTCGGCTGCTGGCTGGTATCCAAGTCCACGTCCATGGTCTCCCTGTCCGTGCGTTGTTTCTTCGACCGGGTGAAGTCCTGATCCTCTTCGAGGGCTGCATTCGTCCGGCTTTGGCGTCGCTCTTGGGGAGGGGCCCGGCTCTTGCTGCGGTCGTGGGGAGGAGCTCGGCTCTTGCTACGGTCCTCTTGTCTGTGGCTTTGGCTTTGTGTCGCGGTTGCTTTTCGGCTTGTTCGGGACCGTGCTCGTTCCGCAGGCTGCTCTGGCTCTGCTTGCGGGTCCGCCGGTGGCTTTGCTTGCAGCTCGGCTCGCGGCCCTGAGACTCCATCCAGCGTGGTGTCCATCTCGTGGTCCCCCTTCCCCCCAGGTCGTCCCGACCATGGGGTCTCGGGGAAGTATTGCGGGCCCATGGCCCGCTGCATGCGGATCTGCTCGATTCGGGTCTTGCGGTATTTGCACTTGCGGTCAAACGCAAAGTGGGCACCCTGGCATAGGGCGCATTTGGCATGTTGCTTGTCGTTCTTGTGGGTGCAGTCGTTGGTATCATGCGTGCCGGCGCAGTAGGCGCATGCGCGGGACTTCCGGCAATGATGAGCAACATGTCCGTATTCCTGGCAGCCAAAGCACTGCTGCATCTGCTGCTCGCGGTCGTACCGGGAGACATCATGGCTTTTCCCGCCCAGGATGGCTCCTTGGCGGATCAGCACGTTCGCGGCGCGGTCGTTGTCTAGCTCGACCACCAGCATGGAGGATTTGCCCTCGCGGGTGACCCGCTTCCACGGCTGCAGCCACCCCACATACGTGATCTCCGTGGGCGTGGCCGCCAGCCGGGGGGCGTTGTCGGCCAGCAGCCGCTCCGCCACCATCCGCTGGTTGGGCTTGTCAAAGCCCACCGACTTCACCTCCACGTAGTGCAGCACCACGGCGTGGCCCTGGCGCTTGACCATGGCGTCTTCGCCGAGGGCTTTCACCCACGGGGCCTGGGTCCGGCTGAGCTGTTCCATGTCGTCCACGTGGTGCAGGGTCAGGACCACGTCGCCGCTGGGCAGGACGCGGCCGGGTGCTGCCGAGCGGCGACGTGGTCCTGACCCTGCACCACGTGGACGACATGGAACAGCTCAGCCGGACCCAGGCCCCGTGGGTGAAGGCCCTCGGCGAAGACGCCATGGTCAAGCGCCGAGGCTACGCGGTGGTCCTGCACTACGTGGACGTGAAGACCGTCGGCATCGACAAGCCCAACCAGCGGATGGTGGCGGAGCGGCTGCTGGCCGACAACGCCCCCCGGCTGGCGGCCACGCCCACGGAGATCACGTATGTGGGGTGGCTGCAGCCGTGGAAGCGGGTCACCCGCGAGGGCAAATCCTCCATGCTGGTGGTCGAGCTGGACAATGACCGCGCCGGGAACGTGCTGATCCGCCAAGGGGCAGTCCTGAGCGGTAAAAACCACGAGATCTCCCGGTACGACGGCGAGCAGCAGATGCAGCAGTGCTTTGGCTGCCAGGAATACGGACATGTTGCTCATCATTGCCGGAAGTCCCGCGCATGCGCCTACTGCGCCGGCACACATGATACCAATGACTGCACCCACAAGAACGACAAACAACATGTCAGATGCGCCCTCTGCCAGGGCGCACACTTCACATTCGACCGCAAGTGCAAGCACCGCAAGGCCAGGATCAAGCAGATCCGCGTACAACGAACTATGGGCCCGCATTATTTCCCCGAAACCCTATGGTCGGGGCGGCCGGGGGAGAGGGACCCCCACGACACCAACCAAGACACGGACACCGCACCGGATCACGCCCCGGCGGCTCAGCCAGCCCAAACCGGACCGCAAGCGGAGCCGCGAGCAGAGCCGTAAGGATCGCAGCCCGAACCGCAGGGGCGGGCGAGGTCCCGAACAAATCGAAAGACAACCGCGACACGAAGCCAAAGCCGCAAACAAGAGAACCGCAGCAGGAGCCGAGCCGCCCCCCAGGCACGGAGCCAGAGCTGAGCACAGAACCGAGCGCAGAACGCAGCCCTTGAAGAAGAGGAAGAGGAGGATCCTGGCTTTATTCGGTCCAAGAAACAACGTACAGACAGGGAGATCATGGACGTGGAAATAGTCACCAGCCACCAGCCCATGGTGGAGCTGATAGACAAGGTTCCATCAGTGCGCCGCAGCTTGAGAAAGACCCCCGATGAGGAGTCCGAGGACGAGCTGAGCGGAGCAGTCACGGCGACCACGGACAACAACCCCGATGATTCTACGTATCAGGGATGCTAGAACCAACTCAGAAACTATCACGGAGGCTGCGGGTCCTGCAGGCCAACTGCTGGACCAGCAAGCCGGTCATTATGCACTTCTTCGGAAAGGAGGAGGTGCAAACCACAGACATCATTGCCATACAGGAACCGGTAGTCTACCGCCATACGGGTGCGGTGGCCACCTACTCGCAGGCCCTAGGCGGCAAGTTCCATGTTGCTATTCGAGACCACGAGGAAGAGAAGCCGTGGGTATGCTTCTTCATACGCAAGACACTAGACCTGAAGTCATGGATGATCTGATACCACACGTGCTATCTAAGCACCCTGACCCTATATCTGCACACGGGCACAGTCCACGTGCATAATATATATAACCCCGGAGTGACACCTCACTAAGAATATGACCAAACCCTGCAGGATCTGCGCCGGGTGCTCACCAGGAGCTCCCGCGGGGGGCACCTGGTGGTAGGAGACTTCAACCTACATCACCCCGCGTGGAACCCGCAGGGGTACGACAAGAGCCACCCGCAAGCCGACGAGCTGATCGATATCACGGTAGATCACGAGCTAGAACTCCTGCTCCCCGCCAACACGGTCACCTACGAGAAGGCTGGCACGCAGACCACACTCGATCTGGCGTGGGCCACGCCCCAGCTGGCAGACCGGCTGGTGAGCTGCAACCCACGGCGGGATTGGTGGTACCGCGGGGCGGACCACGTCCCCATCCTGACCGAGCTCGACCTGCGGCCAACGACCACCCCGAAGACCGTCCGGTGGGACTGGGCGGCCACGGACTGGGAGCGCTACCGGAAGGCGTTGGGCGCGGCCCTGCCCCCGGTGGGAGTCGCCACGGACATCGACGCAGAGGTAGAGGGGCTGGTAGAGGCCCTGACCGCCGCGGCCAACGCGGCCACACCGAAGAAGACAATCACCACATTTACCAGACCCGGCTATACGCCAGAGATGAAGCAACTCAAGCAACAAGTACAACAGGCACGACGACACGCGAAATCCGTTGAAACCGAAGAAGCATGGGAGGAGTTTCGGCGGACAAGACATCACGCAGATCGGGAGATGATCAAGCTATCAAGGAATATGCACCGAGAAAGGGTAGAGGAGGCCTCTACCTCTCTGGACGGATTTTGGCGGCTGAGCCGGTGGGCACGATCACGGGGTGCCCCCCGGCCTACATACACGCCCGCGCTGCGGGATCCTAATGCAATAGAAACCGTGGTGGAGAGTGCGGAGGAGAAGGCGGAGCTCTTCAAGCACGTACTATTCCCCGAAGTCAGCGACGCAGACATGACGGATACCACCGGATATAAATACCCTCCACCGCTGCCGGCGCCCCTGATCTCTCTCCCGGAGATCCGCAGGGCAATCCTGCGAGCCGCACCAGGCAAGGCCCCAGGACCAGATGGCTTGCCAAACCGGGCGCTGCAGCAGGTGCTTCCCATGATAGAGCCGCATCTTGACCACATCTTCAACTGGTGCTTGCAGGTAGGATACTACCCCAAGCACTTCCGCCGCTCAAATACTGTGGTTCTTCGCAAGCCAGGCAAAGGCGACTATGCCAACCCGAAGAACTACCGGCCCATCGCGCTGCTAAGCACGATTGGCAAGGCACTTGAGTCTATTATCGCTTCGCGAATTAGCTACATGGTCGAACAGTACACACTCCTACCCCAGAACCACATAGGGGGCCGCAGGGGCCGCTCCTGCGAGCATGCTCTGCATCTCCTGCAGGAGCAGGTCCACGCGGCCTGGCGGGATGGCTACCCAGTAGCCACCTTGCTCACCCTCGACGTCTCTGGGGCCTATGACAACGTTTTCCACCGACGACTCCTACATAATCTACGGAAACGCCGCGTACCGGTAGCCCTGGTGAACTGGATTGCCAGCTTCTTAACCAGCCGCCGCACGGCCATTCTCCTGCAAGAAGGGGCCTCGGCCAAGTCAGACATAGCCACGGGAATCCCCCAGGGGTCCCCTCTTTCACCTATCCTCTACCTCTTCTACAACGCCGACCTGCTTGAAGACATGCCTGAAGGGGTACTAGCCCTCGGCTACGTCGATGACACCTGCCTGCTCACATGGGGTATCACTGTACGGGAGAACTACATGCGTCTACGCAGAGTACACGAAAGATGCGAGCAGTGGGAACGGACCCACGCGTCCAAGTTCTCTATAGCTAAATATGGACTCATTCACATGGTTCGCCAGACCCCTCACTCTAGGAAACCCACGCAGCGGCAGCTACTCGCCCTCCGCGGGGAGACACGCACGCGCCTCATACGCAGGATCAACCCGAATGACATGGAACTTGACCGACCCCTGCGCATTCAAGGAACCACCATACGGCCGACCAAGAGCCTGCGGTATCTCGGAGTTCACCTTGACCCAGACCTCTCTGGGACCGCCCACCTGGACCACATACGCGCGCGGGCAGCCCAGTTCACGGGAGCGCTTGCCTCAATAGCAGGCTCCACGTGGGGGGTCCCACTAAAAAACCTTCGACGCATGTATACCGCGGTACTCACCCCGCAGATTCTCTTTGGGAGCTCCGCGTGGCTCATCCGGGGGTCACAGGGGTATAAAAGTGCCGAGACCAAGATTATGAGAGCCCTCGAGAGCATCCAACATGGGGCTTTATACCAAATAGCCGGCGCGTTCCGGACCACGTCCCGCGCCGCGCTAGAGGTATGCCTCTATGTACCACCGCCGCAGATCTCTGTCAAATGGTCCACCGAGAACAGCTGCCTGCGAATCTTGGCCTCGCCATTCTACCAAACACTGTGCAAAATTAGAGACAGGGTCCCCACGCGGAACCCTAGTCGACCTGACACCGACCCCACCATGTCTCCCCTGCACCGGCTGGAGAGACGGCTGTCAAGGGACCTCGGGGAGGACCCAGACCAGCCGCTCGCCATTGAAACCATTCGCCCGGTGGTCGTACCGCCTTGGTGGGAGCCACCAAGCACGACCATCGCGGCCACGCGGGAGGAGGCCATCCAACAACATGACCAGGTCCCACCCCACGGGCTCCGGGCCTATACCGATGGTAGCGGCCACCAAGGAGGCGTGGGAGCGGCGGCAGTCTTGACCACAGCCATAGCCACCAAGCCACTAGGCAAGGAAGCCACCCACACGGTGTACGCGGGCGAGCTCGCAGGGATCACCCTTGCTCTAGACCTCGTCGCGCAGAACCAACACCAACACCAACGCCTGACTATTTTCACCGACAACCAGGCAGCTATTCGAGCCCTCGCGGATCCTGACCGGCGCCAATCGGGTCAATACCTGGTACGGGACGCAGTCATGAAAATCAACCAACTCCACGCACGCGGCGGGCAGCTCCACGTGCAGTGGCTGCCCGGCCACGAAGGAGTCCCAGGCAACGAGCAAGCTGATACCCTGGCCAAAACTGCTGCCTCCGCAGCTGGCCACGCGGACTTCACCCTCAAGACGCGCCTAGTGGCTTCGTGCCGCCGGCTCCTACGGGACAAGGCCACAGAGGCGTGGAAAACCGCGTGGGGACCCGGCTCCAAAGGGCTTCTCGCGCGGCATGTTCTGCCTGAACCCACAAAGGACGTACTCAAACTCCATGAGGGGCTTCACCGAGTGTACAGCTCGGTCCTGATACAGATGCAGACGGGGAAAATCGCCCTGGCAGGCTACCTAGGCACCTTCAATGCCATGGAATCCACTGCGTGCCCCTGCAGCCAGGGGCCGCAGTCAGTCCAACACGTGCTTACTGCATGCCAACGCCATGCAACTTTGCGGTCAAATGTTTTGTGGAAACATGGCCGCGCCACGGATTACCGCCTGATCCTTCGGACCCCGGACCTGGCGCGGCAGGCATGTCAGTACATGCTAAAGACACGGCTCCTCGGCCAATTCAGGGGCTTCGAAGACACAGTTATCATGCAGGCCCGCAGTGAGGGCTACCAAGCGGAGGATATAGGAGATGCCCCACAGGGAGGGTAAGGGGGCTTACCGAGCAATCGGAGATTATATTCATAAAGGGACCGGCAGAGCCGCAGGCCCTTCGGGGTTAGCGGTGCAAGACAGCGAAAATAGGGACATCTCGGGCCCGTACCAGGCGGCGGGCAAGCTCGGCAGGGAGGTGGAAGCGTCGGGAGCTAATGCAGCTAGGTATTATGATCAAAACCAGGTGCAGGTAGGTTGGTAGGTATCCCCCTACTAATGAGGTCTGCGAAGGAGCGAGCTGCGTTGGCCGGGATGGGAATAGATATGGGACCTAAAAGCTTCGTGTAATTAGTGACCATACCGGCGGTAGCCTGGCCGTCAACGGACAACCTCCGCCACTCGGCAATAGGCTGACAGATGCGAGTATGAATGAATAATAATAATAATAATATTAATCTTTTTGACGTGCTTGTATTCCTCGGCCGCCGCTGCAGCGGCCACTCCCCCGCGCGGGCCGCGGGTTTCTCCGAGCGGAGCTGTGCTCCTCCCAACCCTGCATGGCGGCCAATTAGTTAGGCAAGCTAGGACAGGATAATGAGGACCACTATACTACTGTTTCCTTTGTTTAATAAGTTTGTATTCCTCGGCCACCGCTGAGGCGGCCACCCCCCCACGCAGGCCGCGGACTTCACGGAGCGGAGCGCAGCTCCGCTCAACCCTGCATTGCGGCCAATTAGATAGGCAAGCTAGGGCAGGATAATGAGGACTACTACTACTACTAATGCTACTACTCCCCCTCTCCCACCCCAGCAGTAACAGCCAACGCTCGCGCGTTCCTCACCTCCCACTCAAACTCCTTCAACGCCCTCAACTCACTCGACACGAACAACCCCCCGATCAAGCCGTCCAGGATTCCCGCACCGAAACTCAATGTGCTGACCAGGACCAAGATGAACGCCACATACGCGAGGTGATCCCCCGTCCACCATACTCCGACAAAGCATCCAATAGACACCAGCACCGACACCACGAAGTGAGCAAGACGCCAGCGCCGCTGCGTCCTTTCGCGGGCGACATACGTGGCGATCATCTCGAGGATGCGATCGTAGGTTTCCACGCCGAGAGTCTGCATGCCACGCCGCTGGGCATCCTTCATCAACTCCTCAACGGCCTTCGTCGGCGTACGCGTTATCACAGCCTCGACGGAGAAGTGGTCGCTCAGCGAACACCGCAGCGTCGGATGCCGCTGTGTCATGCCTAGATGCACTGACTCAACGCTCCACCGCGGGGTGTCCGCATCATCCCCCAGCGCGGAGCCCCCATCACCGACAAAAATATAATCCAGACGCTTGCCACGCGGGTCTGCTGCCTCCGGATTCACCGCGATGTCTTCGCGGGCGAGACGTTTCCGGTCTGCCTCCGACCAGCGCCACGTATTGTACTTGCCGTCGCAGGTAGCACCGTTGACACGCAAATTGAACTCAGCGGACGGGACAGGGAGACAACGGCGCTTCTCCTCCGGGTGGTCAGCCGGTCCGACAGATGAATCAGGGTAGACAACCTGCCAGGCGTCACGAACAGGGCTGCGGCCGCGGATGAGGGCGTGGGCGAACGACGAGGGTAACATGTTGAAGTCACCCAGGGCGACAACGAGGTGGCCTCGTTCGGCGGCGGCGCGCATCAACTTAGCAATTTCCCAGGCTTGAGCGGTGCGGTGGCAGAGGTAGCTATCGTGGGGTTCGCGCTCGTAGGGGGCGTGGAGGTGGGTGCAGAAGACAGCGGCGACATCGCGGGGACGGGGACCAAAGCGGACAGTTGCGCAAGCGACGCCCTTGCCAACAAACCAGTCACCGCGGAAGAAGGCCGTCGGACGGCCGTTAAGAGGGTATCCGAACATGCTAGAGTCTTCAATAGGGAAGCGGGAGAGGATGGCCAGCCCGGCGCCCATCATACCACCGTAGTAAAACTTCCCGTGGGGGAGGATATCGCGGGTCGCGTGCCGGATAGCATCGTAGTCCTGCTGTGTCCAGCATTCTTGCAGGCCGACAATGTCGGGAGGTGGGGATATCAGAGCGATCTGGCGCCCTATCTCAGAGAGGCGCTCATTGCGGTGTTTAGCGAGGAACTTGAGGCCCCAGCAGTTAAGGGTGAAGATGCGGATGTGGGTGGGGGTGGAGGAAGCGGCGACGGACGAGGCGGAGGACAGGGACGACATAATAGTGTGTTATCGCGGGTGCGACGGCATGGTTGGGTGTGTCAAAGTTGTGAAGGTATTGACACGGAGATGAAGCCGAAGTTGTCCTGATCAGGAGTCGAGACAAACGATGCAAACAGATCACCTGATATGATGTCATCTATACAGGGGCAAAGCGGAGCGGTATCTAGGCCTGTGGCTAGACCCGGAGTTTATATTCCGCGAGCACCGAGCCAAAGCCGTGGCCAAAGCGGGCACCAGCCTGGTGGCTCTATAGGGTCTCGCTGGGTCCACGTGAGGAACCTCCCTTGCAGTGTAATAGATCTACTAAGCGGTGGTGATCTCGCAGATACTCTACGGGGTGGCTGCGTGGTACTAGCCAGGATCCATGACCGCCAAGGACCGCGATTAAGCTACTCGCCAGTTTGTTTCTATCTAAAAACGCGCGGCATGCCTTATTAGTGAGGCCTTTTGGATCACTGCAGCCGAAGCACTCAATACAGAGCTATGCCTGCCACCCATGCGTATTTAGATGCATCATGCAGCAAATTGTCAAGGAAACCTTGATCTGTGTCCGAACAGGACCAGCGCTGGCTCTTTCCCGCACTGCGCGGGGTAGCCGGTCTGGCGGTCCCAGAGCGAACAGCGACTAGGAGGCGTGATCCCCATAGAAGCGGAAGCGGCGGGAGGGGGAGGATGCCTGCAAGCTCCCCCGGGAACCTTGGCCGGGGAATGGGAGAGCAGGTTAGTGTTCCTCCAGCGAGTCCAGCCCCCGTGGTAACCGCCACTGAGGCTGGTCATCGAGGAACGAGACATCACGCGAGAGGCCCCCGAGAGAGCCAAAAGAGAAGGACAATTGGTCATGTATACAGACAGGAGCGGCTATCAAGGGCACGTGGGGGATGCGGCCACAGTTCCCTGCTTTGCAACCTGCATCAAGACTTACCTAGGGCCAGAGACAGTCGCGACGGTCTACGCGGCAGAGCTCCAAGCAATTAATATGGCCCTGGGCATGGTCAAGCAGTGCCAGAGAATCACCCGGTGGAGAACACGAGCAGTCGAGGGAGTTACTATCGTCTCGGACAGCCAGGCAAGGCTGAAAGCCCTGCTCAGGCCCCGCATGGTGTCCGGTCAGGCCTTCCCACGGGCGTGTCTAGACAAGCTACTGTGGTCACTGGTGTCAAACGCAGGGCATCCGGGTGACCCTGCGGTGGATCCCCGCCCACGAGGGGATCCCCGGGAACAAGGCGATGGACGAGCTTGCCAAGCAAGCCCCCCTACGGGGCGTTGCGCTGGCGCGGAGCCACTCCGAAGCGCGGGAGCAGAGGATAAGATTCGGAGTAGAGCGACTCACCGCGGATCAACTATGGCTCGGAGCCGCGGCCAAACGCAGGATCCGCGCGGAGGCGTGGGCCTGTGGGGGCCGCGTGGGAGGAGGAGCGGACCAGCCGGCCGACCAAGCGGCCCATCACGGCCTAGATTAAAGAGGCTGCAGAAAGCAATTCCCTCTGTACTGATGCAGCTCCGCACTGGGCGGATCAGGCTGAACCAGTACCTCTCCCGGATAGGGTTGCGGGACAGTGCTCGGTGCGGATATGATCTCGGGGATTAAACCCCGCAGCATATTCTCATGACATGCCCGCTCCTGAACGAGTCCCGGGTCGAACTGCGCCGCGAGCTCGGCCGGCTTCATATTCCCACTAACCCACAGTTCTGGGAGCTGGTCGACAACCCGAAGGCAGTGATACCGGTAGCGGAGTTTATGGTCAGGACTCAGGACAGGCCTACTCGGGCAGTTCCATACAGTGGATCCTGCGGCAACGGGGTCACGAAACATCGGCGAGCGGAGGAGGACAACGAACGTGGTGAAAATTAAAGGACGCACCCAGCAGCAGCCGCAGGGCCGCGCTGTTCGTGCTTGCTGGTTCTTCTCGTCGCCCACAGGGGAGTGAAGACCTGGCCCTACGGCCGCTGCTAGATGCGATCCTCATTCCTCACCACGCTCGTCGTCCTCCGCTCGTCCCTACTTCGTGACCCCCGTCGCTACGAAGTTCACCGCGTGGAATTACCTGAGCAGGCCCGTCTTCACTAAAAATTCCGCTACTGGTATAGCAGTCTTCGGGTTGTCGACAAGCTCCCAGAACTGGGTGTTAGTAGGAACACGCAGCCAGCTAAACTCTCTCTGTATCTCGGCCCGGAGCCTGGTCAGGAGTGGGCATGCTATGAGGATATGTCGCGGGATTTAATTCCCGAGGTCATATCCGCAACGTGCGGTGTCCCGTACTCCTATCCGGGAGAGGTACTTGTTCAGCCCGAATTGCCCGGTGCGGAGTTGTATCAGCACGGAGGAGGTTGCCTTCCGCAGCCTCTTCCAGTACTTGAGCATCCACGGGGCCGCGATAAGCCGCTTAATTGGCCGGCTGGTCTGTTCCTTCTCCCATGCGGCGCCCCCACAGCTGCTACACCTCTGCGCGGATCCTGCGCTTGGCCGCGGCTCCAAGCCACAGCTGCCTATGCCGGGCCTCTCCGCTCCCCAAATCCATTTCGCTGTTCCTGGGGGCGCCCGTGGCTCCGCGCTAGGGCCACCCCTCGGAGGGCAGCCTGTTTGGCGAGCTCGTCCACCTCCTCATTTCCAGAGATCCCTTCATGGGTGGGGATCCATCTCAGGGTCACCCGGATGTCCTGCGCTTGGCACCACTGTAGTTGATGAGACGGAGAGAACAGGGGGGTAGGGTAGCTAGATTACTTTCCATCTGAATCCTTGTTCACGTAGAATGGATCCAGTCTTTAAGTATGCCTTGTGACTCTTCATATCAATGATTACCTGTAGCCCCAGTACCCTCGCTTGACCGGGCGGCCTGCGCTGGGGGCTCTTCCACACATGGGATCAAAGCCTATATTGAATACTAGTAGACGGGGCCATTCTGTTAGACAGTATAATATCTGCTTCCAATAATTCTATAGAAAAAGTACATGGCGGGGCCCGGCCCCTTGGGTCGATCTCAAAAGCGGGGTAATTGGGCATAAGCTTACCCCCATAGGCCCATACTAAGTTTACAGCAGGGGTGCTCCCAGGTGACCCTCCAAGTCTGACTGTCTGACACTATAAGATGGCTCTGTCTGTAGCTCTTTGGTGCGTACGAGGCTACGATAAAGACTAGATTTCCAAGATTGATCACTTAGCTACACAAACCGCACTCAGCTGTCCTTTGCCCAACACCAATCACAACATGTCTACTCAATTTGACGCCGCCTCTCTCGCCCGTCTTTCTCTACACCACCCCACTCACTTCAACGTCCAGCATTCTCAAACTATTCACCGCCTGGTTCTCCTGCAGCACTGGAATATTCACCCTGACTCTAAGATACTAGAAATCGGATGCGGGCAGGGGGACTGCACGACTGTCCTTGCCTATGCTGTGGGCGAGCAGGGGAGGGTAGTGGCAGTCGACCCGGCGGAATTGGATTATGGTGAGTCCTCCCCCTTTTTTTGTTCGTGCTGCTAGTTCCGGTGGTGTGCGCAGAAAGCAGCTAACAGATAGATCCTGCAGGTGCCCCGTATACTCTCGGCGAAGCACAAGGTCACATCTCGCGAGGCCCACTGGGTAGTCGGATTACCTGGATCCAACAAACACCCCTGGATTACCTCTCCTCCCTCCCCTCCTTCTCTTCCACCTCCTCGCTGCCCTCCAGCAAAAGTAAGGCCTTTGATGCAACAGTGCTCGCCCACTGCCTATGGTACTTCACCTCCCCCTCGCTTATTCTTTCTACTTTCCGGGCCCTCAAGCAGCACAGCAAGCGCCTCCTTCTTGCTGAGTGGTCATTGGTAGCGACGCACCCCTCTGCCCAGCCTCACGTATTAGCTGCGCTCACCCAGGCAGCACTGGAGTGCCGTAAGCCTAACAGTGACTCGAACGTACGCACGGTGCTGGGGCCAAAGCGGATTACCGAGCTGGCTCTAGCTGCCGGTTGGCAGCTGGAGAGTGAGACCCGCGTGCAAGGAGAGGAAGGTTTATTGGATGGACAATGGGAAGTCTCTGCTTGTCTTTCTTCTTCTTTTGAACAGGAAGTAAAGGAGCAGGTCAGTAATGAGAGAGAACAGGCAGTGGTTCTTGCGTCACGGGATGCATGTGAGGCGAGCTTGGAGGGTATACAGGGGGGTTGGAAAGGAGTTAGGGCCATGGATGTATGGGTTGCTAATTTTATCTAACTAGAGGAGTAGTAGCAGTGATAGTTCTTGTTATCCTGCTGTCCTTACTGTCCTGTCATCCTAATTATTCTATCTTACCTTGCTTAACTGATAGCAACCGGCCCGGTTATGCCTCGAGTTGAACAAGAAAGGGGCGGTAGTTGAATAGGATTCTGTAGAGCTATTCTCTAGAAGCCTTAATGCAAAGCAGAGCGCACTGTTTTTATCAAGACCCTGGGCCTTGGAGTAAGCCAGATAATCTTCGTCCAAAACATGGCCCAACACGTACTGCATACGTAGCCAATAATTTCGGCTTCTACACAAATACCAAGACAAATGCCTCAGTCTAGTAGACCAAAAGCACCTCAACTAGGATGCTTTTTCAGATTTATGCTTGCTTTTTCTCACAGGGGGTCCCTGTAATCGTAGAATATTGAGTCTCATCTATTCCATATCCGCACCAGACACCGAGGTAAGATACGGTGGACGTACGTGTGTCCGTATCATAGCTTGTTCCAACATGCTTGCAGAAAGGCTTAGCCGGATACCATGCGAGGCTTAAGCAGGGCTTTTGGTCCCGCTTGGCTATCCGAGAAGATGATAACCCCCTTCTTCGTGCGTTATTATTATTATCACTATATTCATACTCGCGTCTGTCAGCCTAAAGCCGAGTGGCGGAGGTCGTCCTTCGACAGCCAGGCTACCGCCGGTGTGGCTACTGATATACATGAAGTCTCTTAGTTATTATTATTCCCATCCCAGCCAACGGAGCTCGCTCCTTTACAGACCTTATTAGTAGGGCTATACTCATTACCACGCTCGCTGTCCTTTGTCCTCTTTGTTCCTGGAATCATAGCTGCATTAGCATTCGGCTCTTTCACCTCCCTGCCGAGCTTGCCCGCCGCCTGGTACGGGCCCAAGATGTCTCTCATTTCTGTCTTGCGCCGCCGGCCCCGAAGGGCCTGCGGGTCTGCTGGTCCTCATATGACTATATCTCCTGATTGCTCGGTAAGTTTCCCTGTGCTCCTATCAGCTTATATTTTCTGCTTGATGGCCTGTACTGCGGGGCTGCATGATAACCATGTCTTTTAGGTCCCTGAATTGGCCGAGAAGCCGTGTCTGTAGCATGAATTAACATGCTTGCAAAGAATTACTTAGCCACTTTGTAATTTTACAGCGCCAGTTCCAGGGTCCGCAGGACTGTCTGGCAGTCCGTGACACGGTTATCCTTTCACAGTGTTTTTGACCGCAAGTCTGCATGTTATGGGCATGTAGTAAGCACATGTTGGGCCCCAAGCTGCAGGGGCACGCGGTTGATTCCATGGCATTAAAGATGCCGAGATAGCCGGCGAGGGTAATCCTCCTGGTTTGTATCTGTACGAACACCAAGCTATCTACCCGGTGCAGCCTGTCGTGGAGCTTCAGGACATCCTTGCTCGGTTCGGGCAGGATATGTCACGCATGGAGACCTTTGGAGCCGGGGCCTCATGCAGCCTGCCATGCTTTGGCCGCTTTGTCCCGCAGAACCGGCGGCACACTGTCACCAGGTGGATCTGCGGGTTGAAGTCGGCTTGGCCGGCGGCCTCCGCGGCTGTCTTAGCCAGGACGTCGGCTTTCTTGTTGCCGGCGACCTCTTTATAGCCATGCAGCCACGGCACGTGGAGCTGCCCGCCATGGGCATGAACCTGCTCAAGCAGGAGATGCAGAGCATGCTCACAGGAGCGGTCTCTACGGCCGCCCACATAATTCTAGGATAGTAGCGCGTATTGTTTGTTAGGTATATCAATCAGGTTAAGCCCTATACCAATCGTTGGTCAACGTTTTGGTGTAGTGGTCTTGAGATTGTTCTACCAGGTAGCTAATCCTCGTCGCGATAATTGACTCCAGGACCTTGCCAATAGTGCTTAACAGCGCAATTAGCCGATAGTTCTTGGGATTCGTGTAATCACCTTCGCCCGGCTTGTAGAGAACCACTGTGTTAGGCAAGCTAGGACAGGACACAGATATAATCAGTGAATGATCCATCCAACACCACCCGTCGGTCCATTCCAGGCCTCCGTCCACCACTACTACTACTACTAGAGCCGCGCCTGGATCATCTCTTTAACCAGTGCCTGGATATAGGATACTGCCCGAAACAATTCCGATGCTCTAACTAATTGGCCACGATGCAGGGCTGGGCGGAGCGCCGCTCCGCCCGGAGAAACCGGCGGGCCGCGCGGGGGGGGCCCCGCAGCGGCGGCCGATTAATACAAACATGTCAAACAATGGAAACAAACAATGAAAACAGAAACTCTAATGAGACCTCATCCCGCACCTCTCGCAGAGATAAGCAACTTCAACCACCGTGCCAACCCCTGCAGCCCCCAAGACACCGCGGCTGCCACGGCTTCATATACATCCTCGTCTCGCCCTCGCCCTCGCCCTCGTCCTTGTCCTCGTGTCTACCGTCCCCGGTCCCCGCCGTGGCCCCCGCATCACCAGTTCTCCGCGTCGGACCCAAGGTCACAGCCGCATCGCGCGCTGTCCCGTATACCTATCCGGGAGAGGTACTGGTTCAGCCCGATCCGCCCACATGAAGAGATAGAATTAGTGGTACAGCAGCCACAGCAAGGAACCAAAAATGGCAGACACAAGGGCAGAGATGAAGACGAGGGCAATAACGTATGCTAAGCCGTTACAGCCGCGGTATCTTGAGAGCTGCAGGGGTTGGCGTAGCAATTGAAGTCATCCCGGCAAGAGATGCGGGATGAAGTTCTATCAAGGTGATTATTTGCACAGTTTTGTCTATTTGACATGTTTGTATGCCTTGAGTGTCGCTGCGGCGGCCACCCACACCCACCCGCGCGGGTCGGAAAAACCGGCGGCTCGCGCGGGTTTTCCGGGGCGGAGCGCAGGCGCTCCGCCCAACTTGCATGGCCGGCGGGCCGCCAATTAGTTAGTCAAGCTAGGACAGGATAATGAGGACTACTACTACTACTGTGGCGTAGCGGCTAAGATGATGTAGGCTCTTTGATCAGCGCCGTGGGCCAATCTCCCGACGCGCTCGGCGTTCCCGATCGAGCAACTCGGATTCCCAATTCGGCGATGTCGTCTTGAGTGGATTCCTGGGTTGGTATTATCATGGGTTATTTCAACAATATGCATGGTGTGTGTGGACGTACAAAGGTAGAAAGAATACACTATACAGGTCGAATTCTATAAACAAGTCCACATATAATACATTTCGAACAGACACCCCTACGGCATCACCACCCGCGGCTGGCGACTGGCCAGTCCCCCAGTCCCCTCGGTCCACGCCGCGGCCGGCGCCTCGGACTCAACGCGGACGCGTTGCTCCTGCACTAGGCGGCGCACCCCCTGGTTCAATGCCTCCCGCTCCGCCTCGTCCGCCGGCCCGCTGCCCGCCCAGCGGATACGACAGGTGTCATCAAGAAGATAGACGTAGCCCACCTTGCTGTTCATCATCCCGATCGCCTCCTTCAACCCATCGGTCAACCCCTTGCGCACCAGGAAGTACCGCTCATGCTGTGCCGGCGGCAGCTTGGCCCGCATCCGGAACATGAATGTCCGGACCAGCCACGCCTTCAGTATGTTCTCCTCCAGGTTGATGGCCACCGTCTGCGCCGCCTGCCCGCCGCTGGCCAGAGCGTCGACGAGGCCCGGATTCTGCTCTGGTCCCGTGAACGTGGCGACCTGCGCCTCGGCCCAGACACTGGAGAACAGGCTCACGACCGATACCCGACCCCGGAGCACCGCCGTGGTGTCCTGCGGTGCCTTGGGCGAAGCCAGCGTGATACCCTGCAGGTTAGGGAAGTAGAGCGCCTTGTCCCGCTTGAACAGGCGCGCGTTGGACTGAAATGTCTTGCCCTGGTGGTGTTTCATGTTGGACCATTCACGGAAATACGGCTTCGCGACCTGTTTGGTACTATTCCCACACATTAGCATCTATCCTCCGACGGAGCCAGGGAGACCTACAGTTCCTGCCGTCGGGCCAGGTGACGGTCGTAGTTCACAAAATCATCACGTCGCTCGTGGAGGGATCGGTTGTCCACCCCCGTGTTCTGTCCTTCGCTGGGAGGGATCACTGAGCCGATGGGACGGTCGAGCGTCGGGGGCACAAAGTCATCATCACCTGGCTGCGCTGAAGACGAGGCATTCTGCTGGAACTCGACCGCCTTGCGACCCAGTGGGCGATCGGAGGGCTTCCTTTCCGGGCTCGGGGTGCTGTACAGGCGCCGTGATGCGGTCGCTGGGCGGAGAGCGGTGGTGGAGGTGATCGGACGGAGGAATTGGCATTGGAGACAGCGGGCGTGCGGTCGCACCGCGATATCCAGGAATGGCGTGAGCGGAAGCGACGATCGCCACATGGTGAGCTGTACAGAGAGATCGTTCCAGGAATCCACCGGATCTGGTCGCGATGATTGACTGAATCTGCGACCGGAGTAGTGATCAAGACCAACCGGCCGTGGTGCACGTGACGGTGCTGGATGTTTGCATGTTTTGTCTCCCGCCATGACTTTGGCCTGAGGCGGTTTGATCTCGGGTTGCGTGGTTTGCATAATTTGCATGGTTTGCATAGTTTACTTCCCGATCCGCTCGCCTGCGGAGTGACGATTCCAATCCGAGGGCAATTGGCAACCACGATCTAGATGTAGATGTATTGTAAATCAGTCTGCTGTTTTTCCTCCATGGACCAAGGTCTTAAAGGCCTGATCCCCATCCACATACAGCGTGGTCACTAGACACGTGTGGCAGTGTTCTTTTGCTTCTAAGGGTTTCTATGATATATATATGGCCGTCATGGTGGTGGTTAGTATGTCTCGGAGAAGGACCAGATACCTCAAATGACTCACATCGTGCCATAGTGCCTCGATTGACGAGACATCAAACCGACCAGCATATAGCGAGGCCCCCGAGTGGGATGGATAGCTGACCGTCGTTCCTGACTGCTCGTCATTGCCGGCCGATCTCGACCGACGGACGGGGAAGCGCATGGCCGCCTTGACGGTTGCCTCAGGCCGCAATGCCGTTTCCATCCCCTCCCGCCAAATGACCATGTTGTTGGATACTTGGTGGTATCGGCCTCGATTCTTTGGGATTCTGGCCCCTGTCCTGTTAGGGGGCTGAGGCGGAGCACCTTCTTCAATTGGTCCGCCGCAACTTTCCGCACGGGGCATTCCGGACTTGTCGCCTGCTAGACACTCTTGCAGTTCATGGCCTTTTGTATCACTGTTTCCGTTTCTTTTGACAGAATTGGCTAGTAACTTATGCCTAGCACTCCTAGATAGTTATCTGGAAAGCTACGAATAATTGGCGAAAGATTGAGCCGAAAAGGGTTTGATTTAGGCGAGAAATTTCAAGAATTCGATGTTGCTATATTATTATATGCGTAGGAAATCAACAACAACGCCACTGCTGGTTGGGGTATATGTACAGGAAGTCAAAGACTACTGATAAGAGTAACAATAGTCATGGCGCCTGGTGTCCATGGCCTCGCGCACCGTGCGCGGTCGATCCAGACAGCCGAAGTCGAGGACGTGGTCAAGCGTGGCGAGCGGCGCCCACGCCGGGTTATACATGACGGCCGTGCCATTCAGGGCGTCCCTTCGGACCTCGATGTCACGTTCCTGCCAGAGCGTCCACATGCGATCAATCATAGCATGGTGCAGCATGAACGCCGGATCCTGTGGCGAAGAATACACGTCGGTCATGTCTTTGCCGATAGTGCGATGACCGGCACCATGTGAGCCGACGTGGCTCTTGTCACTGGGGTCCATGATGTCCAAGAAGCAGTTGATATCCGGCGCGTTCAGCAGACGCTGCATCGCCGCCTCGTTGTTCGTCCGGTCGAGGATGGGCTGGTTGAAGCTGCGTTTCAGACAACGCGGGTTGTAGTCCCAAGCACTTGCAGGGAGCGTCGCATGCGGCCCCGCGTGGCTGTTATTGAAGGGGCCCAGGTGGATCTCGAAGTCCTTGAAGGGACCTGACGTGACGCATCCGCCTCCAGTTCCAGGGGGCTCGCAGCCGTAGGGGGGGTCGCAGCGGGGCTTTTCGTTGGGATCGTGAGCGCCGTTGCCCGAGAGGGAGGTGGTTGTGCCGTCGAAGAGGGGATCTTCCGTGAGGTTGGTGGTCGCGGGCCAGTTCCAGTATCTAGCAGGTCAGTAATCAGTATATGGACATTGCTATCTGACATCGAAGCTAATACTTACGGTACATAGCCCGTGTAGCCGCATTCCTCGCGGAGCGCTGTTTCCCAAAGATAGGTGAAGTGCCGGTGCCACGGGAGAAGCAGTGCATTGGAGTGAATGGCACTGGTGTAGTTCACATGCGTGCTGTCTCGGTTAGCTGGGTCTGGTTCCATTCCTTCTGATCACTCACGCCACGAAATCATCCAACCGGTCTTTCACGCCAGGATACTTGTCGTTGGGGAGATGAGCCGGTTGGCGTCGGAGACACCACACGGCTTCAATATACTCTGTCCGTTCGAGCGCTGTCAATGCACGCCTGAATCACCGGTCAGTATAGCAATGCGCAGTCATGATCGGGCAGTTAATATCATACCAATCCTTTCGGAAGGCCGTGGTCTCCGGCGAGCATTGCTCACTAGTCATAGCCAGGCCCGCTGTTACCAGCAGACCTAGCAGAGATTTTGGTAAGCATTTCATTGTGACACCGCCTCAACAGAATGATCTTGATATGACTGGCCTTGGTGAGTATCTGGGGAGCCCAGCGCCTTTAAAGAGCTTGAACTTACAGGCCCTTAAAAGACTAACTCACCTGCCCCGCTGCAGTGCATCTTGCGCTCGGTGCCTGTCAGTCCTCGCGTACCTAGTCATAGATGCTTAGGGGTTCGCTGGGATCCTCTATTCTTCCACGTATCCGGTCTGATTGGCCGGTGGGGAGCTCCATGGACGATTGTCAGGGGGATTAGGGGTTCGCCCGAGGATCAACACCGAAAACTACTGAAAAGGACCTCCCAACCATGGGTCCACCCTCGGTGGCTTGTTCCTGAATCCTGTCATTCGTTCTTTGTCCTGTTTTCGAAATTCATCGTTCACCAGGATGTCAAGAGAACAACATAAGTAAAGAGAGAAGAAAAAATCTTTAATTGATCTTGGTACGGAGTACAAGCCTACAGTACAGTATTCACAACCCCGACCCACCGCGCGGGCACCACGAATCCAACCACGGTCGCGTTTATTCACACAAAAGACTTCCGACCGGCACAGGGCGTTCGCTCGTATGTTCGCCGGGATGGAGCATGACCGTCTGTCCTGTACACATGACGCCACTACGGCTGTTAGCTTAGTGGCTTAACGTTGGTGATCGGATCCGGGGACTTACGTGAACGCTCGACAGGGCTGTTTCAAGTCTAATGTGTACACCTCCCTGCTCGTCGTTAGCCAGTGTCATAGTCTTTTAACTGCGGCCCGTACTCTTCGTCCACATCTGTGCACTTCCCCACGGGAACATGCAGTGGCCGGCTTGCCTCGCTTGTTCCAATCCCCACCTATTCGAATTAGCCGTGGTCCGGTGACTTGCAGGTTGGAGTTGTACCGTGATGGTTTTGGCCAGCGCGGTCGAAGTTGCCAGCGAGAGAATCAATAATCGGAGGGGTGGAGCAGCGTACATGGCTTCAAGTTCTCCCGGGACCGTGCAGTTCTCGAAACATGGTGATTTCCTGCGGTCGCAGATCTGGGATTTAAAGCTGCGTCGGGATGTAGCGTTGTTGGTAACACGGTATCACATTCCTTGCATGGCCAAAGGGGCGACACTCCTTGCTGCTGGTACCCCAAGTCCCAACCATGTCCCTTGGAGAGAGATTGGGGCAGTGAACACGCGACTTTGGTTTGATACCGCTGTAGTCGGTAGTAGCAGCCGCAGTAGTAGCAGTAGTAGTCCTCATCATCCCGTCCTAGCTAGCCTCACTAATCGGCCGCCATGCAGGGTTGGGCGGAGCGCCGCTCCGCTTGGAGAAACCCGCGGGAGGCGTGGGGAAGTGGCCGCCGCAGCGGCGGCCGAGGACTATCACCAGATTATGTGGCAGGATCATAAAGCAGCATGTATGTTCTCGTTTCGGATCGCAATGGCCAATGGGTCCGTCGTGTTGGGTGAGGATTAGGTTGGCTGCTGGCAACCATTGCAGCATTCCTTGTGGGATGTCTTACTTTCCTATCTTTCTTTGTTCTCTTCGAAGTAAACCAGTCTCAGGTACTGGCCGTTAACCTCGTTCGCAATCGTACGCACGGACCCGACTACCTCTACCTACGAAGACATGGGATCATGGTGGAGACCTCAAAGGAAGCAGACCGATGTACCGGGCTCTGGCTAGATCCGGAGCCCACCTGCGAGGAGAATGGGGCGAACGTAGGATAGTGGCCAATGCGGGGACCAGCCTGCTAGGCCTTCGAAGGTTCGCAGGGTCTACACGAGGGACTTCCCTCACAGCTATGCGGCAGTTATACCAGGCAGTGGCGATCCCGGAGATGCTTTACAGTGCGGTTGCATCATGTACGATACTAACCATCTCAATAGCCTACGGGCCGAGACGAAGCGTGAGTTGGCCGCTAGCGTGTCCCTACTAACACCCAGTTCTGGGAGCTTACCGACAATCCCCAAGTAGCTATACCCGTGGCGAAATTTTTACACAAGACAGGCCTGCGCGGGCAGTTCCATGTGGTGGATCCTGCAGCAACGGGGGTCAGGGAAGCAGCGGCGAGCAGAGGAGGGTAACAAGCGTGGTGAAGACCAAAGATTATACCAAGCAGCAGCCGCAGAGCTAGGTCCCTTGCGAGCATCGATGAGAACCAGGGAGTGCGAAACAGCGCGGCCTGGTGATGAGGCGCGGGACCGGCGCGGAGGGATGGTAGGACCGGTGATACGAGGGCCGCAGCGGGGACCAGGGATGGCGGACACGGGGACGAGAACGAGAACGCGAGCGAGAAAGAATTTAAAGTTGTGGCTATCGCGATAACTTGAGGGCTGCAGGGGTTGACGTGGCGGCTGGCGTGGTGGAGGAAGCTTCCTGGCGAGAAAGAGGCGCGAGACGAAGTTTCATTAGGATGGTGGTTTGCATTGTTTGTTGTGTTTGTTTCTTTCTTTGTTATGTTTGTACTTCGCCGCCGCTGCAGCGAGATTAGGGATAGATGGGCTGGTTTTACTCGTCTATCGAGTGATATTGAGATTGGGATAGATCGATCCATTACTACCCAAGTACTACCTAGCTAGACAGGTAGACTGGGCTTATAGAGTAGAAAAGATTCTTTTGAATGGCAGCTCCGCTATCTACCTATCCAGGGTCGATTGACGATCTGTAGATGGTAGGGTGTCTTTTGACGAAGACTTGAGTTTGTAAGTTGTCTTTCAATATGGATATGCGTGGTACGGCTTTACGCTTAAGATCGGTGTACTATAGTACAGGTATAGTATCTCCCTAGCTTAGTACATGTCGCACCGAATTCAAGACTACCTACGAAGCACGGAAGTGCCATGATATCTTTCGTACCTTAGTTGAGTGGCAATTCTTTCTAATAGTAAGAGTATGGGTAGTATAGCAGTAAGTACTCACTCAGGCAGCCTAAGACACAAACAAATGAGGCAAAGTATAGTAGCGGTGGTAGTATAATAATAGTGACGTGTCTGTGGGCCCAATACCACAGAAATGATTGCAAAACGTATGGAATATGAATGATATGAATAAGATCAAAATGAGACAAAGGTTGGGTTGGCTGGGTGGTTGGTTGGATGTTGGACCCGATGACGATGCGGTGGGGCTGTCTCATAATCAACCCTATGGTTGGTCTTGCAGTCTGTACCTGCGTGGTGAAGTGGCATTTCTCTCATTCTCTCAGTTATTTCTATGATTCATTTTATTTAGTGTTGTTCTTATATTTAGTTACTATTACTTCAACACATTTTTAATTCAAAGTGTCAATTGATGAGATATAACATGTATATACATATAAGTCTATAGGTCTATCAACATGACAAGCAAGACAGGAGTAGGAATAACGATAGAAAACCACAAAAAGAAAGAATCAATCAAACAAAAACTAGGAGTCGAACTCCAGTGGGGAATCATAAACATATCATCAAAAGTGGAAGGAGTGAAAAAGAAAGAAAGATTGAAGTGGGGTTGAAAACGTCGTAGAGGAAACGAGCGACGTGTGGAGAAAGAAGAAGTAGGGAACGACGTTGGTGGATTTGGCTTGAAAGAACGACGTTTGTCGGATGAGGTAGCGAACGACGTTGGCCTTTCAAGAGACGTCGTTATGAAAACGAGCGTTGTAGATTGAAGACGGTTGAAAGAATGACTTTGTAGAGATTGAATGCGCTGTAGGCTTTCAAACGAACGACGTATTGAAGAACGACCTCAAACGAGCAAACTAGTTCCCGATCCAATAGACAATCTAGTTGCCCATCTTCAGAGTAAAGGTGGTGTCGAGCGGGCAACCGTGGGTGGCATGGTCGTCCTTGGGCTGGAGATAAGCCTCAGCGCAGTGGGTATCGCCCGCATGGCAGTTGACAGACGGGCAAGACTCGGTGACGTGAGAGGGTTCAACAGCGAAACCATACTTGGTGAACACCGAGTCAGGGGCCATGTCGATGCAGCTCATGTCCCAGTAGATGGTGTCGTCGCTCTGGGTGTACTCGAACTGGAGGACATCCTTCTGCTCCTCAGTGGTGGAGAGCTTGATGGAGATGCCACCGCCGTTGTCGTTGGTGCGCCAGCCTTCCTGGTAGTTTCCACCGTCCGCAGAGAGGGTATGCATGTCACTGACTCTATCAGTGACAGACCACGCGTAGACGGTAGAACCCAGGTTGTTGATGATGTTGACGCCTCCACCGTCGCGACGGACAACAGAGCCGTTGGTGGGAGTGGGAAGGGCGGAGCTGAGGGTGGCCAAGGCGGCAATGGAAACGATCTTGGAGAACAGCATTATGGTTTTTGATAAAGATAGATAAAAAAAGTGTTTGTTTTCAAAGATAGTTGAATCTGATCGACAGATCGTAAAGTGGTTGTGTTTGAATGAAAGTGTTGTCGAGATAACTAGATCTCAAGTAGACAGTTGATATTGAAAGAAAGTTATTGTTTGATCTGAATGATTGTAATTGCTTGAGTTGAGAAACAAGATCCCATCTGGACAAGCATCGAGGCCCTATTTATGTCTGAGATCCCCCCTGGTGAACGGCCGATAGCCATGTGTATCGGAGATGCATCGGAGGCCAATCATTGGTAGCGAAGGACATGAGAGGCGCAGAGGCAGCGGCCGAGAGTGAAACCGTGGAAGTGATGGGAGAAAGAGAAAAAAGCGACCCAGATATATAGGGCGCAAAAAGATGGTTCCAATACAGGGCAGCCTCTCAGAACCAATGAGATATCCGGATGGAACAAGGCAAGACAGATGACAGCTGCCTTTACTGTCAGTCAGCCAACATTTCTTCCTTCTTTAGTTAGGCACATTTCATCTCAGATAGAAAGATAATACGAGACTGTGGCTGAAACAGACCATTACATCAAATCTACTGCCCGACTGTACCTGCATTAGATATCACGACGATGACTTGTCAGCTATATAGGATTAGAAGAATACCCAAGATCGAGTGGCGTAGCAAATGTATCTCTGTCTCTACTTTTACAGCATATAATGTGCTTGATAATTAATATAATTTCTAAGAACAAGGCTCCACCTCGCGTGGCTCGACCCATGGTTCATTCACTGTTGTCTCTTTCCCATGTATTTTGCCGAGTGGAAACCGTGATCTGGTCTGGTGGCATTAGATCTCTCTGCCTAGAAAATCCGTGGAAATAGTCATTTGCCGCCGGAGGAGTACGTGGTGATTTCGGCCGAGCCCTAATCTCTGGTTCGCTTGAACCGATCTTACCATGGATCTCTCTCTCTCTTCTCTCTCTTCCTCTGTCTTTTTGACTCTCTTTCTCTGCTTACCATATTTTCAATTAAGGCAAATTTCTTTATTCTATATACTAAGCTTATAAATATAATCATTATATTTAAATAATGTTAAATATTATAAAGTCAAACTCAAAAAATACATATAAGAAAAACCACTAAATAGTGCAAGTATTACTATACGTAATAAAGATTTTGTACCTGCAGTAAGAGATTGAAAAAATAGTATTTATGTTTATAATAAAAATTCTTAAGCTTAATACCTGTAGCAGCTAGATTAGTAATGAAATTAGTTAAAAGTTATTTGTTATTATACAATTTAGATATAGAATACGAACTAAGAAAAGAGAAATTACGCGGGCCGCGGGTTCCTGCGAGAGGAGCGCCGCTCCGCTCAACCCTGCATGGCGGCCGCTTGAATACAGTCTGGTACGGTAGGATAGGATAATGAGGACTACTCCTATTACTACTACTAACTGGGTGACGCTTGAGCCGAAAAGGACTCGGTTTGATCGAGTGACTTTATGAATGCGATTATGATCAAAGAGCTTCGTTACTAGTATAAGAACTCAAGTATTGCCAGGGCTCACGTCATCCGTACAGTCAACCTCATGGCTAAGCTCGGGCAAGAAACCACCCCCTTCGTCTGGGTCCGACTCCGGAAGGAAACCGCCTCCCATCTCGGCCATTTCATCATCGGTCATTTCACCACCAGAATCCTCCTCTTCCATGGCATACGCCTTCACCCGCTCCGCGATTCGAAGCTTGAGCAGGAAGGTTTTCCACAACCGGAGCATTTCCATCGACTTGGCGTCGGACGCGGCTTGTTCTTGTTGGTCATCTAAGCCAGCCAACACCGCACGCATCGCGTCGTGACACTCCTCCGCGACGACCACCCCTGCAAACACTGCCGTTCCGTGGCGGCCTTTGAAGTTGAACCCTGTCACTGCATCTGCGTAGTCAATTCCCAGAATACGGGCTGCCTGTGCCGCATTGGGATGCGTGATGTGAACCCCTCCGGGAGGAACCATGCTCGGAACGTAGATATCCAGATTCCCGTATCCGTTGCGCGGAACCCTCCCGTTGACGATGGGAGGTGGCGTATACACCTCGGTCTGAGACAACGCATACATTGCAGTCTCCACAGCCGTACCCTCGTCATCAAGCCCCCTTTGCCCACTGGCGGGCACACGCTTGAGCGGCTGCTCGCCCAGCTTGACATCACGACCCAAGCGGTACCATTTGTCCGCACTGCGCACAATGTGGACGTCAGACCGGCGATAGACCGGCTCCAACTTTTCATGCTTCGATCCCGACTTGCCCAAGCTGACTTGGCCGATGACGCGCTTGGGGAAGATCACCTCGTTGCGGCGAAGATGGCGCTCCAAAGCATAGAAGGGATGGTCTTTGAAGTCTTGGATATTCCGCGGCATCGGCTCGGCCGCGCTCTTGGATGTCAGCTCGCTGATCTCCGCCATGTCTCGGTCCTCCAGGAATGGTTTCTCGTAGAATTGCAGGGCACGAAGCCACCACTGTTCGCCGTTCTTGGACGTCTCCACCCGGAGTTTGCGGGTCTTGGCATTAAACGCTTTGGTATAACGACGCGTCACATCTCTAGCGGAAGCATCCTCCTCAAACGCCACAACATAACTCATGCAATTGTATGGATCGCTAGACGGGGGCTCAAACTTGAAGGCCTTCGCCAGGGATTTGGTCACAAGCGGGTCCACCGGGATCCATTTCTGGACCGATTCGTTGAACGCTTCCACCCAGAACACCGGGTAAGAGGACTCTCGCCGGGCCGGGCGGGTGGGGACCACTTTCCGAGAACGGGACGGGGCTAATTGCGGGCGAGCTAGTCGCCGAGTTCGCGATGGCGCCGTGTCCGATGGAGATCGCTTGTCGGTCGATATTTCACGATCATCTGATGAGGTAGTGATATACTGCGAATATGACTTCTTGACAGGCGTCCGGTCTGTGGCAGCTCCAGAGAAAGGCAGCGGCTGCAATGAGCAAACCAGTCGAGCCTCTACCGCTGCCGACCGGAGTAACGCACAGAAGAGCTGAGCCCCAAAGTCCCGCGAGCCTTGCAGATTGCGTGCCTGCGCCAGAAAATCATCCTTTGACAGGAACACTTCTGTGTCTGCCATAATTGACTCTGCCTTGTGCGTCACAGCCTCCAGATTATCCGCCCAGTGTGGTCGCTGTATCCCCGGGGATGTGATGCGGAACCGGCGCAGAAATGCCTCGCTAGCCTGGTTCAGCCCATCAACGAATGTAGTGGATCGGACATGCTGGGGCTTGTCTTCGGGGGGGTTCAAAAGGGAAATGATCCGCCTCGGGAGCATCTGCTTCAAGAACCCTTGTAGCCCATCATCATTGCACCATAAGTTGCGTATCTGTACGTGACGCAGTAGGCACAGTAAATGAACCTTGTGTATATCCAACCGTAGCTTTCTTTCGGCGTTGGAGATAGGCTTCCGCGAGACTGTTTTCTGTCGCTGGGCGGCTGGTGCATCCAGGGTGATCTGTATCGAATCCTCATCCTGCGCGGCAGCCGGGCTCAAGCCAGGCACTACCTCAGCCCGAGGTGACTTCTGTTCCAGGTCCACCTCTTCCCATTCCATGTCCGACTCATCGGAGCTAGGTGAGTCATACACCGTCTGCACTGCCTGAGCAACGTCCTTGCCACGCGCATCACTCGTGTTGTTTTTGGTCGACCCGGGTGTTTTCGACGGCGACTCCGACGTCTGCACTCGTCGTCGTTTAATCTGTCGCGTGGAGTCGAACGCGTGTGGATCGCGCGCTTCTGCCTCGGCCAGCATCTCCTGATAGACGGCGGGGATGTCATTGTCACCGCGCTGTCTGGAGGAGCAAGTGCGAGACATACTATTCTTCCCCGAGCGAGTAGCAGTATTCCCACGCATGGCTGTTATCCTTGACAGATGGCATAGATGACCATATGGAAATCAACATTGTTAACGAGTACGTTGAGAGAGATTAAAGATTATCTTGATACGAGATAACAAAAAGCGGTATCTGGTGGCAATACTTATTTGTTACCGGTTGCATCATTATCGTTTCCCGTATCAATTGGTTGGGCATTCTTGCTATTCTATTGCATATATATTGTATTATTTTCATTGGCAAAAGTAGTAGTTATCGATTATGCTATAGCGGTTTGTGAAGGATAATCAAATGACCATATAGATTGGTGGTGCGACAAAAAAGAAGGGTGGTGATGTGGTAGTCTCATGGACAACACGAGACAATGATGTCATTTCTCCCCACTCCAGATCCAGATCTACCCTCTCTGCTTCGCCTTCATCACCTACCCGGCTCCTCCCGTAGTAGTAGTAGTAGTAGTAGTAGTAGTAGTAGTAGTAGTAGTAGTAGTAGTAGTAGTAGCCCTCATTATCCCGTCCTAGCTTCCTAACTAACTGGCCGCCGCAGCGGCGGCCGAGGAACACAAACATATCAAACGTGTGGAAAAACAATGCTACCTAAAGCAACCTCATCTCGCGCCTTTCCTGCAAGGATGACTTCAACCACCATGCCAACCGCCACACCAACCCATGCAGTCCTTAAGACACCGCGGCTGCCATGACTTCGTATTCTGCCTGGTCCCCACCCACGTTTTCATCCTCGTGTCCGCCGTCCACGGTCCCCGCCGCGACTCCCGTACCATCGGTTCCACCCCTGTGCACCAGTCCCGCGCCTCACCGCACGGCTGCGCTGTTTCGCACTCTCTAGTTCTTATCGACGCCCACAGGGAACTTAGGCCTTCGGCCGCTACTAGGAGCGACCTTGAAGTTTTTACTACGCTTGTTGTCTTCCTCCGCTTGCCGCTGTGTCGTGACCCCCGTCGCTGCAGGATTCACCACATGGAACTGCCCGAGCAGGCCTGTCTTGATGAGGAATCCTGCCGCATTTCATCCTTGAACCCGGTCAGGACTCAGGAGCGCGCAGGCCATGAGAATATTAAAGGAATACAACCACGTCCAATAGTTTCCACAACGCAAAAAGTAACCCTAACACAAACTTCATCACCCAAGTCACGTAAGTATGACTTCAACCCCCTTGAGGTGAGTCAAGGCAAGCCTGGGCCGGATAACGAGGACTGCTACTACAATCACTACTACTACTTGGGCTAAGACCCCTGTTAGGAACGAACTGGAGAACCACACACACACACAAAAAAAAAAGCCAGAACATATATGCATACTGCATACCGGTTCAGACTCACCATTCATCAAGGCTAGCTCCTATTGTCGATGTATCACGCGTGCAGCCCAAGTGAAGAAAGAAGTAACTCAGGGCCCTCAGAAAATTGTTGCACTACTTCAAGCACACTCCTCGCAAGAGAACTAGCAATATTGGAGCACTTGACTTCCGACTGTGTGCTTGTAGATGTGAGAACTTCGATACGCAACCTTCCCCCATGAGTAATTGAGCGAATGAGCACCTGATTTCGTAGAGTGATGTTGGATGAACTTGCCGCCTCGGAGCACGACACATCATTTAGTCGCATGCACCCAGAGCCATTGCCCGCGGATATATGATTAACCATGCAACCAAACTTCGTGTCGGCTGGCCAAAGTGGACCGAGACTTTTAATTTGAGACAGCCCCAAATAGCCATATTGCGATACGTTTGCATACTGCTCACGAACATATATGCAGAGATCTTCGACAGATTGGCTTCGTTGCAGCACAACACGAAACGGGATGACGTTGATACAAGGCCCGACCATGGTATCAATGCCTTGTAGAGGTATATCTCGTGTGTTTAGGGCAAGCCCAAAGATAACATCCTCGACATTGACTAATCTTCCTATGACGAGAGCGACAGCAGCGTTCACCAAGATAGGATATGTCGTATCCAATGGCAAAGAAGGCAGATCGATCGAGGCACTTTCGGAAATGGATATAATATCACCACATTCGTCGTAAAGCGGCAATGGAATGAATGTGATTTTTGAGTTTCGCAAATAATTGCCCCAGAATCGAACAGCATCGTCGGAACCTCTTTGATCACAATAATAAACGTAGTCGGAAAATGACGTGCCAGTTGAAGGTACCATCAAATCTTCATTGTACGCGAAGCCCAAGTCTTGCAAGATGAGGGGAAAGCAATACCCATCATACTGAGCATGGGAAAGTTGGATAACAAACATGTGCTCCTCGTCTGTGCGTGAAAACAACATGGCTTTGAATGGCTGCGCGGACAGTGACGATTTCCCCCTTTCTTGACCAGACAAATCTCTGAACACCTGATCCAAAGGCCTGTCCGTACGAATATGTTCGAAAAGTGGGGAGGTGCGCTCAAGTACGACCTGAAGAATGGCGCCACGGTTTTCGCAAAACACTGTTCGCAGTATAGCGTGCTTTTGAATCAATTTCTGGAGCGCACGTCGAAGTCGACTTGGATCCAATCTTCCCGTAAATAGAAAGGAGAAAATCGAAGGACTCCAGTGCGTAAGGAACCAAACTTGGGATTCAGTAGCCGGAATGACATCAGCGATGTTCCCTGGTTGAACAAGGGGAGAAGATAAACATAAATCGATAAAGGAAAAATCATCATCCACGAGCGAGAGAGATTGGGCAAGAAAGGAGGGTGCAATGTTACGGTGCTCGAACAAGTAACGGGCCATTGTCGAGAGCCGCCTGTGAAGAAATATATCAGCAACAGAGAGAGCAAAGCCATCCTCCCGAGCAGCAGCAGTCAACTGCATAGCAATGATGGAGTCGCCGCCGAGGCGGAAGATGCTGTCATCCGCGCCAATAGTGTCCAGTGGAACGTGGAGTACCTGCGCCCACAGCCGCTGTAGTGTCTGCTCCGCTGCTGTGGTAGGCAGACGCTTGGCCGCAGGGAAGCTATGGTAGGCTTCAATATCAGATCTCGAGAGACTAGCCACATGGGAACACAGACGCCGGCGATCAGTTTTGCCCGTTGTAGTCAGCGGCACAATTTTTAGTTGCAGAAAAACTGCTGGCACCATGTAAACCGGCACCGTGTCATGGAGGGCTGACTCGACGGCGGGTATCACAGCGCGGAAGGCACTAGTTGGCGTGGCAAGAATATCCTCTGTCTTTCCATTTTCCGCAGCCTTGGTAGCGTCCTGTCCCTCCATCAAGACAAACGCCACCAGCAGGGGCGGCTGCCCTACCCCCGCAGGTGTCACTACCTCCGCCACCACGTCGCGCGCGCCCACAAAGCACTGCCGCACATAATGCTCGACCTCGCCTAGCTCGATACGCTGTCCACGCAGCTTGACCTGCGTGTCCTTGCGCCCCACAAATTGCAGGGACCCATCCACTGCATATTGTACCAGGTCTCCAGTCTTGTATAGCCGGTCGCCGCTGGTATTACCTGGTGAAGTCGCCCGAAATAAGCGCAGCCAAGCTGGTGGGTTGATAAATGCCGCTGCTGTCTGCACCGGGTCATTGAGGTACCCACGCCCCACGACTGGGCCCTCAATCAGCAGCTCGCCCACTGCTCCCACTGGCAGTAATTTCTCGTGATCTGCTGGATCTACCACCCAGCACACACACCCGGTTCCCCACCCAATATTGCGTGGATCTGAGCCTGAGTAATTACGTGGTTGAACACAGCTCACAATCGAACATTCCGCTGGCCCATAGCACGTTATCAGCTTAGTGTAGGGGCTCCATCTGTCCATGTCGCTCTGTATGGCTGCTTCCCCACCCATCACGAGTGTATGGATGCCTTCGAAATTTCGAGGATCAAGGGTCCTTGCAAAAGAGGGAGTCAGTTCAACCCAGTTGGCTTGCAGTTGAGCAATCGCTTGCGCTATATTCTCTCTTCGATCAACCTCGGACGGTGTGCAAACGCACCCCCCTAGCAGGAGTGTTATAAGGATGTCTGAAATGCTGGGATCAAACGCATATGACGTGAACTGGAACAGTCGTAAGTCGGCTGGGAACTGCTTAGCCTCTATCTGACTAATACTAGCAGTAGAGAATGAGGCATGCTCAATAACCACAGCCTTGGGGGAGCCGGTAGAGCCAGAAGTGAACACAGCATAAAGGGCATGATTCGGGGTGACTGATGATCCCAGCCAGTTACCCTCCTGCCAGATGTCGTTGTCATTCGTAAGGACAACCACCTGCGCCGCCAGATCATTGGCTATCGCCGCGTTCGCTGTGGATGTCACAATCACTCCTGCTGACACCGCGTTGCAAATTGACCGCAGCCGCGCCAATGGATATGATGGGTCCAGTAATATAAATGCCCCACCTGCCTTGATCACTCCCATTATTGCTATAATTATCCACCGAGACTTTTCAAAGCACAGTGGCACAAAAATATCAGGCCCCACTCCAAGCCTAGACAGGTATGCTGCTAGGGCTGATGAGAGCTGGTCCAGCCTGCTGTAAGTAAGGTCACCATCCCATGCACTCACTGCTAGGGCATCTGGTCGTGTCTGGCATTGTTTTATAATCAGGTCATGCACGCACTGATTCACTCGTTCTGGTACCACTGCATTCCATTCAGCCAACTGCTTGTAATCTTCACGACCGACTTTACTCATGTCCTTAAGTAGCATGTCAGGTTGCTGCTCGATCTGCTCTATTGCGTATGACAGATGGTGTAATAGCCGCTGCACCTGCGTGGTCCCAATCACCTGAGCGTCATGCATTGCGTGCACAGTTACCATCTCAGGCGACAGTTCACAGAGCAGTATGAGTGCGTATGAGGTGTAGGCACCATGGTCAGACGTCAATCCGTCCTCGCTGAACAGTTCCATCACAACGTTAACCGGGCGGGGCTGGATTACAAGGAGGTTCTGGAACCTGCACGCGGCGGCTGTCTCGTCAGACAGTCGCCGGATGTTTTGCAGCCCTGTCTGCTCAAATGGGAGCATGCGGGCAGACTGACTCTGGACCCTGTGCAAGCCGTTCGTAATAGTCTCATCTTGTTCCAGCCGTACGCGAAGCGGGACGGTCGCGATGGTCGGCCCGGTTACCTTGTCGATGCCCGCCACCGCCGCCCCGCGCCCCGAGACCGTCAGCCCGAAGACCACATCTTCACTATTGGTATATTGTGAGAGTGTGATGGCCCAGGCGAGGCGAAGCGTGGTGGACACTGTGAAGTCCCCAGGCCGATCCTGGGGCAGTGAGACCGTGTGTGTAATACACTCAGTGGGATTCGGCACATAGCTAGACCCCGAGTACGGGGGAAAGCAGACAGTGTCCAGCTGCATAAACTCAGACCGCCAAAACGCGTTAGAAGTGGCCTTAGCGCGGGAGATGTAGGCGACAAAGGGGCTGAAGGGCCGGAGCGCCAAGGACTCGCCGTGGAAGGCGGCTTCGACCTGCTCCAGTAACAGCGGCAAGGACCACGCATCGTACACAGCGTGGTGCATATTAAGAATGAGCTGGCTGGGCATGTTGCCAGATTTCCCTTGGATTATAGCCACGTAGAATAGAGGGTTGCCTAGTCCAAATGACACTGGCTTGCCGGGAACCCTGTTTACATCCCTGTGGGTATCAACTACCCAGGGTATGTCATCCGGTAACACTACCTGGAAAGTCCCGAGGCCATCACCGTGGATGATCCGGGTATTCAATATAGGATTGGCGCGGGCCACCGCATTCCACGCAGCACGCAGGCGGTTCAGGTCCAGGTCTCCCGGTAAGCGGTAGGAGAAGCGGGCAGTGTAGGCGTCAGCGGTCTTTTCTGTGAGGGCAATGAGACCCTCCTGAAGAGGAGTGCAAGGATAGATGTCAGTGATACGGTCCTGGGGAACGTGACATTGGTGCATGGCTAGTTGAAGGATCGCGTCTCGCGTGCTTGGGTCCAAGAGAGAGAATGGGTCACCGACGTCCACATTGATGGTAGTGGTCTGGAGGCAGTGGGCTAATTCAGAAAGCGTGGGATGCTGGAAAATATCAGCCACTGCAAGAAAAACCCCCTCCTCCCTCGCTGCGCCGGCAAGGCGCATAGCGGTGATTGAGTCTCCACCAAGACGGAAGAAGCTGTCGTCGCTGCTAATAGACTCGGGAAGGACGTTTAAGACCCGCGCCCATATTCCTTGCACCATTCGCTCCGCTGCTGTGGCAGGTGCGCGCTTGGCGACCGCAGGGCCGCTATAGGCCTCAATCTCTGGGCGGGAGAGAGCTGCCGCGCGGTGGCGCAGCCGGCGACGGTCGGTTTTTCCTGTCGCGGTAAGCGGCGATGCCACCAGGGGGAGAAACACGGCCGGCACCATGTAGGATGGCACCGCCTTGTGGAGATCAGCCTCGGCGACAGGGACAGCTGCACGGAAGGCGTCAGAAGGCGCAGCGAGGATGTCATTAGACCCATCTCCGTGCTCACTCCGATCCCCACGGCCAGTATTTCCCAACCCTTCTATCCACACAAAGGCTACCAGCAGCGGTGGTCGGTCGGCTGGGGCTACCACTTCTGCCACCACATCGCGCACGCCCACGAAGCACTGCCGCACATGATGCTCCACCTCGCCCAGCTCGATACGCTGCCCGCGCAGCTTGACCTGCGTGTCCTTGCGCCCTATATACCGCAGGGATCCATCCACTGCATACTGCACCAGGTCACCTGTCTTATATAGGCGGTTGGCACTGGATCTTTCCTTGCCTGGTGACATCTCGCGGAATGTGCATAACCAGCCGGGAGGGTGAATGAATGCAGCTGCGGTCAATTCCGGGCTGTTCAAATACCCGCGTCCCACAATTGGACCCTCGATCAGCAGCTCGCCCACTGCGCCAATTGGCATCAACTGCTCATGGTCCACCGGATCTACTACCCAGCATACACATCCAGTTCCCCATCCAATGCTCTTCGGGTCCGATCCCATGCGGAGATTATTGTGAGTCACGCTGACCACAGCACACTCGGCAGGCCCATAAGAGTTTATTAACTGTACATGAGAGCTCCAGGTCTCAACGTCGTCATTCGCCATGGGCTCCCCTATCAGGGCTAGAACTCGTAGCCCTGGCACCTGATCCGGCTTCAAAACCTTGGCTAGTGCAGGCGTTAGGTGCGCCCAGTCAGCCCGGTAATGATTAATGGTCATCGTCAGGGCGTCCTTTCGCTCTGTATCTGACGGTATACATATACAAGCACCGAACAACAAAGTGGTAAGTGTATCTGAAATGCTGACGTCGAACCCAGTGGAAACGAATTGGAGAACCCGCGATGTCTCGGTTAGGCATAGGCGACGACCATGGGATAAAGCGCTGGTGACAAAGGCAGCATGGGGAATCACGGCACCTTTAGGCGTCCCGGTTGTGCCGGAGGTGAAAACGGCATACAGGGCATCATTTGCTTGCGCAGCAGACCCCGGCCAGTCCTCATGGTGATCTTGCCAGGCTCTCTCGTTCTTCCCGACGGAGATCACTTTCCCTGCAAGGTCCGCTGCTAGGGCTGTATTCGTTACGGATGCCACCACCAGTTCTGCAGATATAGCATGACAGATACTCTGTAGCCGCGCTCGTGGGTGTGATGGGTCTAGTAGAACAAAGGCCGCCCCAGACTTCATTACCCCGACTATTGCTATTACCATCCACCGTGACTTCTCAAAGCAGAGTGGCACGAATACCTCAGGTCTAATATCTAGACTAGCTAGATATGTTGCTAGGGCCGATGAGAGCTGGTCTAGTTCGCCATAGGTGAGATCACCATCCCAGGCACATACTGCTAACGCATCTGGTCGTGTCTGACACTGTGTAGTTATCAGGTCATGCACACACTGGTTGACTTGCTCTGGCACTCTTTTATTCCACTCTTTCAGTTGCTTGTGATCCTCAGGACCAACGCTGATATCCTTAAGCAGCATGCCTGGCTGTTGCTCCATCTGGTTGATCAAATGCGTGAGTTGGTGTAGCATCTGCTGTACGGCCACGGCTGGTATAATCTGCGGGTCATACATTGCTGTTACATTTATAGAGTGAAAGGACGTCTCACACAGCAGAGTTAGCGCGTACGTGATAAATCCGCCCTGATCCGCGGTCACGCCATCATCAGTGAGTAAAGATGGTTGGTCATCATCATCCCGACAGGGCTGGATCACCAGCAAATTCTGAAACTGGCACGCGGCGGCCGCGGCGTCGCTCAGATACCGGATATTTTGCAGTCCTGTTTGCTCATATGGGAGCATGCGGGCGGAATGGTCCTGCACCCGCTGCAAGGCCTCCTCCACCGTGCCTTCGCCGTGCGCATCGAACCGCACGCGAAATGGGACCGTGGCGATGGTTGGTCCTGTCGTGTACTCGATGCCGGCCACTGGCGCCCCGCGGCCGGTCACCGTTAGCCCGAAAACAACGTCGCGGGTGCCAGAGTACTGCGACAGTGTCAGGCCCCACGCCAGCCGAAGCTTGGTCGACAGCGTAAATTCGTCAGTAGCTCCAGTAGCCACTGCAGTCCGCTGTGGGAGTAAGATCACATGTCTTAGTGACGCGGTGGGACTCGCCTCGTAGCTTGGTCCGGAGACGTGGGGGAAGCTGACAGTCTCCATGTCGGTGAACTCGGATCGCCAGAAGTCCTCGGCAGCGTTCTTTGTGCGCAAAATGTACGCGATAAAATAATTGAACGGGAATGGCCTCAAAGCCTGACCTTGGTAAGCCGCCTCAGCCTGCTGCAACAGCAGGGGCAGCGACCAGGCATCGTACACCGCGTGATGGAGGGTGAGGATGAGCCGCCGCGGCTGGTCAGTGTGGTCGGCAACCAGCGTTGCACGGGCTAGGGGCTCACCCAGCGCGAATTTGGTGTCTGCATCACGGGTGACGCAGTACTGCTCGTCGCTCTCATATCTGCAGACTGTCCACGGGATGCTGCCCGGCACCACAACCTGGAAACTGCCAAGTCGGTCGCTCTGGATGAGTCGGGTATTCAGGATGGGGTTAGCCTGGGTGACCGCCCTCCATGCTGAGCGAAGCTGTCCTCCGTCGATATCACGAGGTAGGCGGTAGGAGAAATGCGCCGTGTAGGCTCCAGCAGTCTTAGCTGTCAGGGCCATGAGGCCCTCCTGCAGGGCCGTGCATGGATAGATGTCGGAGATGCAGTCACGAGAGACATGGCACTGGCTGACAGCCAGATCAAAGACCGCTTCCCGCACATCATCAGGCTCCAGGAGAGAGAAAGGGGCGAGAGGGACATTATCAACTCTAGCGGCAGATTGTATAACTTTGGAGAGATCGGAGAGCGTAGGCTGTTGAAACACGTTTGCCACAGTGAGGGTGAGGCCATCTTCCCGTGCAACGCCGGCGAGGTGCATGGCAAGGACGGAGTCGCCGCCCAAGCGGAAGAAGTTATCATCCAGTCCAATGGAGTCAGGAGGCACGCTCAGGACTTGGCCCCACAGGGACTGTAGTGTCTGCTCTACCGCCGTGACAGGCATGCGCTTGGCAGCGGTTAGGACGCTAGTGTATGATTCAATTTCGTCGCATGAGAGAGTTGATGCACGGTCATGTAGCCACCGACGGTCAGTCTTACCAGTTGCTGTCAGTGGGATCGTCGTTAGTGGAAGAAACACTGCTGGTATCATATAAACCGGCACTCTATTTTGAAGGCGTGCCTCGGCTGTCAGGCTAGCAGTGCGAAAGATGTCCGTTGGGGCTGCTATGACATCTGGTTTCGTATTATTTTCAGTATCCAGCAAGACAAAGGCCACCAGCAGTGGTGGCCTGTTTCCCAGCGTCATCACTTCTGCCACCACACCCTGCGCCTCTGGGAAGCACTGATGTGTGTGATATTCTACCTCACCCAGCTCAATGCGCTGCCCGCGTAGTTTGACCTGCGTGTCTTTACGCCCCACGAAACACAGCGACCCATCCGCCATGTACTGCACGAGGTCACCTGTTTTGTACAGCCGAATGCCATGTAATTCACCTGGCGCTACTGCCCGGAACGAGCATAGCCAGGCTGGTGGGTTAATGAATGCTGCTGCTGTCCGCGCCTCATCGTTCAGGTATCCACGCCCCACAATCGGGCCCTCAATCAACAGCTCACCCACTGCCCCAATCGGAAGCAATCGCTCGGGATTTGTCTTGTCCACGATCCAATATACACATCCCGATCCCCGGCCGACAGCACGCGTGGAGCATATCTTTGACAGTACCTGTGCGGATGATTTAACAGAGCACTCGGCAGGGCCATAAGAATTGATAACCCGTGGGAGCGATCCATATAATGCACGAATTTCTTCGGTGACAGGTTCCCCACTAAGAATGAGTGTTTTTAAGCTTGGCATATCAGCAGGATTCAAAATTCGGGCCACCGATGGAGTAAGATCAGCCCAGTCAATATTCATGCGGCTAATCACCATAGGAATGTTGGTTTTGCGATCAATCTCGGAAGGCACACAGACACATGCCCCAACCAGGAATGAGCCTAGCATATCTGAAATGCAAGGGTCGAACGTGTAAGAGGCAAATTGCAAGACGCGGGAGTGTGAAGTGAGAGAGAGAAGGCGGGACTGGCGAAGGCTGCTACTGCAGAACGCTGAATGAGAGATGATAACACCTTTTGGGGTACCGGTGGAACCGGAGGTGAATACGGCGTATAGGTCGCTGTCGGGCGTAACGGTTGACTGAGCCCAGGCAATGCTGTTCTCCTGCCATGCGGCCTCGCTATCCACAACAACGAGCACCTTCCCCGCCGTGTCCACCAGCGATGCACTGGCCGCTGACACTATGATCACATCTGCCGACACTGCACGACAGATCCCTTGTAGTCGTGCCTGTGGATGGGACGGGTCTAATAACACGAATGCCCCACCGGCCTTCATCACCCCAAGTATTGCCACTGTTATCCACCGAGACTTTTCGAAGCACAGCGGCACGAATACCCCAGGCTTAATACCAAGACTGAATAGATGTACTGCTAGGGTCGACGAGAGCTGGTCTAACTCGCAATAAGTGAGGTCACCATCCCACGCACATACCGCTGTGCTGTCTGGTCGTGCCTGGCACTGTTCCACAATCAAGTCGTGCACGCATCGGTTGACTGGTTCCGGTACCTCCGCGTTCCATGCATAGATCTGCTGCTTGTCCCATTCACTAGTGGCGTTGAGCTCTCGGGCTGTACTCTCAGGTCGCTCAGCTATCGCCAAAATCACCGTCTTGAATGTCTCCGTGACACACTCGGCGCGCTGTTCACTGAGGCTCGAAGTCCAGTAGTTCAGATGCACCCGCATCCGATCCGCCCCGATGCCGACGTTGACTGAAATATCATACTGTTGAGGCATGACAGATCAGCACCAATGCACAATGAATAGACCTGCTGATTGCCTGTAACTCACCTCTGTTGGATCGTGACCGCCCACTTTCTCGAGGCCCACACTGGCCACCTCATCTTCACCACTTTCAGAACGCTCTATCGATATAGCCGTATTGAAAAGCGGCATCCCCGACATACCAGTCCAGTGCATAATGTCGGCCAATGGGTAAAACTGGTGCGGAAGACTCTTGAGGTACTGGTCTCGATTGCTTTGCACCAGCGACAGCATAGATTTATCCGAAGCCAGATCTAAACGGCATACTAACATGTTAATTAGCGGGCCAATGATATCGCCAACTCCATGCACTGGCACGTCACGACCGGAGTTGACATAGCCGAAGCAAACCGAATCCAACCCGGTATATATCTGGAGTACTACGGCCCATGCCACGCCGAATAGGTTGGAGAGTGTCACTTCGTGGCGCTGGCAGAAGGCACGGAGATTCTCTCCAGTGCCGAGATCGGCGAAAGTATTTCGTTGGGTACGCTTGTCGTCTTCAACACGCTCAGCGCCCAGCTTTGGGAATACGCAGGGTTCCACCCCATCCATGTATGCTTTCCAATAAGTTTCGGCGGCGCATTCTGAAAACCCTTGCAAATAGGAAATATAGTCGCTGTACAGCGAACCTCGGCCCGGAGGGAGTTTGCCATCATATGCCAGTCGTAGATCCCGCTCGAGAATTCCCATAGACTGCCCGTCGATCAGAGCGTGACTAATATTAAGAGCACAGAGTATCTCTGTCTCCGTGGCATATACTAGCATCCGGTGAAGCGGTTGACCCTGTTGACCAGCGGTCGCGAAATACTGCTCAATGGCAGCGATCGGGTCCTCAACGCGACGCGTAGCTACTATGTCACATTCGGGAACAGCCGTCGCCAGAACCACTTGATCAACATAAGCGGCTCGGGAGACACTCTCAACAAAGTAGGTCCGGAGGATAGCATGGCGGTCAACTACCTGTCTCCATGCCGTCTGCAGTTGGACAAGGTCAACTGGTGATGATGCTTGGTTCGCAACCACTTTCCATATAGAACTCGTCCGATAGTATCGGGGATCTTTTGCCTGGCTGATGATGATCCCCCGCTGTATCGGGGAGCATGGATAGATATCCTCTATTTCCTGCCGTGAGCCTCGCGTTCGTATCTCGTGAAGCAGTGACTCCAAGCTCTCGTATGTCAAGGGAAGCAGAGGGAAATCACACAAGGTGTACATCCGGTCAATACTAGTCAATCGTTCCGCTGCTTCTTGAAGGGACTCCTTGTAGTTCGCAATCCACCGGCGGATGCTCTTTTGGTGTTGCATTTGTCTGTTATAGCGGAAGGAGATCTGCAGACGACTTTGCTTCACTGCAGCCTCAACGTCGACCAAGGCGAGCCGTGGCGTATCAGGCGCGTTGTTTGGAACGTGGTCTTTCACATTGATCGAAGATTGAAACATGGATTCCTCCCGCGCATGTTGCTCATCTAGACCTAGGTAATTGAAAGCAATCTCCACCGGTCCATGCATCTTCATGGGATTTTGGCCATCCGAGTTCATGAAGCAGAAGGCGGTATAGGCCCATCTATTACTTGAGGCCTGCCGTAATGAGTCCTTCACTCGACGCACTACCTCCACGATATCATCGATGTTGCTATCTAGGTTTATGCACACTGGCCACATTGTGGTAAGCCATCCCACCGTGCGGGACAGATCAATAGCTGTGTCCCAAGGCTCCCGTCCGTCGTCTTCGTTAAATATGGTCGGACGTGGCCGGTCCTGGAATATTCGCTCGAACGAATACCAAAGCGCAGCTAGCAAGACTTCCGCTGGCTGAGTCTGGAGACTGTCGTTTGCCTTTCCTAGCAGAGTGGCTGTGACCTGCTCGCTAACTGTGAAGCTATCGTGCAATGTATTGTCCCATGTATTTGGGATGTTCATCGGGCCCCAATAGCCATGTGCGAACGACTGTGGTGTGGTATATAAGGCTTCTGGAGGTAGTCGACTTTTACGGGCATACTGCCCTAGCAGTCGGCACCACGACTGAAATGGGAGGGGCTTGGCGCCGACGATTTGGCCTTTCTCTAGTAGCTCTTCAAGGTCTCCCAGTATGATTGGCCATGAGGCAGCATCCATCACCAAGCGATGCGCAAGCAAAAAGATATACTGTTCTTGCGTGCGAGAACCGGTGGTAATCAGCTCAACATTGAAGAGCGGACCATGTTGGATATCGAGGGTTCGCTGGCTGTTCTGCATAGAAAGTCGCGCGTCTTCCAGCGAACGGACAGTAATATGGCGGTATCTGTAACTGGACTTAATATCCGCAGAAACGGCCTGGGACCAGGTGCCATCATCACGTAGGCTGAAACGAGCGCGTAGCATGGAATGACGGTCCACGAGAATGGGAATAGCGCGAGCAAGATCGTCGGGGGCCACTGATGCGGCGAGTGGAATTAAAGTGCTCTGGTGGCAATAGTCAGATGCACGTGGTGCGAGCTCAAAATATAACCGTTGCACAGGAGATAGGTCAAACGCGACATCGACTGATTCCTCCGGATCAGAGGAGACCGGTTGTTTCGTGTTGCGGATGGACGCAAGCCCGGATATGGACTTGAATTGGAAGATATCAGACACAGTCAAGGAGAGCCCTGCGGCTCTAGCCAAAGACGATAATTGCATGGCGGTTATGGAGTCACCGCCCAGGCGAAAGAAGGTGTCGTCCACTCCGATGGCGTCGGAGGGCATGTTCAGGACCTGACCCCACAGGGACTGTAGCGTCCACTCTGTCTCTGTGACAGGCATGCGCTTTACTGTGATGGAGACATTGTATGATTCAATCTCTGCCCGCGAAAGGGTTGCCGCATGGTCACGTAGCCGCCGACGGTCAGTTTTTCCGGTGGCTGTCAGGGGGATCGTGGCCAGCGGAAGAAACACGGCTGGCACCATGTACCCTGGCACCCTATCATGGAGCTGCGCCTCGGCTGCTGGGATAGTTGAGCGAAAGAGATCAGTTGGGGCTGCTATGATGTCGGTGCTGTTATTATTTGGACTGCCCGGGAAGATAAAGGCAACCAGTATCGGCGGCCGCGCAGTTTCATTCGGCGTCACCACCTCCGCCACCACATCCCCCGCCTCGGGGAAGCATTCGCGCGTGTGGTGCTCTACCTCGCCCAGCTCGATGCGCTGACCACGAAGCTTGACCTGGGTGTCCTTGCGGCCGATAAAGACCAATGACCCGTCTGGATTATACCGCACTAAGTCTCCTGTTCGGAAAAGCCGACTACGGCTACTGCCTCGGAAGGTTGTGAGCCAGGCGACCTCTTCGATAAATGATTGTGATGTCCTTTCGGGCTCATGTATATAGCCTCGACCAACAACCGGGCCCTCAATTAGCAGCTCACCAACAGCACCAACAGGGACCAATCTTGTATAGTCTGTTTTGTCCACGACCCAGCATACACCGCCAGTAGCATATCCTATATTGGACGGATCAGATGTAGACACATTGCATTGGATCGTGGAAAGCATGCAGCATTCCGCTGGTCCGTATGCATTTAGCAAGCGAACATGTCCCTTCCATTTTTCGATAATGGTTTTAGACATCGTTTCTCCGCCAAGGACTAATGTTTGAATGGATGGAACATCCGCTGGTGACAAGGATCGGAGCACCGAAGGGGTTAGGTCTGCAAAGTTCACGCCCATTCGAGAGATTGATTCCGCGAGGTCAGTGACGCGCTCGGCATCTGAGGGTATGCAAATACAGCCTCCGGCCATAAGCGTCACCAACATGTCAGAAATGCTCACGTCGAATCCATAAGATGCAAACTGTAGCGCTCTCATCTGCGTGTCAAGCTTGGCAGTCTTCAGATACGCCTGGGCAGTCAAGGAGAAAGATCCGTGCTCAATTATGATCCCTTTAGGCTTTCCAGTAGATCCAGATGTGAAAACTGCGTATAGAGCGTCACATGGCTGCACGGTTGATGGTAGTTGTTCGGCTTTATGTCTTGACCAGGTGGACTCATCCCAATCGACAGGGACAACCTGCGGAGCTATTTGGGCAGATTTACTGATATTCCTTCCTGAACACAACACCACATCGGCTTCCACCGCTTGACATATTTCTTTGAGGCGTTGGATTGGATAGGATGGATCTAGGAGCACAAAGGCGGCTCCAACCTTCATCACTGCCAACATTGCCAATGTAGTCCACTTGGATTTCTCAAAGCACAGGGGTACAAATTGCCCAGGTCCTATGCCCATTTTCTCCAGGTAAGCAGCCATCTTGGATGAAGTATCTGCAAGCTCGCCATATGATAGCGTTTCTCTCTCCGTGCACAGGGCTGGTGCCTCTGGTTGGCTCTTGCATTGGTCATCAACCACCCAGTGGACGCAGGTCTTTGCTTTGTCGGGGACCTTTCCATTCCAAGATGCTAACTGTGCAAGACTCGCTGGGCTTGGAGTCATAACTTGGGTTACAAGGCTGGTTGAGGTTGCTGTGACCTCCGACATGATGTGCGCGAACTGGTCCAATATTAGATTCATCTGCGTCGAAGGTATGATATGCTGGTCATATACAGCCTGGACCTTGATGAAGTCAGCGGCCTGGTTGCAAACCAAAGTCAGGGGATAGGTGCCAAATGTAGAATGGTTTTGAAGGTCTTGTTCTTCTGTCACTTCGTGCAGGATGCTCGACTTGATTATCGCATGTGGCTGCATTACAAGTAGACATGTGAATTTGCAGGCTGCCGCTGTGTCTGCACTGAGATGACTAATGGCGCTCAAACCAAAGTGCTCATGAGGAAGCAGCCGAAGTTCTTGGTCAAAGACTTTGCCCACCAGATCCTTCACAGTCATGTCAGGGCTAACATGGGTCCTTAAGGGCGTAGTAGCAATCGACACACCAGACATAACATCAAGACCAGGTATGTGTCCCTGCCTTCCCGTAGAGGTGACACCAAACAACACCTCCGTGGCATCAGTGTATTGCGATAGAACAAGGGACCACCCGGCTTTGACCATTGCGGACGTCAAATTCTGGTCATCTCCACTCTTGTGCTTTATCGCACGCTCGAGTAACATCGTTGCTGACGGTATATATCTCGCTGAAGGAACTGTCCAAGGGATTGTGGCATTCATGTTTGCCAACTCCAACCGCCAGAAATTTTCCGACTCAGGGGCTCTAGCACGCAGGCAGTACTGGACGAAACTTTTGAAGGGCCGTATTTGAAGGTTGCTACCAAGGTATGCCCTTTCCAAGTCATTCAATACTACTCGCAGTCCCCAGTCATCGTAAAGAGCATGGTGGATCGTTATAACAAACCACGCATTACTGGCTTCCTGTGAGAATCCGCTGATGCCGGCCCGTATCAGTTGTGTGCCAAATTGCATGCTCTTTTCCATGTCGCTGGCGAGATACGCTCGAACACTCTGTGCAGTTTCCAGTTTGATGCCACTTTTCAGAACAATCTGAAACATTCCCAATGGGGCTCGCTCGATAATCCTTGTGCGAAATATAGGGTGAGCACGAACGGTCATCTCCCAGGCGTTGCAGAACCTCGCAAGGTCAACGCCAACGGGAATACGATAAACATATCGTGCAACATAGGTACCAGGCTTTTGGATAGACAATGCCATCAGACTCTCCTGCACGGGTGTACATGGATAGATGTCTTCAATCTCGCTTGCCGTCGCTTGTACATCTCCAACAGCACTTTTCAAGAGCTCCTCGCGATGCGAGTTACTCTCTAGCATCAAAAAATCCTCTGCACTATTCTCACCGACCGATTGGGAATATGGTGTCGTCGAAGACAGTTGCGAATGATCCGTTTTGCCATGAATGTTGCATAGCGATTGAAGCAGGGCTTGTTCTGGCTGATTCTGGCTTGGTCCTTCCATGGTTGAGGGTTCTCAGAAGGATATGCCAGTAGAATCAAAAGATGACTTGTTTTGTTAAACTCTATCGAGGTAGGTAGTAGATTTAATGAAGGATGGCTCGGTAAGCGTATTCAAGTCGCAGGTGAAGGAAGGTACTCAAACATTTTCGTAGAGACTCTGGAAATTGTTCGTGCTCCAAAAACATCTCCTCTAAAGACTACCACGTATGCAAGGGGGAAGCTTAAGAAAGAGGGACTACCACGTATGCAAGGGGGAAGCTTAAGATAGAGGGACTACCACGTACGCAAGGGGGAAGCTTAAGAAAGAGGAACTCACTGAGATACTCCTTGCTGAATCCTACTGGTCCCACCCAGTTGGGAGTAGTAAGGTTCTGCTGCTCCTTTGAGTTCTGTTCGAAAACACCTTGTTTCAGTGTGCTCGAGGTGACACCTTTCTACGACCCTAGCCCACCGCTTGATTTTGGTACTTGCCAGAGCCCATCATAGGGTAATAAATTGCCTATAATTGAGTGAATAGGTATCAAGGAAGTTGTACTAAAACGTAAGGTTCTCTACGGTCTACGGGATACATCGGCACGGGTGGAAAAGGAAAACTTTCTGTATAGGATAGTCTCTAGTATAATAAGATTCAAGTCGAGACGTATTAGTGTTTTTTGTGAGGAATATGTTACAGGGATGAACCATCCTACACCTCTCGGTGCAAAATACGCCGGGCGGACATTTTGCTACTTCGGATAAAGCCTAGGTATCTATAATAAAAGAATTGTTGACGTACTTTACATTCCGAAGTTACCTAATTGAAGGCCTCTTCACAGTGTTTTCATTAAAGAGCAGGATAATCTAGGCATACTACCGCTGGAATAGATTTCTTACACCCTGCAAATTGCGGTACAGCCTGCGCTGAATTGGCTTTGAAAATCAATAGCCACTGTGTCGAATATCATCATAGCAATGACTGCTAACACCTGTTGCATTTTTCGCCGAGACAGATAATACAAACTTTTGCATCCCTGGCTCGGAATACTCCGTGTAATATGACCACATATTATTAACTCCTCACGTATAACTGGCTATATTGACATGATATTGATCAATCATGAGCTGGGTATGTATAGCAATGTTACATTGCACTCTGGAGTATTAGACTAAGAAGACCACTATGTCATGCTTCCCTGCTTGATGTTCCTAGATCCCCCTATATATACTGGTATGTGCATATACTGGTATGCGCAACTACCTGCTCCGATGCAGGGGTTTCACACGCGCAGTCAAAGAAACAAAACAAAAATCAAGTTTCCACGGACATGTTATGTCAGATTTCATGGACGAACATATTACAAAACTGTGATGTGCAAATATAAGAACCTGTCGGTTTGTTGAATCATTACTACGTATATTCCTGCCAGTGTAATTATATTTGGGACAGCCCCGTGCTCGCTGATCTACACAACACACATTAAATGCGCCTATTCTACATACAACAAAGCATATAATAAGTACCGAGCAGCATCGCTGGCGGTCAAAGGCGCTTACATATTAAGATGGACTAGTATAAATCCAACAGTTTCAGAAGTACGTAAAAGGATCGAATACTTCGTGTTATTGGATTTTTCATTATAATTCGCACATATTGTGATCTAGCTGATAGCTAGTTTGGCAGTGTTACAATAAAAGAGCGCCGTTACAAATTTGGTGCATTCTGGCCACCGGGATGTTTTCATTACCTTCCTTGCTTGCAAGTATGCTAGGAAGCTGAACGAAGGTTGGTTTGGTTCTTATTTAAGCGCAGTTACCCCAGGGGTCTCTGTCTTCCCGATTTGCCCAAGCAACACACGGTGCTAAATTGAAAGTATGACCATTACTGCTGATAAGTTTTGTCGGTTGAATGTGGCTGTGATTGGAGGGGGAATTGGTATACATGACACCAACCCCACCCGAACCCTTAATTCAAGATTGCTGCTAAAAAATCCCAGGGGGACTTGCGAGCGCAATCGCTCTTCGTCGTTCAGGTCATGTTGTCACAATCTACGAACAATGCTATCAAATCAGAGACGCCGGAGCATCAATCAGCTTCCCTGCCAATGGCACCAAGTGGCTAGATGAGTGGGGAGTTGATATCACCTTAGGCAAACCTACAAGTATCCAAAAGCAAATACGACATGATCTAGAGACCGGCGATGTGCAAGATGTTCTCGAAATTTCTAATTACACAGAGAGATGGGGTTATGTAAGTGCCCCGGGAGCCTAGTATTTGAGATCTATCTATACCAACGCTAAGAAACTAGGAACATTATAACTTCTATCGGAAGGACATGCACAGAATGCTGTTAGAAGCAGCAATTGGACCAGGCGAGGGGAAGCCAGCCACGCTCAAACTGGATCACTCTTGCAAAACGCTGGATTTGGAGAAGGGGTCAATCACATTCCGCAATGAGACAACTGTCCAGCACGATATTATCATTGGGGCTGATGGGATCGGGGTATGTGACCCAAGTTCCAACACTGGAAGTATCATTGAAGTCAGTGGTAACAGAAAGGCAGTCCTCCGTGCGTCAAGCTCTAGGGATCGTGCCCGAGCGTAGGAGAGCAACATCCACTTGCTATCATTGTGTGATCCGAGCAATCGAGGTCCACCGTCTCGGGTTTCCTGAAATGGCCGGCAATAGCGCCCTAGAGTACTGGGGGCAGGGGTTGCAAAAGATCGTCTATTCGGCGTGTCGCAGTGGGGACATTCAGTCGTTCTATCTCTTCTTTCCTCTCTCCAGTACCGATTCCGAGCAGGATACCGAGAGCTGGGATGGCGGTGGAACACATGAAGAACTCTTACGGTCCTTCCCAAAATTGGATCCGAGACTACGCACGCTGCTGTCTCATTCTGTGGACATTCATCCCTGGCGACTCTTCGAACATTTGCCGTATGCACGTTGGCAGTGGGACCGCACTTGCATCATGGGAGATGCTGCGCACCCCATGCTTCCTGACCAAAGCCAGGGTGCATGCCAGGCCATCGAAGATGCAGCAGCACTAGGGATTATTTTCTCGCAGGAATACTCCTTCTCTTCAAATATAAGTGCCGGGCTGCAACTGTACGAGAACATCCGTAAGCCTCGGGCAACTAAGGTGCAAGCTGCCAGCGCCCGAGCTCGCAAGAACCTCTCAGAGCGGATCGGGTTTTCTAGCCAACTCAACAGTAAATTATACAGTGTGGAGAGTGAAAATGAAAAGCTAACAATCGAGGAGATCAACGGGTATGTCCTTCGTACCTTTTTTTAATATATGTTTAATGCTGAGCTGACTCTTCCAGGTATAACATGAAAGAGCATATAGCATCTCAGGCTAATGTGGCATATCGGAATCCAGGATAGCGGGGTAATCTTTCATTTCTCGGGCAGAGCAAAAAAAGTCCGGGTCAGCAGCCTAAACTAAGCTTGCGCAGCTAAAACCTCAGATGCTAAGCATAATCCGAGTTTCAGAGACAAAAAGGGAGAGCGTTGTTAATAACCATTGTCCGCCATAATTCTCTTTCCCATTTTTGCCTGGGATTTATCAAGCTTTCCAGCGAATTATGATCAGCGGTGGAAAGAAAGAGATATGCGCGAGCTTCGATATTGGATTTAGCTGTAGCATTGGTTGAGTTGCCATTACTATCTAATACCATGGAAATTTTACGTGGCATAGGCCTAACGCTATGGCTTTTATAGAAACCATGAACAAAGCCTCTTAGTAAATATCTATGTTGACCTCTACGTATATTCTTGCGGGGTTTCAGCTTTCAACGGGGTGGTTAGAGTAGAACTTATTGGCATCCTAGAGTACAGATGTCCTCTGCGTCCTTTGGCTGTAAATTATACGCTGGATAAGTAGTAGTACTCGTCCCCATTATCCTATCCTAGCTTCCCCATATTGAGTGGCTGCCATGCTGCTCTACGCAGGTGCTTTGGGGAGCTTTAGGACTGTAGGGGGCGGTCTACCAAAGCTCTAGGCCCTTGCAGGGTAGGTGCAGTCTTTGCGCCTAGTAGTACATATGGGGATTTCTGGCAATTTCGAGCAAGTAATTCTGAGATAGTTGATCTTTTCAGACTAGTCGTATGGTCGGCACGCCCCAGAGTGCGGCATAACATTCCGATCTTTCCCGATACATCGTGGGCATAGACCTCTAGTTTTCAGCTGTGTATTTGAAAATTCTGGTGTTGAAGAGCAGATGCCTATGGCAAAAGATCCTGAATACCCCACTTAGCATGTTATACTTCGCATCGGATGAGGATTAATTACGGAGGTTAAAAGTACCATTGTATCTTTTTCTAACGGAGTGGCAATTCCCTGCAATGTTTTGATTGTAAGACGCAAAGGCGTACTCTAGTTACATGTCGTACACATTATGATTGATAGCGCATATTTGGGCGGCTGGGGATGTCTCACATTCCCTAAGCATAGCCGAATTTGAAGAGCTAAACGGCTCAGTTGGGAAATAGGTTATTCTCGTGAATGGATAGTAACAGGCTAATGGGACATCAAAGCCAGAATGGGGCATTTAGCCTTAATATAACAAAAAACATTCAAATGTTGGATTTTAGATCCAGTGGATTTGCGGGTAATATTGTAGAAAACCACGATAGGAGCCCAAACTCGAGAACGTATCGAGAGAGTTCGTGACATCATGGGTTTCGGTCTAGGTATCAGCGGCTGCCAAATAGGTGCGCCATCCAGCAATCTGCACAGCGCCCACACTGCTAAGCATACATCAATCACAAGGCATGCCGGACTTCCATGATGGAGACCTGACTACGACAAGGCCAAACTTTGGTCAACTGTAGACCTGCCTGGCGGAAGAGCTTCTCGAACTGTGCTGGCGTTCGCTCAATTCCATTGATAATCGCCATCATATCGAGGTCTCTTTGGTGGCTGTATCGCTTGTAGACTCCATAGTTTGCCAGAAGAGGCTGTGGTGCTGCCTCTGTAATGGTGTCTGCGGTGGTATCCATGACTTGCTCACAGATCAGCAACCGAGAACGGGCAGTCATGGCTTCACGGAGGATGGACAAGATATCGTGGCAATATCCATCCGCCCAATCATGCCTACCACCAAGGTCAGTGAGTATGCTTAGTTCGGGCTCCGGTCAGCTTACAGGATAAATCGCAGCCAATAGACATCGGCCCCCTGAACAGGATTAGGCCGGAAGAAATCATACTCCATGAAAGAGACTTGCTCGTTCCTGATAGCCTCCAGTCCTTCTTGTGGCCAGATCAGCTCCTTTGCGAGCTTTATGTTCGCCTTGGTATCCTGGATGACAAATTTTAAGCAATGGTACCTCTTGCTAAGCTCCAGCATAAAACCACCTGTGTAAAGAGAGATGGGTGAGAAATAGATACGAGATAACCGGATCGGGGTGACACCCACCAACTCCTCCACCAACATCTACGACTGTCGCATGCCCGAGGTCCTGCCATGGGTAGTCTATGGAGAGTGGGTAGGTGAAGGTGTCAGCTGTCCACTGTAAATCTCAAGGTTTCCCTAGTAAGCCGTGTTTACCTTCCACATGAGTCCGAGTCGTGACCCGGCCCCCGCCCACCATTGCCACACTGAACAGTTGTAGTTCCGGGCGCTGCTGCTGAAAGGCCGCACCAGACTGTTTCACGACCGTCTCCTGGCCAGGGATTCCGGGATAGTTGGTTCTCCACGCTTCCGATATTCCCTCATTCTCCAAAGGCTGACCCTCTAGCCATTCCCACCGACTTTGTGAAGTTCCCATTGCACGTTGGAAGGCAGTCTTATGAACATCGTAGGATGGCCCCCACTCTCTATCAAAAAGGGTGTGCGGAAGGTGCTCTGCACAAGAAAAGAGATCGGCATGGCTACTAGGTTGTCAACGGCCTAGAACTATATATATTGATTGCACTTACAACATGAGGATATAGGCCCGTAGGGGTTCGTTATTCACGAGCGCGGACGAAATGCGGTTGTTGGCGAATATGTCGGGTTCGGGCTCTTTCAATATATGGCTAGAACAGAGGCACCGAAGAATACGGCCTGGCAACAGAGACAGGCAATATGTTAGCATATCCATTGGAATGACACACTCCCCATCACAAGAACGAAACAACAGGTTGAGTTAGTACCCATTTTGGCGCATTCTACGCCAGACTTTGCGGCAATGTGCGGCAAGGGTACTCCTGTCGCGGAGGATGAAAGAATATCAGGGATTCGTTTTGCGGCCACAATGGCAAGGGCACGCGACTCCCAGTATTGGCCGGAGTATTCCATGAGACGCAGAGATGGATCGGAGACCAATTCGACGAGCGTCCCTGTAGCCGAAATGATGGTCTTCTTGGCACTGTAGAGGGCCCAAGAAGGAGCCAGGCCGGATGTGTTCGACCTGTTTGTGGACTCATTTACAATTGCTTGGATTTTCTCCTGGATCAAGCAACCCAAGTCCACAAGCTGCCCCACGTTTATCTCATATTCGTCGTGCATCATTCCGTCTTTCATTTTCACCTTCATCTGTACCAGGGAGGTATTTAGGTTTGAATATATAGCACAAAGCCTGGGAATATTGACTCTCTCATCTGATGTCAATCTAATGGATCATTCAATATATAGAATGAGCTGTGGTGGTTTTCCCTCCTTCCGGGTACACACCAGTGCGCTCTATTGAACGGTCCCTCACCTCTATAAGTCGGTCAAAACATGTCGGACAATCCTGCAATTGCGCGGACTAAGACTTATTCACTAGACCATTCATAGACATCTAAGCAAGGAGGTGTGCACAAAAGGCATGCTCTTGCTCTTATTTTACAATCGCAGTCAACCACTGATCTAGACGGTATTTGTAATATTTGGTAGGTGATGGACACGGTTAATCAAGTAATAAGGCCGACGAGAGTTAGGCCTAGTAAAAACAGTGTACGCGACAGATTAAAATATTTCAAGATCGCTACGCCAAAACGTTAACCAATGCTTGGTGTAGGGGGTAACCTGACTGATGTCCCAACAAAATGTAATCAAGACAGGTAGATCCATTTGCAAGCCTGAGAGAGAAGGTAATGATATGTCCCAGGGCCGGGACGGAGTCGCAAGGGTTAGGAGACATCACTACCTCCTGATTGGTGGTCTGTTTACAGTTTTCTTCCGACAAGCGCTGCCTGGTCTGATGAATCGTGCATCTGGGATACATTCCGAGGGTATCTCATCTCCAGTCGTCAATGACGAAATCGGACCTCGATATCGGGAAATGGAAAACCGTGACGTAGGGAAGCACCAGATCATTATGCCCTTGTGATTAGGATCGCAAGGGGTGGGAACGGTTCATTGGCAGTTTTTGATCCGGACCAGCGGTGAGCAACAGAAATGAACATAGAAAATTACGGTGTACCCGTCACATTGAGCCTTCCTTTTTCTCTGTTCCTTTGATATCTCACTATATCGCGCCGTGCATACCGCAGATACCCTCATGCACTAGAAACCTCGTATTGTCAAAGATGGAGCATTCACTGTCCCAGATAGTGTAACCTGATCAAAGCTTCAGGCCGCCGCTCATCGTGCTGAACATCGCGTTGCAGAAAGGGGGCACTGCAATGTAACTCCAACAGCGAGTGAACCTCCATTGCTTCATGCGAGCTACGTGGCGATTAGTCCTCCGTGCACTGGTCCTCTCTCTCTAGCGAATTTCCTCACCGTTGATAACAGAAATTCCACGACTCCTTGCTGTCAGGTTGGCAGTAGTATTCGGATCTACCACGCATTATTCTAGGTATCACGGGCAAAGCTCAAAACACAAGAGCTGCATGGTAGCAGATTCAGAAAATCTGGCAGCCGTGGAAGGTGACCGCCCGAGGGCCAGCACTGCCTCGTATCGTGACATATCACCCTCACAGGCGGTGAGAGCGCAGGTGCAATATGTGATTACAACCTGACCCAACGCCCTTGCCTGCGGTTTCGGAATCAATAAGGCGGTACCAGGTAGGCGAGAAAGCAGGTCTTCATAGAAAATAGCCTTCCAGCTACGTCAATGTTAGAAGACCATTTGGCCTTGTTGACTCTTCGCAATGCATCACACCGGTGAGCTTTGCACCACGTTCTTGAAGACTCACGCTAATCACATCACAACAGCTCTTGTTCTCACCAAAAGCCTGAGCAGTCCAGGACGTCACACAGTACAACAGCTGGAGCATGGACACGAAGAATCAACGTTGTCATTTCTACAAAACAAAAACCGGCAACAGATCAAAGCCACGGTGGACGCTTTCCATGTAGGCAGCGCAACTCCCCTCATCAGTCCCAAAATTTGGAACAATTTATTAACCTCTTTCGGGGAGCAGGTAAGCGGCTGGGTCGATCCACTTACGTTCGAGGCCATGGTCTGGATTGATGTTGGTGGCATTGATCTGGGGGCTTTCCATGGTATGACCAATCGCAGGTTTCGGATCGATCTCGACCTCAAGTTTGTGAAGGGCTTCCTCACGCTGGAGCTCAACCCGTTCGATCAGGTCTGGCTTCACGTCGATACTGTTCAAGGCAGAAAAGGGGGCGGCTTCTGTGCGATGGACTGCCAAAAGTCGATCCATGTCCAGACGCTGAATAGCCTTGCCTGTGAGCCGTGGGTTCGACGATGAGGTCGCGTGGCCTGTCGAGATTCTATAGATCGTGTCCGTCTGTATCTCCTTCATCCTGCTGGTCCTAAACCTGTTACCTTCCCCTGGAGGGGGGGGGGTTTGGCCCACACCCAACTAGATAGTAGTAATGATGATATCTCCAAGCCTCATATCATTAACGCCTAAGGACAATAACAAGAGCGGAAACAAAGATGTGACGCAAAGGATAACCACTCGACTCCAAAAGATATCTACACACTTATGAGCTCTGTGGGTACCCTCTTATAGCTATCTTTACGTTGCGACAAGATGAATATCCAGCCGTGGCAGCCGCGGTATCTTAGGGGCTGTGGGGGCAACCGGGGGTTGGCGCTGGGGGAGAAATTAGTCATTCCCTGGAGGCGCGTTGGTTTGACAAGTTTGTATCCCTCGTTATGCACCGATGAGTCACCCACCGGCACAATGACTGCCCCGCCCCACGTGATCGCTCTTCCCCGTCATCGGAGCTCCATCTTCACCTCAAGTTCATCTGTGCAAGGAATTGGATCTTCTCGTTCTCTTCCCCCGCATTGCTGGTGCTTAATTATTTCTCCCACTAAATCGTCTGAGTCGAATTTGCCGTCCCATTTCCCCATTGACTTCTGCTCAGTGAATTCACCATGGCATCCCCTATCTACCTCGGTGTAGTCGGTACGCATCCCATCCTCGCGGCCAGCGTCACGGCCGGGAACCACTGATACGAGACGCATTCTAGGTGTCGGCGGTGTCGGATCCGCCTTCCTGCAGCAACTGGCCCGCCTGCCGAACGCGCCCCAGCTCGTTCTCCTCGCCCGTTCCTCCCAGACCCTGCGGGCGCCCGCCCCCGCCTACACCCCCGCCCTCCCCGCGGACTGGAAGGCCGCGACCGAGTCGGCCGGCGTGACCCAGTCGGGGGCCTTGTCGGTCGCGGAGATGGCCTCGTATCTCGCCGCGGCGCCCGGCCGGGCTGTATTGGTCGACAACACCAGCGACCCCGCGCTGGCGAGTGCCTACCCCACCTTCCTTCGCCAGGGCGTCTCGGTCGTCACCCCGAATAAGAAGGGCTTCTCGTCCGACCTGGCCCTGTGGAAGGAGATCTTCGCGGCCGCCGCGCAGGGCGACGCCCTCGTCTACCACGAGAGCACCGTCGGCGCCGGCCTGCCCGTCATCTCGACGCTCCGCGATCTGGTCGCGACGGGCGACCAGGTCACCCGCATCGAGGGCGTCTTCTCCGGCACCCTGTCCTTCCTCTTCAACACCTTCGCGCCCGTGTCGAGCTCCACCCCCGCGGCACCGTGGAGCCAGGTGGTCTCCCAGGCCAAGGACCTGGGCTACACAGAGCCGGACCCGCGCGATGACCTAAACGGCATGGACGTGGCGCGCAAGCTGACGATCCTGGCGCGCATCGCGGGCCTCGATGTGACCGCCCCCGACGCCTTCCCCATCGAGTCGTTGATTCCGGCCGAGCTGGCTGGGCTCCCATCCACCGCAGACGGGATCACGCAGTTCATGGCCCGGTTGCCCGAGTTTGACAGCCAGATGGCCGCGATCAAGGATGAGGCCGCGCAGCAGGGCAAGGTGGTGCGGTACGTGGGCAGCATTGATGTGGCGACCCAGCAGGTCCGCGTTGGCCTGCAGCAGTTCCCGCAGGACAGTGCCATCGCCGGCCTCAAGGGCAGCGACAACATCATCAGCTTCTACACCCAGCGGTACGGGTCTAACCCGCTGATTGTCCAGGGCGCTGGCGCTGGCGGCGATGTGACCGCGATGGGTGTGACGGCGGATCTGCTGAAGGTGGTGCAGCGTCTGCGTTGATTGAATTGGGGACGGGAAATTCCCCCTTGGAACATAGACTTTTGGAATAGACAAATCAATGGGTCCGTCTTGTCCTGTCTGGGCTTGCATTTCCAGCGTAGTGAGCATTCGTAGCCTGAGGCAGCTCCGCCACCGCATCGAGGCAGCCATTGGTTACGGAAGGGTAGTACGAGACGTCCACTCATTCCATGCCTTGCAACGAAAGGCTACAGCGAGAAACCTAGTCCCGACCAACAAACTCATACCGATTGATCCCACGATCATCGGGACTTCCGGCGCGATGGGGATGATTGCGGCCACATCCCTCCGGCCCCCGCGATACAAACATGTCAAACACCAAAAAGCGCAACACTAAAGGAACGTCATCCCACACGCGGCGGGGAAGTGAGCGAAAGGAGGGGCAGAAACACATCTGGTTAAATTCCCTCACTCGCTCCTTTCTTCCATTCTCTCTTCGACCCGGTCCTTTTTTCTGATTCGATAGAATGGCCCTCCACCAGAGCAAGCTCGCCTTCATCGGCGGCGGCAACATGGCGTCCGCCATCATCAGCGGCCTCGTCACCCAAGGCGTCCCCAAGAACAACATCTGGGTCGCCGAGCCCTGGGACGTCAATCGTGAGAAGATGGCCGCCCTGGGCGTCCAGGCGACCACCTCCAACGTCGAAGCCGGTGGCCAGGCTGACCTCGTCATCATCGCTGTCAAGCCCCAGGTCACCCAGGCCGTCTGTGAGGAGCTCGCCGCCGCTTGGGCCACCAGAGATACGCTTCCCGTCGTGGTGAGCATTGCCGCTGGGATCACCCTGCAGAGCTTGCAGGGGTGGCTGCGGACACAGGATGGCCGCACGGCGCACACCGTGCGTGTTATGCCCAACACGCCCGCGCTGCTGGGTCAGGGCGCGTCCGGCGTCTTTGCCAGTGCGGATGTCGTGGCGGAGGAGAAGGCCCTGGTGAATGACCTGTTAGCGAGCGTGAGCCAGGCGACCGAGTGGGTGGATCGGGAGGAGTTGCTGGACGTGGTGACTGGGTTATCAGGTGAGTCGACGAAGACCCTCGTGGAGCGGGGGTGGGATCAGGGAACGGTGAGAGCGTGCTGATCATGATGGCGGGTTAGGATCCGGTCCGGCCTACTTCTTCGCGATGGTCGAGCATCTCGTGGCCAGCGCGACGGCCTTGGGTCTCTCCTCGGAGCAGGCCACCCGGCTGGCCGCCCAGACGTGTCTCGGGGCGGGCAAGATGCTCGTCGAGTCGTCCGAGACGCCGACCAAGCTGCGCCAGAACGTCACCAGTCCGAATGGCACGACGCATGCAGCGCTGCAGACCTTTGAGGCTGAAGGCTTCCAGGAGATCGTGGACAAGGCGGTTAAGGCGGCAACCAACCGGGCGGCGGAGCTGGGGAATACACTGGCTAATAAATAGACTAATATGGTGAACAGGCGATAGGAATAGTGCATTGTCTAATCCGGTACATCATCAGGCAGGGTGGAAAGACCTAGTAATCTGGTAATACGATTCTTTATCATCCATAGGTGAGCTATTAGTTGTAGGATGTGCTCTTGGAGTCTGGGATGTACTTCTAGTAATCATACTCTCATCGGCATGAGGTGATGTCACCTTGAACCGAGCTACAGAGAACACTGTACATCTGATATGGAAACAGTTATATGTGAATCTACCGCTAGCGGACGCGCCGTTGGCCATCTACTTCTGCCGCACCTCGTCATAAGTGCTAACCAAAATGTCAAACGCCCGACGCAGATACTTCTCGTCCGTGCGCTCATTCGCGCTGACCACGCGAATGGCATACACCCCCGCCATCACAGTCGACGTGATAAAGATCTCCCCGCGCGCATTCACCAGCTCGTAGACCGTCTTGGTGAGAGCATTGCTCGCCTCGTCCGGTTGGACCGATCCGTCCCGCGAGGCCGCCTGATCCGATGGAGTTCCGGCCTTCATGCGGAACACGGTCAGACAGAACGCAGGCGTCGTGACAATCTCGAAGATGTCCGGCCGGCTGCGCACCAGGTCGGCGAAGCCATCGCCGATGCGCACCGTGCGTCGGATGAAGTCCTTCATCCCGTTCAGTCCGTAGGTGCGCATCACGAACCAGATCTTCAGCGCGCGGAACCGTCGTCCCAGCGAGATCGACCAGTTGCGGTAGTCGATCACCGCCCCGGACTCGGAGTAGGGGTTGCGCAGGTAGGCGGGCGTGATGTCGAGCGCGTCGGTGAGGTCGCGGCGGTTGCGCACGAAGAGGCAGCTATAGTAATTAATATTTGGAAGATGGCTTAAAGAACATAAAAGGAGGATTACCTCGCGTCAAAATTGACCAGCAGCCACTTGTGCATATTGAAGTTGAAGCTGTCTACTCCCTCGGCGAACTCCTGCGCGATGTGCTGGTACTCGTCCGCCACGAGGGCGGCCCCCGCGTAGGCGGCATCGATATGCACCCAGATGCGCTGCCAAGCCGGCTTCTCCCGCAGGACGGCCTTGATCTCGGCGTACCGGTCGAGGGCGCACGAATTAGTGGTGCCCATGCTCAGGGTGATGTAGTACGGCGTGAGACCGTCGCGGTCGCACTGCTCCAGCACGGTCCGGAGGCGCTCGCCTGTCATCTCCATGTTATCTTCCAGACGGGCCGCCACACTGCGGTAGCGCGTGCCCGCGAGCAGGGCGCCCTTGGCCGTACTACTGTGGGCCTGGTTGCTGGCCAGGGCGACCAGGCGCGGTCGTAGCTCCATCACGCGATCCTCGTACTCGAGGGTGCCCTCCTGCAGGCCCTCCTCGCGGGCCTGCTCGCGCACGCGACGCTCCCGTGCGGCGATCATGACAGTCGCGACGGCGTCGCTGGCGCTCACCTGGATGACCCCGCCACCGTGGTTCGCCGAGGTGCTGAGGAAGCAGGGCGGCAGATGCAGGGCCTGCGCGACCCAGTCCATGACAATGGTCTCCAGCTCGGTGCAGGCCGGGGAGCAGATCCAGTTAAAGGCGGGAGCGGTGAACGCGGCGGAGTACATCTCGCCCAGGATGCTGGGGTAGGTGACGTGGGCGGGGAAGAACGCCATGAAGTTCGGAGACTGCCAATGGGTCAGGCCCGGCTTGATCTTCGTCTCAATATCATCCTGAATCTGCGACCAGGCCTCGGGGTCGGTGGGGGGGTGATCGGGGATGAGCGGACGCAGGTACCCGGGTTCGACGGTGGGGACGACGCGCTGGTTGGGGAGGCTGTCGAAGTAGTCGGCGACTGGTCGATTAGCTCAATTTGGGGCGGGCAGGGAGATGTGACTGACTCTGGTCGACTGCGGCATGGGCAGCCGCTCTAAACTGTTCGCGATCCATGTTGTATAGTATAGGAGAGAGAAACGAGAAAGAAGAAGAGCGGAGGAGGGGGAAAAGACGGACAGAACAAAGGAAAACCTGAGGTTACGCAGGGCGGAATTGGTTCCGGCCGCGGGATCCCCACTCCCTCGTCGCACCCCGATCAACGATCACAGAACGACCAGGATCTTTTTCTGGGGGATGACAATTTCTCGCTTGTATCTGACTATCAAGAAGATAATTGTCGACCATGTCACCATCATGATTAATAGACCCACTTCGATAAGACGTGGGGCTGGATGTGCGGACGCTCTACGTGCATAATGTATATAATCAGCCCCTAAGCCCCACGGATACGATTGATCTCACATATATATCCAACACCCGCCCACAAACCACAGTAATGCTGCAATTGAAACGGCATGGATGAGAAAATCACGCGGGAGACATTGAAAGAGATGCGGGCGGTATGAGTTCACATGTTTGCCCTGTTTGTATTGCTCGCATTCCCCGCGCCGGCCGCGGGGTTCTCCGGCGGAGCGGCGCTCCGCCCAACCCGGCGGACGGGATAATGAGGACTGCTACTACTACGCTATAACTTTTGGTGATAATTTGCCTAGATAAAAATATGTTTCTGCTGCCTGAACGGTGCAATTCATACGACATGGATGTGTCGGAGAATGTGAATCGACAGGGACTTGGGATAGCTGTTTTCCTGCATACAAATGCTCCTGTTGATGTAGTTTCTCCTTCCCAGCGAAACGCTGTAGTACATCCAACCTGCACTCTCTGATCTATACATCCGTCACCTTGACAGACATCTCCTACACCCTATGACCGGCACATTCCCTCCTCGTCCCATCCCTCACTCCCCACCCCGTATCTCGCGAGGAACAAGTCCTCCGGATCCCACCTCCGCTTGATACTCAGTAGCCGTCCGTAGTTTTCCTCCCCCCAGTACTTGCCCTGGAAGTCGTCCTGCAAGGCCGCTCCTAGATTACGATACTCGACCCGCTCCTGCCCCCGGTCTAGCGCATACAGCATCGGCAACTGCACCTCGGCCATCTGCTTTGCCGTCGCGTCACGCGCCCCTGTCTCCTCCGCAACTCCCACCATGAGGGTCACCAAGTGCGCGGCGGACCGCCACGCGGGATGCAGGGGCGTGTCGATCATGCGATTGGTAGCCCCGCCTAGGTTACTAGTGAAGATAGCATCGCCGGGGCCAAGAGGGATGCGTGAGAGGCGCTGGGCGAGGTGGAGCGTGCTGTTGGTGTCATTGTCAAAGAACGCATTCGATAGTAGTGTCGACCCGAAGAGCGCACTCATGCCAATATTGTCCGCGCCGTAGTATGTGCTGAGCTTGGGCACTGCGCGGGATGTCACTGTGTAGACTGAGGTGTTATTGCCGATGAGAGCCAGTACACGCGAACGTCCGAGAGATACCGATGTCGTGTTAAGGAAGTGCATGATGAGCCGCGCAGTGACGGTGCCGTTGCCGTTAGGGCTGGGGGACAGCGTCATGTAACCTCCTGTCTTCCCATCGCGGTTGAGAGTTTGCAGTGCCGAGAGAAGGCGTGTAACCCCAACGTTCCACAGTCTAGCGTCGCTGCGAGGGCCAGAGAAGCTGACGGTGACGACGGTCAGGGGAAAGTCTGGATACGTGCGCATCGTGGCCCGTGTTACAACCCCGAAGGTGCCGCCGCCGCCGCCCCGGAGGGCCCAGAAGAGATCGGGGTTGTGGTGTGAGTTGGCGATTTGCAAGTCACCCTGGGCGAATTAGCCTCTGCTTTAACGTTGGTGGACTTGAATCAGACTGTACATTGGCAGTCACGATCTCGAACTCGAGAGCATTGTCTACCCCCAGCCCCCATGTGTGCCCCAGGAACGCCGGGACCCCGCCCCCTTGGAGGTATCCTCCTGCAGCGCCGACTGAGACACAGTCCCCCCCTGTGACCATGAAGCTGTCTACAGCGCCACGGGCGTATAATTGCTCGAAGGTGACGCCTGCGCCAAAGGTCACTGCGGGGCCGAGAGAAGCGTTGGAGCCGGTGGCACGAAAGTCATGAGTATGAACAATGTCATCTAGTTTCTGGGTGTAGAGCTGCAAGGCGCCAGCGCCGCTTGACCGGCCTGAGGTGTCATGGCCCGTGTTGTGGACTATAAGACGCAGATTGTGCAAGCGGGCGAATCGGACAGCTCGCTGGACATGAATAATGGATTTAGCAACAACAGAGTACAGTGGGATGCGTCCTTGGTAACACGGCTGGGTACGTGGGGAATCAAGAAAACAGCTCTCATCTGGTCGGGAGCCACTCTCCCACACGCGGTTCTGCAATGCGCCTGCTCTTGTTAGTGGACACTTGATTATCTGAGAGGGAGACATACCTGGCTGGTTAGCTCTCCACACATTGTTATTGGTCATATTCTTCATATCATTGCACGCTTGTTGATTGAATGTGGGATCATGACACACTGATGCAATCGGCCTGAGTTGGACCAAGTGCCCGTCAATAGATTCATTGAATGCGGCCCACGTGTTGATGGAGGGCCAGCATGAGTCTGATGGTCGACAGCGACAGGATGACTCTCCCAGCGTGAGGACCGACCCAATAAGGAGAAGGCAGAGTATTTGATGCATTACAGAAACAATGCGCTAGTAAGTCTATCCTCAAGCAAAAGTTTGTATCATGAGCATGCTAGGTGCCATGAGGGTTGATTATTTTATATTCAAAATCCGGCTGCAGCCTGGCCTGGTCAGCATCAGACTGCAACGAAATCATTTTCTCTGACTTCATGAGAATCGGGCTTCCATGTCCCCCGAGACAAACCCCGATTGGCGAGGAGATCGTATCAACAGTCAGATCTGAGCATAGGCCTACTGGAGACTGCGTTGACTCAGATGCACGGTTCATCTCGCGGTGTACAACATGTGGCTCTGACGCGTGGGCCTGTTGGGAAAACGTCCGATCTGGCAGACTCCAAGAATGACGTGGCGAATGGCGGTACGTGCCTGCTCCCAGAGTGTAGCTGGCGTGGGCCCAGATGATCCTGGGACTGTGGTACAATATCTGTGAGACGCTGCCTGACTGGTCTTCTCCTTGTATATCTCCTACTCGGTGATCTCAGTGCGCAGATGAGGTGCGAGCTCAGCTGACTGCGTGTTCCCGCTGATGTCTCTTTTGGGGACTTGACCAATAACTCGAAAGGAGCCACACCAGTGGCGAAATTATCTGTCAAGACAGGCCTCGTCGGACAGTTCCACGTCGTGGATCATGCATCGACGGGGATCACAAATCAGCGGCGAGCGGAGGAGGGCAACAAGCGTGGTCACAATTAAATATCAAAGGGAGTAGAGGCCGCGGGACCAGGTCCTCTGCAAATGCTGGAAGAAACTAGAAGGGTGTGAATCAACGCGGCTCCGCGTGGTGAGACGTGGGCCTGGCATGAGGGTGGAACTGGTGATACAGTAGCCGCAGCGAGGACTGGAGACGGCGGACCTGAGACAAAAAGAAGAGCCAAAACAACAGTGAATGTATAGCTGCGGCAGCCGCGGTCTCTTGAAGGTCACAACGGTTGTGGTTTGAAATTAGACCGTGAGAAAGAAGCGCGATGTGAGGTTGCTTAGTGTTGTGGTTTCATTGATTTGACATGTTTATACTCCTCCGCCACCGCTGAGGCGGCCATCAACCCACGCGCGCAAGGGCACTACTCTGTACTACTAAAGCTGTATCGGAAAGGGGTAACGGGAGCCTTAGAGACCCTCTGCTATCACCTTACTAGGTGCATTCATGCATTAACTGTCGATACCTCCCTCCTAAATAGGCCTAGCGCCTCACCGGACAGAGGTTTTCCTCTGCTTCTGCACCTAGATAGCTTGATAGTCCTCCATAGATCTAATCGAGTCTATCACCCCTTTTTCATCCTTCCCGGTGTGTTTTCATCGGGGGTCCAACATTAACCGTACCATCTCAGTCGGTCCTGCGAACTGAGCTGCTTGGGCAATTCCTGGTGGGGGAGTCTGGAACTTGATTGATATATATCAACTCGCTGGCTGCCTGCGACTGTCATCTGCCGGTTCGATGGTAGGGTCGTGTCAGTGAAGGTTACAGGAGAGTGCAAAATTAGCTTCACCCGCCTCACGCTCTTTCTTTTATTATGCGCGCACTGCCAAGGTGCTCGCGAGATGATTGAGTGTAAATTAGTAGATCATGCCGATTCGAGCATAAAGGCTGGGCAAAAGCTCACCAACGAAGTCTTGAAGTTTTAATTCTCTACTGAAAGTGTCTGATTGTAGGAGTGTTAAATGACTGCTGACGATCAATAAATGGTGATGAAAATCCAGGAGATTGTAGGTTTTGAGACCCCGTTTGACTCATCAGGTAGAACTTGTGGTGACAGGATTGAGGATCCTATGGATTTGCCACTGTATCAGAATCTAGAGGAACCAAGTAGCATGTTCTTGAACAAAATAATTCTTGATAAATCTAATCCCTCTCCCACGCCCTTCTTTTGCAAAGATACTAGAAAATATAAGAGGTCAGAAAACGAAAATCAATTGACATCTATTGTTTCTGGAATCCTATAAAGGAAACCCAGCCTGACGCGTGTCCTAAGGCAAGTGTATCTAATCTAGTCGCTGAACAAGAATACCTAGCCTCGGGAGGGAGCCATAAGACTTGTTTCCCATTTAAAGCTATCCATTCATGCTGTAGAGATATCTCTAAGCTCATATTAGGTGTCTCAAGGTCAAGGTTGCCACATCTAGATTGAATCATGAATGTGCATGTGTTTGTGCAGAGATGGGAGCCATATTGTGAAAATTCAAGCTTCGTGGCGAAACCCTGAGTGCTTAAGGTTTCTTGCAGGGCGCCCGTGGCCGGATCCCAGAGCTGTATTATCCCATCATACGAGCCGGACGCCAGCAGCCGGCCATCGGGTGAGAAGGCCACCGATTGAACCAAGCTTGTATGACCCTCAAGGGTCTGTTGTAGGGCGCCTGTGGCCGGATCCCAGAGCCGCACTGTCTTATCATACGAGCCAGACGCCAGTAGCTGGCCATTGGGTGAGAAGGCCACTGAGCTAACTGAGCATATATGACCCTTGAGGGTCTGTTGTAGGGCGCCCGTGGCTGGATCCCAGAGCCACACTGTCTCATCATACGAGCCAGACGCCAGCAGCTGGCCATTGGGTGAGAAGGCCACTGAGTAAACTGAGCTTGTATGACCCTTGAGGGTCTGTTGTAGGGCGCCCGTGGCTGGATCCCAGAGCCGCACTGTCTTATCATGCGAGCCAGACGCCAGCAGCTGGCCATTGGGTGAGAAGGCCACTGAGCTAACTGAGCTTGTATGACCCTTGAGGGTCTGTTGTAGGGCGCCTGTGGCTGGATCCCAGAGCCACACTGTTTCATCATCCGAGCCGGACGCCAGCAGCTGGCCATTGGGTGAGAAGGCCACTGAGCTAACTGAGCTTGTATGGCCCTCAAGGGTCTGTTGTAGGGCGCCTGTGGCTGGATCCCAGAGCCGCACTGTTTCATCATCCGAGCCGGACGCCAGCAGCTGGCCATTGGGTGAGAAGGCCACTGAGCTAACCGAGCTTGTATGACCCTTAAGGGTCTGTTGTAGGGCGCCTGTGGCTGGATCCCAGAGCCGCACTGTTTCATCATGCGAGCCAGACGCCAGCAGCTGGCCATTGGGTGAGAAGGCCACTGAGTAAACCAAGCCTGTATGGCCCTCAAGGGTCTGTTGTAGGGCGCCTGTGGCTGGATCCCAGAGCCGCACTGTTTCATCATCCGAGCCGGACGCCAGCAGCTGGCCATTGGGTGAGAAGGCCACTGAGTAAACTGAGCTTGTATGGCCCTTGAGGGTCTGTTGTAGGGCGCCTGTGGCTGGATCCCAGAGCCGCACTGTTTCATCATGCGAGCCAGACGCCAGCAGCTGGCCATTGGGTGAGAAGGCCACTGAGTAAACCAAGCCTGTATGGCCCTCAAGGGTCTGTTGTAGGGCGCCTGTGGCTGGATCCCAGAGCCGCACTGTTTCATCATCCGAGCCGGACGCCAGCAGCTGGCCATTGGGTGAGAAGGCCACTGAGCTAACTGAGCTTGTATGGCCCTCAAGGGTCTGTTGTAGGGCGCCTGTGGCTGGATCCCAGAGCCGCACTGTTTCATCATCCGAGCCGGACGCCAGCAGCTGGCCATTGGGTGAGAAGGCCACTGAGCTAACCGAGCTTGTATGACCCTCAAGGGTCTGTTGTAGGGCGCCCGTGGCTGGATCCCAGAGCCACACTGTCTTATCATACGAGCTGGACGCCAGCAGCTGGCCATTGGGTGAGAAGGCCACCGAGCAAACCAAGCGTGTATGGCCCTCAAGGGTCTGTTGTAGGGCGCCTGTGGCTGGATCCCAGAGCCGCACTGTCTTATCATCCGAGCCGGACGCCAGCAGCTGGCCATTGGGTGAGAAGGTTACCGAGTAAACTGAGCCTGTATGACCCTCGAGGGTCTGTTGTAGGGCGCCTGTGGCTGAATCCCAGAGCCGCACTGTCTTATCATCCGAGCCGGACGCCAGCAGCTGGCCATTGGGTGAGAAGGCCACCGAGTAAACTGAGCCTGTATGGCCCTCGAGGGTCTGCAATTCTGCACTCCAGGTCTCGTTGACTTGTGGAAACTGGCTGATCCAAGTAGGAAGCTCTGACTGGAACTCTCGACGGATTACTGCCGATCGAGGTGTAAATACCAGCCCTGCATAATAAATCTGAAGCGGTGCTTTATCTGCTATCTGGCGATTTTTCAGGACAAACCGCTTTGCATCATGTAGAAAGTCTGTTAAAACAGAATCATCATCATCAATACTCTACAGCTATTAGTATAAGTCACGGACAAATGTATACTATATACTTACTGGTATAAATGTGTGGAGAAGATTAAGCATACCCACCACCTCTGATATAAGACCTAGCAGACTCATTGCTTCCATCCAGTGGAGAAAATGCTTCCGGAGGAATATTAACACATCTTTTCTGTTGGATGAAGCCTGGCCGTATTTGAGATGGTGTATCCAGTAGCGACAGGAGTATTGCAATTCTGGTGGCAGATACTGGCGGATATGTTGAGGGTTAATGTCTGCCCTAAGCGCCCCAGGGTCTGCTAGGTTGCAGATATCTCTCCGTAGATGACTCTGCATAATTTGGAGACAGGACTTCGCAATGTCCCTGTTCTTTTCTTGCTCATTCACATGAAACTTGGTTTCAGACTGGACCAAAAATTCTCGAAATGATAGATGTAGGATTCTAACAGGCTGATCGGGGTCATCGGGAACGCTTAAAACCGATCGGAATAAATCTAATTGGTTGATAATCAGGTCTGCTCCTATTCCAAGAAATTTTGATAGTGTTCCTCTAGAAAGAGGAACAGCAAGAAGAATAATAACGCCCACAATGTCCTGGAACTCTTGTAGAAGCTGCTGCTGCTCTGACTCATCACTCTCTTGATCACCGAGGAGTTGTGTCAGAATTGGCAGGTATATCTTATTCATTCTCGAGACATATTTGGTTTGATCCTTCAGAAGCTCTGCGAGGCGTGATATTGGTTCACATCTTGAATTTTCGATGTAGCGGCACACAGTGGCAGCTGAAATGAATAGTGGAACAGATATTTTGACTAGTTCCTGAATGACATTATTGCTAGGCCAGTCTTGGGAAATCTTTCGGTCACGTTTAATCTTCGTAAATCGTTCTTGTAGGAAAAGTTGTATGTCGTGTTCTGTTACTTCTTCGGGTATCTCATGAAGAGCAAAATCTTGATATGTATGATCCGTGATCTCTGAAAACCCGAGGTTGATTGGGAGTTCAGGCCGGCTGGTCAAGAAGATTCGAAAGTGAACCGTGCTTGTCTTCTGTAGAAGAGACATTAATCGAATGATGTTTTGGACATCTTGATCATGTTCACATTCATCTAAAGCATCAATCACTATCACAGTAGTTTCAGATTGTCGGTCGAGTTGGTCAAGATTGCGAAGTGGTTGAAAGAGTAGTTTCTCAAATTGCTCCCTAAGTGATTTTGACGCAATGTCAGGATCATGATCAAGTGTCTTTTGCACTCTAGACCGCAGCCCAGAAATCTTAAACATGAGTTGTCTGGTTAATGTTGGGAAAAACTTTTTCGCGTTCCCTCGGTCTCCTTCACCCCTCTTGAAGAAGAAGCTGGCACCTAGATGGTTGGTACCCTTAAGCGACCTTGCCACCGTCCGAGATATTGTAGATTTTCCTGTCCCAGCCATTCCATTTAGCCAATAAATGCTTTTTTGAGAAGGTGACTTGGCCCATCCCATTATCTGCTCCAGGAGCTCGGTCCTCGTGCCTTGAAGACATTCAACTTCGTCTCGATCAGAGAATGAGTCAAACTCGGCCTCCTGAACAGCTGGCAACTTATCAACCCCAATTTTCTGATACACACGTTTAATTGCTGTCAGGGTATTTCTATTAGAGGTAAGCAAGAGTGCATTTAATCTTATACAATAGATACATATACAACCTTTGATTGTTATTGAGATCGCTCAACTCCTGAGTAACTGTAAACCGTCAGGTCACTATGCTGATAAAATATAAGACATGGATATCAATAACAAGGTGTTTATTACAACATCAAGCCATCAAAAGATCATGTGAGCCTTGAAGTTTTGTATGATGTTCTAACCTTGTTGAAGTTCTTGAGCTACGCGCTCGGCCCAAGGGCGCATGGCATCCACACGTTGCGGCCGTAGAACCAGCAGGAGATCTCGTGCATAAGCAGCAGCAACAAGAGCAGCATAATTATGCCAGTCATCATTCTTGTGAGAGTCACAATAATCACAGATGCCACGAATGACCAGACATGGGATGTTATTCATGAGACCTGCTGCTTCCATCTCAAAGCAAAGAATATTCAATTCTGGGTCCTGGGCGTATTTATCCCGCACTTTGGCATCCTTGAGAACAGAATTTCCTGATGCAATAGTTCCGTAGTGGACATGGAGGATACGGTGGCTCTGGCGTTCGAAGCGGTTCACTTTTGCCTTTAAGTCACATTTATCGCAATCTGGTCCACCCACATGTGAATAGTCTGCAGCGTAAAGCCGGTCAATAGCCGGCTTTTGATAATCTTCCATGTCATCAAGAAGTTGGAGATGTTCTGCAAGTCTATCTGGCTTCTTTTTATCACTGTGCAATCGGCGTATCTCTGGAATAACTCCCAGCAGTTTCTCAGGCGGTGCATTCAATTGACTTGTTTTCTGAAAATATCCATCTTTCAACTTGCCCAAATCATATTGGATCACACCGCCAAATCCATCTCTTGGTTGACTGACGACAACATCACCCAGTCGTATGTCATTTCGGAGACTTGGTGCACCGCCTCCGATTCCCACCATTAATGCGAACCGCAGGCGTGAAAAGGTCCGGACCATATCTCGGGCAACACGAGCGGCTGAGTTGGTGCCATATCGACCAGCTGGGAGACACCCAATCACCACATGATGCTTCGCGATACGACCGTAGACGTATGTGTTATCGTCGTTGTCTTCGCTTATTTCCGGTCCATTGAATTCTTCGTCTAGCATACGGCATGCACAGAAATACTCCTCTTCCAAGGCACATATCCATGCGACCGTGTAGGAGTCTATTGAGTCAGGGTCGCGTTGCTCGGATTGATTCATTGAAGCAGTAGAGGGGCTGGTATTTTCACTTTCTCTTGGTTGTGTTGAATATTTTGCTGGGTTGATCAAGTATTACTTGCAAGACAGACGGGAACCCTGTAAAGAGATGAATCGAACAGGGGGAGTGCCCAGTTGATAAGGAAAGAGGGGAAGGACACCCAGGCAACCTGGAGGCGAGGCTGAGTGAGCATGCACTTTGTTATTGGTGCCGATCATCTTTCATAGCCGTGCCAATTGCCCTCCATATCTAACCATTGCTTTTGACTCAAAGATCATGCTTGATAAACATACGTGTGAATGTGTGATCTATATTTAAACATAAGATGAATGAATATTTATGCCTTTTAAGATTCTGAATAACACCTTCCATTTCTGTGCGTCTTAGAGGCCACTTGAAGGCTCGTAATCCCAAATTCTTCATCAGCTTCTTTCCTTTTCCTGGATCAAGTGTCGTTTCTAAGCCTCGGAGATCGGAGTGGCAATGAGTAAGATCACTGACTAGTCGTGAGGAGGTAGGTAGGGCGTTTCCGTTGTTACTTTGAAGAAGTTTCTGCGGGTCGTGGAGTGTCCCTTGAAGGCCTATGATCGCCTGTTGTAGGGTAGAAATTTCGTCTCGTGCATTTCGCACCTCTTGGATGTAGCCCCCGCAAAGCTTCACGAGGATTCCTGTCATTTGAATGACGGCGATAACGCTCGCCGCTGAGGATAGACCATCCATTTGGAAGCACACGAGATAGAAACAGATGTTGCATGTATGTTGGGAACAATTTCGGCTCGAGTGTAAGATTTCTAATTCGGAACTAGAAACAAGGTTGTTCTGGCGAGATAAAGAGGGGTAAGTTTGGAGCCCAACGCGAGGCTGTGAGCCGCTAATATGACTGGTCATGTGTTCCTCTGGTGACAAGCTAAGATTGATGATATAGATAGAACCAGGTTAGCCCCATGTCTTTGCCTTGCGCTCTCGGCCACATCATCAGCTTCTTCAGTTGACAACGCGTTACGCGACAAAGACCATTATGGCGCCCTGACTTGTAGCCTCCTAGAGCACCCCTGATCCATGGCGGCTGTCCCCGTGTGATCACACGGTCACACCTATCATGCTCGAAGCATTATGCGACCACTTGCTATAGAAACCCGATCTATACCTGAATGAGATAGTCTTATACGATGAATTCAACGTGTTCGTAACTAGGTACACTATCAGTCGGGCCCTTCGATCGCATGGTTGAACCAAGAAAGTGGCCCGAGTCCTGACGAATAGCGCAAGAAAGAAACGCGGATCTGAGAGATTACTATCTGTATCAGTTGTCAGATTTCCGCTCGTATCATCTAGTCTACATAGATGAATCAGGCTGTGACAAACGCGATTACTTCAGGAGGATAGGGTGGTCTCCCCGCGGGGGAGCACCTGTCCAGGCTCCCCGCTTTTAGCGAGGTTAGTGGTATTAGATCCTCCCGGCGTATTGCCAGGGCTCAGGATGGCGTTCTGATGTCGCGAGTCTTCCAATCTGATGCTAGCATTTTCGAGAGCTTTATTTAACAACTGCTCCATTATTGCAGTAGATGGCCAGGGCTAAACTCTGTGCTTATCATGGATCACATGTCTTTTCATCATACTGATCTAGCAAGAGAGCTATGCACAAATCCTGGTGTCACACTGTCAAGTTACTGTACTTACCAGTTACCATCATACACCCCTGATCTGAAACCAATCAAGGAGTTCTTTGCAGAGCCCAAAGCGTTTGTCCGACGTAATCAGTAAAACCACACAGATCTATATCTCCAACAATTCCTTGAATAAAGCCTGGATGTCGTGGGGTCTACCGTCTGGAGGAGAAAGTACACAAGGTTATTTTTATCATGCGGATGTTCAAGTTAAAGACCAATCAAAAGAAGTGTTATACATTACGGAGTCAAGCAATCTCTTGACTCGAAGTAAATTTAAGGATGAGCTGTAAAACCTTCTCCGTCCATAGTTTTTGCCTTTTTGTAGGCCAAGAGACCGGTAGGCCACCATAGAATGAGGGTAGAACCTTGATGTATAAAGGCCCATTTCTCAAGCTAGCGTCTTGGCGGCGGGGTCCAGACGGAATGGAAGTGGAAGAGTACACATTGGTGAAGCGGGTTATGGTTATGCACTTCTCCAGGATGGATCGAAATGAGTTTCACCACCAGCACGGTCGGAGACGTGGCAGGCCTTCGAACCCATATTCTGCCAACCACTTACCTCTCAGAGTGACCACGACGAATGCGCGATTGGTACAGAGACAGTACTAGTGAGTAATGTACTCGAACATGGAGATCACGATTCGCAATATGCCCCCACTCCAGGATACTCCGGTCGCCTGCCAGCGCCAAGCTGTGCGCTGAGCCCTTCCCCCGACCGTCCCTCAAAGCGCGATACGGAAGACCTGTTCCAACACCAACTCGAAAGACCTTATGCATAGCCTGAAAGGTTATACTAATCCATTGATACAGGGGCTATCGCACGAAATCGGAAGTAATATTGACTACTTGGATCTAGACAGTAGAGGTATCTATAGCCTGTTCTCTCGATTTCTAAATCCCCAAAAAACTTGCGAACACAACCCAGCAAGTGGAACACCGAGGAGGAGAGCCCATGTTAACAGCCATAAGAGTACCACGGCAATAGAAAAGGTCCGAAACGCTTTATTCATCTCTTGCAGCTCATGATCGTCTGCAATGGGAGACCGCCCAATTTAATCGCGAGAGACGCAGCTGTCCATAGTGGTATCGCTTTGCAACACTATCGTCTTGAACAACGTGAAAGTGATTGATAAAGATTGACCATTGGATCCAGTTGATATCAGTTGGGATCAGATAAGTTTCCTTCACGATCATAAAGTCAAGAGGGCTCTTGACGAGAGATGCGTATGAACACATAAACCCTATCGCAATCGAGGTATCGAACACCGAAGCGGCTGGCTCGGGAGTCTTGGGAACAAGGGAAGGGTGCTCCGACGATAATGCTCGCTGGAAAGGCTGCAGATACCGTCTCATTCAAGCCAAACGGAGGCGCAAGCTCAATCATATTGCAGAGCAAACGAAGGCAATATCCTTTCAAGGTACACCGCATCGTGGGTCTAGCTTTGGCCCTTGGGTCGGCTAGCAGCATTTGCCTTACAACCGCTAGGATCTAATCCATTGATCCTGGCCAATCTGGAGATGACTCTGCCATATTGAGTGATTTACACGAACATTTCGTCACCAGTATACAAGATGATTTGCAGGTGGTCAACTTTTATGAGCAGAGGCCGCTTTGTCTTTTCCAACTATGGTTCTTTCAATGGCAAGCAATTGTGAGAATTCCCGGAAAGGTGTATCAAGCATACTAATACCGGGATAAGTGTGTTCCTGAGAATTCGGCCACCTATCATGGGGTCAACAAAATCGGTCTCGCTGTTGACCACTACGGGTTGAACAAGTTCGACTCTAGAAATGAATGCTATCTTAGCATCTCATCGAATCTTGCTAAGATATTAACAACTTTGGTTCAACTGACAAAGCACCACTATTCTGTTCCGCTTGTGACAGTACAAACTTTTACCCAGCGTGAACAGCTGTATAAGGAGCTAGAAGAGAAGACCCAGATACGGCATGAACATGCCAGCGTCCCATTTGCAGTCACTCTTCACGGGTTAGGAGGTGCAGGTAAATCTCATTTAGCCCTGAAGTTTACGGAAAGCAATGTCAATCGCTTTAACCCAATTCTTTGGATTGATGCAACATGTGAAGAGACTGTTTGATCTAGTTTCAGAAGATGTGCAGTAGAACTCGGAATGTCGGATAAACATAACTAGTAATAAAACATGGCGCTTGTGGACGACCGGGTCATCCAGGGTGTACTTTGATGGCTTTGCCACTGGACTGAAATGGATGATGAATAGCTAGTTATCATTGATAATGCCGACGATGTCACATGGGGTATCAAAAGGATTATGCCAAAGGGAATCCGGGGAACAATTTTGATCACCAGCCACCATGACCAAAGTCAAAAGCTGATTGATAGGGGTTGTGAACATATTTGCGTTGACATCATATCGTCGCGGGAAGTGAGACTAGTTCTTCTACACCACTTATCAGATAATATTGAGTTACTGCCAAAATCGGTGCAAGACGACTGCGATAAAGTGGCGAACAAGCTTGGATATTTACCACTGGCACTGGATCTTGCCGGTGCGTACATTGGTAGTATTGGTAATAGCATTGCCCCCGAACAAGCTGTTACGCAGTATTTGGAAGACTATGAGAAGCATCGTGATGACCTCTTGCCGATGGATCATCTTCGAGGGCTTTCCTCTACGGGGAGAACGGTGTGGACTGTATGGGATACCACCCTGGAGAAAATCGAAAGAGAGTATACGCAGCTGCAGCCTGGTCTACTGTTGACATTTTTGGCACATTTCCAAAGTATTATTGTCCAGGATGAAATATTTCGGTTGGCAAGCCTTGGGATGTCTGCTATCGTTGACAAGTTCGGTGAAGGGGTTTCCACTGAGCTCCGGATGTTTCTTCCGGAATCCGAAGGGAAATGGGACAACTTCACGTATCGACGTAGCATAGATATCCTCCGAGGGCTCCCTACAGCCTGATACAGCGAGTGCATGGAGAGTGGCCTGGTACCATGATGCACGGCCTAGTTCAGTGGCGGGCAATTCATCGTGATCACAATCAACAATGGCAGTGGTGGTATACCAGTTTTGTGCTTGCTGCATGCTTCCAGATCACAGAAGAAGATCACCAGTCACAGTTCCGTCGGTATCTTATGATGCATGTTCCAGATGTGAGGACTGTTGATTCGAACTGTATCAACAATACAGGGATGGGTGAGGATTTCATATGGAGCACACTGGCAAGGGTATACTATGATGAAGGCCGGTGGGAAGAGGCCGAGCAGCTTTTCGTGCAGGTGATGAAGGCTTGCAAGATAAAGCTTGGCGAAGATCATCCCAACACGCTGACCAGTATGGCGAATCTCGCTTTAATTTGGAAATCTTCGGCTCACAATGCCGAAGCCATCCATCTGCTACGAGAGTGCTTGATAAAGCAGAAGCAAACACTCGGCCTCAACCATCCCACCACTTTATCTATTTCTGAAATATTGTTAAGATGGGAAACGGAAGCAACACGGGAGACTGAAGGGGAATGGGAAACGGATGAGGAGTGGGAAACCGATAGGGAATAGTAACGAAGGCACCGGATATAAATGGGAAGATAATTTACGCTCAGAGTTTACTTTTATATTGCATTTTCTGCCTGATGTGTGCCTCCCAAAACAATGTCCCGCCACACGCATTTTTTGGAAGGGAACTCGCTACATGAACTTTTCCTAATCGAATAATGAGACAAGTAGAGGGAAATGCTGTTAACAAGCTCGAGGAGTCGAGACTGCAAGATGCTAGTATTTCTAGTAAGAGGATTACATGTAAATTGCAAACGCAATGCACGTCATATCATCTTTCAATACAATTCCATACTTGAAACCGGGCAGGTCGGAAATGGAATAGTGTGTTTCGAATAGGGGTCCGAGATAGATTCTGTACGAGCGAAGTGATGAAATTGATTTCGATCCTCCCTGTACTTGGAAGCGATTCAGATTGTACGGCGAGACCGATGTCCTCCGACGATCAACCGCGCTTTCTCCGAGCGGAGCGGACCGGCATTGCGTCATCGAACCGGACGGCGGGCGGACACTACGACTGCTGCTGCTGCTATGATGGGAGGGTCCTAGCGGATGGGGATGACGAAGATTCTTCTTGCGGTCTCCGTCGAGAGATTCCGAGCGAGACTCGGTTGACTACATTGGTGCAGTGTGCGTAGTAGATGATACAATCGTGAAACCGTAATGATGATGCCATGTAACACCGCAGTCTGTCCTACTGTCTACATGTCCTTTCCGATGCCGCGGCGGTCAAAGTGGGGCCGGCGCCTACGGCGGAACGAGGGAACAGTGCCTCACGCGAAAGATAAAAAGGCCGTGTATGGCTAGATCGGAGGAGAGGGGGCGCTAACCAGTTCGCTCCCTCATAACCCCCCCTGGATCCACGCGGAGACGGTGGACCCCGTCGTATAGAACATGAACACCACCCCCAGCGCCATCATCAGCAGATCCCCCCGCCGCGCCCACGGCGACTCAGCCACCCCCCGCCAGTGCAGGTAAGGCGGGTAGATATAGACCAGCGGCACGCAGGCAAACGAGCCGATCAGGGACACGAACTTGTCGAGATCCCCCGCCCCGAGCGCCGCCACCATCCCGCATCCCAACACCGCCCCCGTCCGGAACACGTTCTTCTTCCACTTGATCGATGGGTCGCGTTTACCCGACACCGACCCGAACAGCTTCCCCTCCATGATCCGCACCGCCGGGAACAGCTGGATGGGGCTGCTGACCAGGATCGCCACCGCGTAGAGGAACTGGATCGCGTTGACCACGCGGTCCGTCTGCGGGAGGTTGCTGAACACCTCCGTGTTGGTGTCCGCGCCGAAGGTGGCGTAGGTTAGGGCCCCGACCGCCGTGAAGAGGACGGTGATGATCGCCATGACCGCGTACAGGAGCCGGTTGAAGTGCTCCGGCCGCTTCATCGAGGACTGGATCGGGAGGATCAGCCCGATGCCCTCGAAGGTGAAGATGCACGACCCGATCGTCAGCGTGAACGAGCTCCGGTTGAACAACTCGACCGTGGGCGCCATGCCCCCCTGGGCGGCCAGCGTCACGACGTCGTAGGCATAGATGTACGCGAGTCCCAGCAAGATAAACACGTCGGCCAGCAGCGCGACGGGCCCGAGTTTGGAGATGTTCCGGATCCACGAGAACGGGATCAGCACCATCAGCTGCATCGCGATCAGGGCGCCAGTGGTGATGACCCACGTCGGATGGTCCGTGGTCATGGCCACGAAGAATGCGTGCAGGTTCTCCGCCGTGAAGACGATGCAGGCACACACGAATCCAATCTGGGAGATGACCACGGATCCCAGAATGAGCGACCGCAGTTGTGGACCGCCGATCTGCTCCCCGAGGTCGCCATATCCGCCGCCGTAGCGTCGTCGGCACTGCAGCAGCAGGTGGAAGCAGATCGAGCTGATGGCTGACACAGTCACCAGCGCAATGGAGGAAAAAAGAATGCCGCCGTTGCGAAAGGCCCGCGGCAGGAAGATGATGCCCGTACCGACAAAGGCCTTCAGCAGGGTGAAGAACGTCTTCACCTCCGAAGCATCCCCCGGCCGCGCTGCCCGCGAGCGACGGCGGGTGGCCAGCAGCGGCGTCCGCTCCGTCCGCGGTCGACCCCGGTCGATCGATTCCTCCTCCGATTCCTCCAGGTCCTCGCCGGCAAAATTCCCATAGAGATCGAGAAAATCGAGAAAGGACGGGGTCAGGCCGGGCTGGTCCAACCGCCCATTGTGATGCTGGACGAAGTGGCGTCGAAAACTCCCCGGTTCCATCGCGGCCACGCCTTCCTCGACGACGTCCTCCGGTTCGCGTGGCGGGCAGGAATAGCTGGCGGGCCGTCGTGACAGGCGGGCCTGCTTCGACCGCGCTTCGATGCGGTAGAGGTCTCGATGGACGTCGCCCCCTTGCAGCGTCAAGGAGGATTGGGGTTCGGGCGATGCGGTGGCGTGTGGAGGCGACTGGGCTTCGGACCGCTCGGCTGGCGGCCGGGGCGATTCGTCGTGCAGGGCGCCCGTAAACTGCGGATGCAGATGCTGCGACAGGATCTCCTCCTCTCTGGCGTCCGCGTCCGCGTCCCGGCTGGACACGCTGGGCGAGCCTCTTGCGTGAACGGCCATCTTACGGAACCCCGCGGCGGCGGTCAAGGCGGAATCAAATGGACAATCAGAGTCGATTCACGGAAAGCCGGGGTCGCCGGTTCCCACCAATAGATGACAAGAAGTGGAAATGAATGAGACGTGGCAGTTGACCAGAGCGAAAGCGCAAAGCGCACGAAAGAGAGAGAGAGATAGAAAGAAAAAGAGACCAAGACCAAGCAAGGAAGAAGCAGTCACTATCATGTGATGTCATCGGGTGACTCAGCTGGATCGGCCCGCTCACCGAGTCCAAACCTCATCTCGTCTCGTCAAGATTCCTCCACATTCACATTCAGCCCTGCCGGCGCAGAGTCTGCTCGCAGGTCTCGAGAATGGGGCGGACGGAGAAGGCCGGTCGCCCGATGTCACCAGCGGATTCGAGCTGTAGGCCGGATGGTCTGCGGGCATAGCAATCAGCGGACTAACTGTCCGCCGTACCGGTGGAGCTCGGCGGAGTCGAGGAGCGGGCGCTAGAGATCGCCAAGCGCGCACATCTCCAAGGGCGTTGTGTGTCTCACCGGCGTCGTCGACCCGAATTGAAATCGTGCAGCATTCGTCGTCCTACGTCCACGGCGAACGGATGGCTGGTCTTCACGACAGCTCAACCGTTCCTCGCGCACTCGCCCACCGCTCTCGCCAAGAAGATCGATCCGCAATCGGAACAGGAGAACCTGGCGAGAGATGTGGTCCGAGATGGACGGATGACGAAAGCGTGTCATATATGCCGGGGAGATCACGGGAAGGACAGCGACGGCAAGAAAGAGAAAACAAACGGGACACTCTGTCCGGTGACCGTGGGGGAGGTGTGCTCGGCGATGGTTAACGCCAATTCTCGATGCTGCGCTTAAAACCAGAGATCCCTCTGAATTAAGAATCCAATGGATAGAGGCCATGGAAGCGGAGTGATCTTGTGATCCTGTGTATATGTTGTGATACCGATCTCTTATATCTGATCAATGGACCTACGCCTCGCGTTACGTGTTTTGATTCTAGTATTCTCCATGACATCAGCATGGCTGACCAGGACATGCGGCAACCATGTGAGGCGAATTCACCACTCTCCCACTCCGGTCATCTGGTCTTCGCGCATCTATGTACATCTGACCCTGGGTAAGGATTTCATTTAAGGAGGATATCCTAGCCACCGTGATCGGCGGAAGGCCTATGATGCTGCATCTCTCTCGGTTTTTGGAGATGACTGGATAGCCCAGTCATCTGTCACGTTTTGATATTAGTGACTCTGTTCCGATCACTGGTCCCAAGGAGAGTGATACTGTAGTTTTTGTGGTAACTACTCTTCCTGATCTGTACATACAAACTGACAGGCAGACCACTGCATCGTTGGTTCACCAAAAGAACATGACAATTGCGGCCTGTCTTCTACTGGTTTCATTGCCGCCACTTCCACTACTCCGTCGCATTTCCTGTCGACTGGTAGAGATACACAATAAAATTCAGGGTCGCCAGAGCGAGGACTCTTTTTGCCAACATAACCGAGAGAATCCACCCCTTGTCAATCACGTTCACACCTGCTCGTCCGCCACCGGGTATAATGAAAGGATCAGAGCCATGTCCCCTTGAACAGGGGCATATGCATCCGTGATCGCATCAGCGCAGATTGGAACACCGGCTTTGATCCTGTCCGTATAGTTCTGTGGACTTCATTAGCACGCGGCAATATCTCTAAGACAGGAGTACACACATCAAGGGCATCCTGGAATTGGACCGTGTACGAATGGACCTCGTCCGCTTTGAATCCTTCGCCGTTCTCCTCTTCAAACGATGGATCCAAAGTCACATCCACCGACTCCTTCTGTTCCACGGCAAACTGTAGACCAGACCCTGTTAGCGGTGGTACAGCCCTCCAGCGAACGGGGGCTGCGGCGGTGGATCCCATCATACCTTGGTGTACGCATCGCAGACCCTCTGCTGGTCGGCTGCATCCTCAATGACCAGATCGCATCGGATGTCGGTGTTGAAGTGCCTCATGAGGGCTTCTACGTCCGCCACGACTGGCTATCGGTGCGCTTAGCATGTTCTCTCACGGAACCCAAAGGGCTGGGGGCAGGGAGGATTCCATGTTGCCACTTACGCTGTCGCTGTCAATCGAATCATCCGCCTCATCCGTCAGGGTCGGCATGGCCGATGCACCTTTCGTGACTTTGCCGAGGGATGAAAGAACCTCATCGACTCCACAACGTTTCTCGACGGCAGTGGCAGCCGTCGAAAGAAGTAATACGTTTCTCAAGACATTGATCTTCATGGTGGCTAAACAGGGCTGGTGAGTTTCTGGGAGGTGCGGTTTGGAATATGGCTGGATGACCGACCAGGAGCAACAATTTACCATATTCATAACGCGAATCTTGGCTCTATGGCTCTAGGGATGTCTTGGTCATTGGACCGAGAATACCGAGGATCTGGGTTTACCCCTGGAATGTTGGTTCGAAACTTAAATAGGTCCTTTTCTCTCGGAGATCGTTTAGAGCACAGAGAGCAATGACAGAGAGTGTCACTGTTCTATCGTCTGCCTCATTTCTCAACGATCAGGTTCACGTTGTCGATGCTAAGTTCGTTGCCGAACAGGCAGTCGATCGGTATCTGATCGTCCAGGTCCCTTCAATGTCCCGATCACCTGGGACAGTGATCACGGCAGCAGATGAAATGGCAGTGGCATGTATTCAACCAACATCTGGAGCATGCATGCATGGAGGGATGGAGTATGCATTGTTGCGAGCCCTATGTTATTCCATACCGCCACACTGCAATCCCGAGCAATCGGTTCCTCTCGCACGCCCTGTCAGGACGAAAAGGCGTTGTCCTTCTTGGCGAGAATGTTGTCCAACTCCCCTTCTAGACCTATAATCGGAGTGGCTTAATGAGGTCCCCGATCCACGGTCCCAGGGGCGTTGACTTGGAATGTGGGCTGCATTGCACCGCAAAGCACAATGCGGGAGAACCCCATGCCTTGCCGATCTTGACTTTATGGTACGGTAGACGTTGGTTGTCTCAGTATCCCGGATATCGAGAGGGCCATCATGGGCGCAATCCTATCTATCCTTTCCGATCGACGCCGGATCAAGTCCAGTGCACCACGGGCGACACGTATCCTACATAATAGACTCATCGTTTCTACAGGCTCTTCAGGAAATGTTTGTGGTACATCGATGCCCTTTCCCTCTTCCCCTGACACAACCCGATTCCCGCGCGGGATGGCACAAAATGGGCAGAGGAGAGGGCGTCTCGCCTCCTTGGTGGATGACTTGATTCCAGCACGTAGATGAAGGCACGTAGATGAAGGCACTTCCAATATCTAGCTCAAATTCATCCCCATCTCTGCAAAAAGACCCAGGGCAAGTGACATGGACACGGAGTATTGGGGCATATTCACGGCCTGCACCACCTGCAGATCACCTGCCACGCTCGTCAGCATGTAGGCGTCGGTGCGCGTCAACCCCTTCGTCTCGACCAGCCACCGGATCAGACCGCGGACCGCCTCCCGCGTCGCTCCCAGAAGGTTATCCTCAATACCCATGACCGCATACCGGCCGAGCGTCTCGTCGCTCTGCAGCTCCAGCCCCCGCGGTGGCGTCTCGTAGTGCGGCGTCGTCACCCACGGCTGGTCCTTGTGCAACACAAACCGCAGCGTCGCCCGCATGGGCGTCTCGATGGCAGTACCACAGACCTCGCCGTGCCCCTGCGCGGCATGTCCATCCCCGCAGCTGAACAGCGCCCCCGCCGTTTGAACGGGGAGAGACACCGCCGCGCCGACTGTCAACTCGCGGCAGTCGAGGTTCCCCCCGGCGTGGGTGGGCGGCACGGTCGAGAGGGTCTCGTCGGTGGCAGGCGCGACGCCCATGCACCCCAGGAACGGGCGCAACGGGACGGAGACGCCGGAATCGCCGAACCGGACGCGCCGTTCTCCCGGGTCCAGCCGCCAGATGCGCAGGACGGGATCGGGGAACTCGTCTGCCAGCAGGCCAAAGCCCGGGATGATTGCCGTCCACCCCCAGTCGGCGGTCTCCAGGGCCACGACCTCAACCCGGAGTACGTCGCCCGGCTGGGCATCGCGCACCCAGACGGGGCCGAAAACGGGGTTAGCCTGGCTGGTGTCGAACTCTCGGAGCGTCGTGGCGTCGGAGGTCGGCGTAATCTGGCCGCTGCTGCTGTCGATGGTGTCAAAGGTGACTGTCTCCCCCGACGAGACGGTCCGCACGGATGGGATGTGTCGGGACCAGCATGGATGACCATGTTCCCGGCCGATATGATGGACCATCGGGGGTGAGGACGAACGGTCTGTCATTGTGTAATTCGAGGAAATTTGAGGTCCTGCGGGGGTGAGGAACGGGGCGGGGAGATATCGCTGGACGAAAAGGAACCGTGATGCGGGGTTACCAGGAGTTCGTCGACCACCAGTCAGATCACCCCTCTGAAAATTGTTAGGCCCGTCCGGCCAGACTATCTTGATCCCTGCCCCGTAGCCAAGACCGTGGGAAGGGCGAGTGGATTCTACTATTTACTGGTTGGCGGGTTGACCGCTGGTGAAAATGGTCTTCCACCGCCACTATCTATATTGTCGGTCGGAGGCCAGTTCTCACAAAGAAAAATAGAGAGAGACGGAGAGAACTTCTATTGGAGTTTCACGGACAGGAACAGATATCTATTGATGAAAGAACCGATTGACCACTTCTGTAAACGCGGCAGGCTGCTCCACCATAGGCAGATGGCCCGCCGTGGGGATGGTAGACAGTTGGGCGTCGCCCTTCAAGTCCTGCGCCATCTGCTTCATCGTCGTGGGCAGCACGCCGTCGCCTTCGCCCGCGACAAAGTGTCCCGGGACGGTGGCCTCCGCCATGCGCGCGCGCACGTCGTACGCGCACAGGGCCTGCATGCTCCGCTGGAAGCCCTCCAGGCTGTTATTGCGCACCGCCTCCTTGACGTGCGCGGCCACGGCCGGCTGCAACTCGTAGGTCTCCGCCACGAACCACCGTCGGGTGGTTACTTCCGCGAGCTGCTCGCCGACGATCGGCTGCTGCGTCGTTGCCGACACGGCCCCCTCGCTCGCCGCCAGGGCGTGTCGGTCACTCCAGGCCTTGCGGTTTGACTCGGGGGCGGAGCTGTTGGTGTCGCAGGAGATGAACCGGGTCACCCGGTTCGGATGGCGCAGGGCGGTGTTCAGCACGGTGACGCCACCCAGGCTGACTCCGATCAAGGACGCTTCGGGGATACGCAGGGCATCGAGCAGGGCGACAATGTCATCCGCGAGCACATCGATGGTGATGGGGGTAGTGCCACACTGGTCACGTCGGCCACGGGTTAGATAGCGTAGGACGCGGAAATTCCTGTTGCGTGGATCGGACAAGAAGGCATCCACGAATCCGTCCCAGATACTGTAGTCCACGAGTATCGAGTTGCTCAGCACCAGGACCGGACTCTTCGGGTCTCCACTGCCCTCCAGGCGGTAGGGCAGATCCACCCCGTCCGGCGTGGTGACGAAGGACTCCACCGCGGGGCGCGTGGGGGACGGTAGCGTTCGCGTACGCCCGTCGTTGGAGGCCCAGGGGCCCGCCACCTCCGACGACGCCAGCGATGATAACTCACGCGGGGCGGGACCGAAGGTGTACGCCCACTGATACGCGCGCCGACTCTTGCTCGTGACCAGCTCGTTCATGACCCGGTCCCGCCAGGGAGTGTGAAGAGCCGCCTGATGCTCAGGGCCCTCAAGGCCGTTCTGCGCCGCGTACTCGTAGAGGGCGACGAACTCGCGCGGAGCCTGAGGATCGATGGCCGCCGTGACGAAGCGGCGACTCCGGCGCCACCCGGGCACACGGGCCAGCATGTCGAGATGTTCTTCGCGATACCAGCGGTTCAACTCGTCTTCGTGCTCCGCGGGCACGACGGTGGTGATGGCGATCAGCACCGCGCCCGTTGCCTGGGAGTCTGGGATCTGCTCGAGAGGGGTGTAGTCGGATGCTTTCTGGTCGTCCAGCAAGTCGTAGAGGCGGCGACCCACGGCAATCTGCGCCATCGTGGCCTTCTCGCGCGGGGTCTTGATCCCGTCGCCCCGCAGCGCCAGGTACGTCTCCCGCGTCAGCTCCGCCATGTCGGTGATGTCATACAACGCAACCCACTCCGGATCCCGGCCATCGGTGGCACGGTAGCGGAAGCCGTTGGTAACAAACGGTAGACGCAGGCGCAGGGGGCCATGTTCGGAGTTATACCAGTCGTGGAATTGCGCCGCCGGGAGGGAATCCCGCGGCTGCATCGTGACGTAGAGGAGGCCGGGCGTCGCCATGGTGAGGGGCAATCGATCACAGGGTATATGCTGCACAGAACGGGACAGAGTAAAGAACAGAAGATGTGACAGAGACACCGATCGAAATATCTATCACGAATTGACGTCGTTCCCCCGCCGGATCAGAGCACACCCGCTCGACTGCCGAGGTTGATAGCCGATGCGGCCTCAGGCATCAACACCCGGTCCGCGTTGAGGCACTCAGGCAGCCACTACGCCAACACTACCTCGCACGATGGTGAATGGCCACACCAGTCACCACGCTCACAGTAAAATCAAAATGAGCAGAAAAAAACAGTGCAATAGAAAGACGGGGGGGGTAATCGGTATATAGTGGGCATCCTACGATGATTATAGTACGAAAAGCGAGCACCTCGGCAGGGGTCTGGGCAAAACGCTTCATGATATAAATTGCGTCATCCTACCGACGGAAGCTGGACTTTGACCAAAGACAGCCGCAACACTTGGTATGAGGCGGACGCGCGACTATGGAGATAATAACAACGAAAGTAGAAAGGAAAAGCGTTTGATTGCCGTTCCAATAATAGGTAGTCTAATACTAGTTTCTTTTCTAGCGGCAGTAAAAAGCTTGGGACTGCCGTAAATCCGTGACCGTGGCCGGTAGAGCAGAGGAACGGTCAACCGACTACTACGAGGCATATCATGTCGTTATCATCCCCGCGACTCAGGCGCGATCGCCCTCCCAGTCTCTGCTCGATCGCGCGGTATGTAACGCCCAGTGGCGCGGGTGTTCAGCATCCCACCCTCGTGTCGGCGGTCGCGGTCAGCCCGTCGGTGTGGGAGAAGGCGAATGACGATGCAGGACGCGGTCTCGAGCCGCAGGGGAGGAGCTGACGCGGGGAGGTTGGGCCGTCCGGGTGTGGCGGCCCGTAGAGCGGATGGATCGATGAAGCCGGATCCAGCGAAGCCATCTAATCGTCTGGATACTCGTCGGTGATGTTACTGATGAAGACGCACCGATCGTCATCCCATCGTTTGAAATGCTTGCCCGCGATCGCGATCAGGGTCGGAGGGAGGTCGGCCTCATGCGGCTGGATGCGCGTAATGTTCTCCTCCGCCACGTACCGCACACTTTTGTCTTCCACCCTACGACCAGTTAGCCATCACCTGAATCTATCTCGTGTTCAGCAACAAGGGAAAGAAGAAGAAGAAAAAAAAGAAAAGGAAGAGGTACAAAACGTGATAAAAACTCTGGTGTCGTCCGCCCGCCAGGCGATCCACCCCCATCCGTCGCATCCACCGCTCTCCCGCATCACACTCTGTGTCCCACCCCGTGATGATCCCCGTATACCCGTACCGCCGGTGGCGAAACACCTCGCCAACCCGGTATTGGATGTGGCTGTGTTCCGCCGTCCGTCGTTTCACCGGCCTGGGGATCTCATCGACGGCCCGGATCACATGCAGACACCGCAGGATCTGCTCGTGCTCGACGGTCCCTGCGAACAGAGGGGCGAGATGCCGCTCGACAAGGTACAAGTCACACGGAAATTCCGTGGCAAACAGCTCGAGGAACCACGGCAATTGGTCCCGGCGCTCCCGGGACCGCGAAGCAGGGAGCAAGAGTATCGACGCCCACAGCGCCGCGTAGCGCGCACTGTTCAGGTCCACGGGAGCGGATAGATGCACGCCCGGGAGCTGCACTTGGAGGTTTACCGAGTCCGAGATGCTCTGGCTGCACCGCAGGACAATTTCCGCGGTCCGAGACCCGCTCAGGAAGATGCGTTGTTGCGCCGGAGAGGCCCCCAGAAGAGCCAACTGGCTGTGTAGGTCGGCCACGGGCGTTTCCCGCGGAGATCGGAAGGGGTCCAGGTACAGGGCCGCTCCGACTGTCCCGGGTTCTAGAGCATTGTCATCCATATCGTAGCCCGCGGCGGGCACCACGGTCACGTAAACATGAAACGGGATCCCACACGGGCGGGCATCCAAGCCGAGGCGTCGCGCCACGGCGCAGTATAGGACGGCGGAGACGAGAGGTAGGGAGTTATGGCCGGGATCCTGTAATGCCAGTCCTAGGAAGTTATGATCGATGCTATGATATTCCCGGCGGCCATCCATGCCCGTCAGACCGTTCCCGCGTAGGTAGGCGAGAACAGCTTTCGCCTTGTCTCGCGAGGTTCGGCTGTCGAATTCCGGGTCGGTATGAGAAATCTGGCCGGCGATCTCATCCAGTCGGGCGCTGATCTGCTGGGACGATTAGACGCGATCCACGGGTTCCTGCAGAGGCGGGCCACCCACTTCTTCTAGGCCTCTAAATGTGCTCTCCGGAAGAAACAGATCAAACGTTCCCAGGGCCTGTTCCAGGGATACGGGCTCTCCTCTGCGTAGTCGCGTCCATTGGGGGACCGCTATGTTCCGATGGAGGGCATTCAGCAGCGCACGCGCATAGTATCTGCCGGGATCGCTACCTGTCAGAACCGGTGCGGGGGTCTTTGTTTTCGCGCGAGGCATCCACTCACGTTCGCGCCAGAACGTCATCCTGTCGGGCGTCCGGGGCACAATTCCGTAGGAGGGTATCTTTCACATCGCATCCCAACTCGACCAGCGCCCGGAATTTCTCCATCCGACCCGTCTGCTCCGCCAGGATCCCGTCCAGCAGGTGCCGGGTGGTCCGGTCCACCCGGTGTCGCGCGACATACAGATCCTTCCACTCCACCACGGCGACCGGACCGGCGAGCTTGGACGGGAGATCATGCCGAGGATCCCAATGTTGAAACGACCGCTGGCAGTAGAGGCGCCATAGTCGTGGCTCGTTGGAGACGCCGTGGAAATACGAGGCGGTGCCGTTCAGAGCCGCGCAGGTGGTCGGAGGGCAGTAGGAGAGGATATGATAAAGGATCTCTTCGGGCAAATGATGAAGTGACAGACTCATGCCGGTGTCGTCTCACCCGCGAATGGCAGCGTGGGGGGCGCGTCTCGGGGCTGCCGAGAGGAAAACGACGTCAAAATCCGAGGATTTTCGGATCTCTCGCGCTGTCACATGACATCATGGATACGACGCGACGATTAGTCATTGTCTACACGTGACGACATCGGGCCTGTCGTCACTCGTCGAGTCGTCAGATATCGAAGAGAGTCAAGGAGATGACGGCCTGTGGGAATGCATCTTATCCTGGCCGATTGGCCAATAACGGTACAATCCGATGTTTTTGTTACTGCTGCTGCATCATGATCCAGAGGAACCAAGGAGCGTGCTCTAGTGAATACCATGTCTACATCCTGCTCCTCTCTCAAGCTCATCTTTCATGGAGAGTGTTGAAAAGAAAAGGAAGAAGTCAAAGCCACTCTGCTGGACATTCATTGTCTATGAGCGCTGATCTCTTGCGTCGGAGAAAGGCTCTGCCAAGGATTTCGCAGCGTTCATAAGTAAAGAGTGAAAATATTGATTTGGATTTGTCGGGCTCCGATGGCCACTGCGACTGCCATCATACCGGGACGGCAGGCTCGTGGGCACGGTGTACATGCGAATACTCCATGCGTCTTCCGATGCTGTTGTTCTTTACACCCAATAGCCTTTCAGACATCGACATCCTGGTGACGATGTTCGAACCGCTTTCGGTAGACCCCGCTTTCGAGGGAATGCCGTGTGATATACAGACAAACAAGCGCTTTCCGCCACGGTCCGCGCAAATCTGTGCAGAAAAAGGCAGTGTCCCGCATGAATTGCAGTCATTTCCCGGCGTTTTGTGACTGAGGGTCAACCAAAACAGCTGCATTTCCGGTCGCCTGGCGTCAGTGCTCTGTCTTCCTCAGTATTGCTATGATGGAGCTGTCGTAGGACACCCTTGCTTCGTTGTTGTACTACCATGTCATTCTCGCCGGCTCTTTTCTCGATGTCGACATGCGAGGATGGATCGGGTTGAAGGTCTCGCGATTCGACTTCATATTTTAGGGCCAACGTTCCCACGTGACTTCCTTCGGTTTGCAATAGTACCGCTGCACAATCATACTGCACCTTCGGCTTCTTTTTTTCTTTCTCTCAATCTTTATAGACAGATATGTGATTACTAGTACTAGCGAATTAGTACGTGACTTGACGTGTTGGTGGGAGTTGATTGGCTCTTGAACCGCGACAGCCTCGCAGCCACGTAGCGGATGACCCCTCCCCCTCACCCACGAATGTGATCCTGCAACTCGAATACCGACTTTCATACACGCTCTCTTGTCTCTCAACCACAGAGCAAATTTTCCCTTCTCGCAAATCGGACCCCATTATTGTGCATGACTTCTAAAAGATGATTTGCACCCACGACGACTATACGATCGCATGGATCTGCGCCTTGCCGCTGGAACTGGCGGCCGCAAAGGTCATGCTAAACGAGGTTCATGATCCGCTCCCCCAGCCACCAACTGACCACAATGTCTACACCCTGGGGAGTGTGAGCGGCCACAACGTAGTGCTAGCTTGTCTTCCAGGCGGTGTCTATGGGACGATATCCGCGACCGCAGTCGCGTCCCATATGGTCTCGACCTTTCGGCGAATCCGGTTCGGATTGATGGTGGGGATTGGAGGCGGAGTCCCCAGCCCCAGGGCGGACATTCGTCTGGGTGATGTGGTCATCAGCAAGCCCACGGCGACAGCAAGTGGTGTTATCCAATATGATTACGGCAAGACGCTTCGTGACGGACGATTCCAACACACGGGGTCACTCAATAAACCGCCACCCGTGTTACTGAAGGCGGTGTCTCAGCTGGAGAGTGACTGGATGATTGGAAACCGGTCGATGAATACAATCTTGGTCGATGTCTTGCAGAGGTATGAAGAGATGAAAGAAGGATTTGCACGACCGAAGGACGACTGGCTATTCCAACCAACATATAAACATGAGGACGGTCAAGACAACTGCTCGGCATGCGATCCCATCCAGCTAGTGAAACGTCCCAAGCGGAGAATGGACGACTTTTATTGTCATTATGGGTTGATCGCGTCGGGAGATCAGGTCATGAAAGATGCCACGACTCGAGACTCCATTGCGCACGATCTAGACATTCTCTGTTTTGAAATGGAGGCGGCCGGGCTCATGGACGAGCTCCCATCGCTGGCCATTCGAGGCATCTGTGACTACTGTGATGCTCACAAGAACAAACAGTGGCAAGGATACGCCGCATTGGCTGCTGCAGCCTATACAAAAGCTCTCCTGTCTGAAGTTCCCCTTTACAGCCACCAGAACGAAGTACAGGGACCCAGGCAACCTGTTTGGATGGTCCCCTTTCTCAAGAACCTCAATTTTGTTGGTCGGGAAGAAGAAATCACCAGGATGGAAGGATGGATCATGCAACAAGACGGCCCAGGCAAAGTTGCTCTCTGCGGACTCGGTGGAGTGGGGAAGACCCAGATTGCACTGGATTTGGCATACCGTATGCGAGACCGAGACCCCGAATGCTCGATTTTCTGGATCACATGTACGAGCTATGAGAGTGTGGAACAAGGCTATATGGGCATCGCCTCCAAGCTAGGAATGACTGGCATAAGTCCAGCCGAGGTGAAAGAAAAAGTCAAGACGTATCTCAGCCAGGACAGTTCTGGGAAGTGGCTTCTTCTTTTTGACAACGCAGACAATTTGGAGATGTGGAGCAAGGACAACAAAAATGAGTCAGTACTGACAGACTTTCTTCCGCAAAGTGAGCAGGGACATATTCTGTTCACCACCCGCAGCCAGAAGGTAGCTGTGAAGCTCGTGTCTTCCTATGTGATAACAGTCACAGAGCCAAACACAGAGATGTCTGTCCAGATTTTACACGACGCACTTATCCGAAAAGACTTACTAAATGACCGTAACACAGTCATTGCTTTTCTGGACCAGCTGGCCTATCTCCCACTGGCAATCACCCAGGCGGCAGCATATATCAATACAAACAGCATTAGTCTCTGCGACTATCTTCTATTGCTAGAGGATCAGGAGCCCCATGTGATTGAATTACTGAGTGAAGTCTTCGAGGATGAAAGGCGATATAAAGATATCCGGAACCCTGTTGCTCTTACCTGGTTCATCTCATTTCAACAAATACAGCAACTAAATCAACTGGCAGCAGACTATCTGTCATTCATGGCCTGTATCAACCCTCGCGATATTCCACAGTCTTTGCTTCCCCAGCCGTTATCGACCAAAAAGAGAATAGATGCCATCGGCCTCCTCAAGAGTTTTTCCTTTGTAAGCGAGGGCGAGGACCGTGCTCTAAATCTACACCGACTCGTCCATCTTGCAACACGGAACTGGATGAGACAGAACCAAAAGTTTAGCGTGCAGGTTCTGAAAACAGCAGACCGATTGAGTGAAGTGTTCCCGAACAATAACCATACCAATCGGAAGGTGTGGCGGGAATATCTACCACATGCGTTCTCACTAATAGCAGAAGCGGAGTTCCAAATTGAGCAAGAGAAATACATTGATTTGCTTGGGAACATTGGGAATTGTCTAAGTAGTGACGGTAGATGGAAGGAAGCAGAAGAGCTGGAGTTGCAGGTGCTACAGCTCTGCAAGCAGGTACTAGGGCCAGAGTATCCAGACACTCTGATGAGCATGAATGATCTGGCAACAACATACTGGAATCAAGGACGATGGAAGGAAGCAGAAGAGTTAGAAATACAGGTACTACAGCTCCGCAAACAAGCCCTAGGGCTAGAACATCCAGACACCCTGACCAGCATGAATAATCTGGCAACAACATATCAGTATCAAGGACAATGGAAGAAAGCAGAAGAGTTAGAAATACAGGTACTACAGCTCCGCAAGCAATTCCTAGAGCCAGAGCACCCTGACACCCTGACTACTATGAATAATCTGGCATCAACATACTGGAATCAGGGACGATGGAAGGAAGCAGAAGAGTTAGAAATACAGGTACTACAGCTCCGCAAACAAGTCCTAGGGCTAGAGCATCCAGACACCCTGACCAGCATGAATAATCTGGCATCAACATACTGTGATCAGGGACAATGGAAGAAAGCAGAAAAATTAGGAAAACAGGCACTAGAACTCCACAAGCAAGTACTAGGGCCAGAGCATCCAAACACCCTGACAAGCGTGAATAACCTGGCATTGATATACCGGGATCAGGGACAATGGAAGGAAGCAGAAGAGCTAGAAATACAGGTGCTACAGCTCCACAAGCAAGTTCTAGGACCAGAACATCCAGACACCTTGATGAGTATGAATAATCTGGCTCACACATGGAAACTATTAGGAAAGGACCAAGACGCCTTCACCCTGATGGAAGAATGTGTCAAGCTCCGCCGCAATCTGTTGGGTCCAGGCCACCCACATACCATATCCTCCTCCAACACGCTTCGCGACTGGCAGAGAGAAGTGAATTCTCCATCAACGCAGCCAACGCAGCCCGAAGCCCCCACTGCCTTGCCCATCCACAATCAGTCTCCCAATCAGATAAAAGCAGACACTGAGCCTGTCACAGGCGGCAAAAGACGGGCATTCGGGAGGTTTTTCCGGAGACGATGATTCATGTTGAACCTTATCCTGTGGCTGGATTAAACATGTACTTAGTATGATCAATGCATCAAAGCTTGACCCGTTCTTCAAACAGTACTATACTTCTTGATTTTTGGCTTGATTGAATTAACCCTTTGCTTTTGGACTCGGCGGAGTCAGGCCATAGAATCGTGGGAGGACCGGTGGTGGATTTCAGTATGATTAATGACTGGAGAGGGATTCCTCTAGATCATATTTTCACGAATCTTTTTCAAAAGGAGGGTGTGGGTGAGACTGAGATGGCACTTATATAGCAAAGATGGTTGTAATCATAGGAAAGGCTCAAATTGTGTATGCAACGACCATATAGCACTAGGCCAAGACGGAAGGGAATTTCAAATATCACTGTAGTTTTCAGAGGGCATCATAGAGATTGTGGGGAGAGGTCGATGGCAGATGTCATATTGACAAACGTCACGAGTAAATGCCAGCAGATATTCTGTAAAGATATTAGGAGTGAAGTTCCGAAGAGTATCTTAGCAGTACATACCAGTAGCTAACCTTGGTGGTAAACATCACCAATAAGATGTAGAAGATCAACAAGGGGAATAGCAATCGTAGTAGTTCATGACCGCTACGCTAAAAAGTTGACTAACGTTTGGTATAGGGCTTAAACTGACTGATATTCCCAACAGTAGTTACTGGCTTGCCTATATTAAAGTGGCCTCCATGCTGGTTGAGTGGAGCGGAGCGGAGTGGCGCTCCGCCCAGAGACACGCAGAGTGCCCACGGCCCGAGAAATACTGTACAGGCATGTCAAATGTCGCAATATAAGATGTGTTATGAAAGGGTACCCACAGAGCGCAAAGTTGCCTAGACCTCTTTTGTAGTTGAGTGATATTTTTTTGCAACATCGTATGATGACTCTGATCCAACCTCGTTTGTGGATGGCTTCAACCGCCATGTCGACCCCTGCAGCCCCAAGAAAGCGCAGCTAACACCGCTTTTCCCGTCTTCTCTCATTCCCGCCCTTATGTCGGTCATTCCTGGTCTCCTGGTCCCCGCTGCAGCGTCTGCTACCAGGGATAAACGCCGAAAAACAATAGGAATAGTATTTACCAACCGATAATCTCAGCAGACTGAGGAGAGATTATCACAAATGATGATTGGAAGATAACGTTGTTTGAAAAGATGATTTCAGCAGTGACTGGTAATTAGCTAAATGATTAGCTGACCTGCAGTCCTTCTCTCACACATCTGACCATTTATATTTGGACGTTTCTTGTGACCACTTGCAACGTTCTTCTTAGCTTCAAACTTCGATATCATTGTTTGTATAATTGTTTTCGTTGGTTCTTTCTACACATATTAGGTATAAAGTCTAGAGCCCCATGCTAATCGATAGCCCATACAGCGACTTCATGCTCACCGACTTATACGATCAAGTAACTGTTCTGTTCCTAAAGCGATGCCTGTGACTACCCCGTGTGCCAATAACTATCTAGGAACACATTTAAAGAGGGGAGTATTCGTCACAGAGCAGCCAGTGATAGCTTTAAGACCAGGAGAGCGAGCAACATAATGGTCATCATGAAAGATGGAAAAGCCAAGATCAAGTGCTGCGATATGAGAACATTGGGAGAACAACCAAGATGATGGGAATAATGCAATCCAGTATATTTCTTGAAATCCCGAGTCTATGTACCGAAAAAAGTCTAGTCACCATCCAGTAGTCTATCTACCATCACGCAATCAAATCAGACAATGGAGGTCGATGCTCTCCGATCCGCTGGCTTAGGCCCGCTCGACGACCACCGCCAACGCCTGCTCCAGGATCGAGAGGGCGGTGCGGATCTCTGTCTCAGTGATGTTCAACGGAGGCACGAAGCGGATGCAGCCGTCGCCGGCGCTGATGATCAGCAATCCGCGCTCCCGCGCGGCGGTGATCAGGTCCGGCACGGCGCCGCTGAACTCGGGGGAGAGCTGGGCACCCAGGATCAGGCCGCGGCCGCGGATCTCGGAGATGACCTGCGGGTACTTCTGGCGAAGGGCGTCAAGGCCCGCCACGAGGGTCTCGGAGCTCGTCGCCACGGCCTGCTGCAGCTCCGGGGCGGCCAGACGCTCGATGATGTGGTGCGCCACGCGGCAGGCGAGCGGGTTCCCGCCGAAGGTGGTGCCGTGGTCGCCCGGCTTGATGTGCTCCGCCACGGTCTTGCCCGAGACGATGGTGGCGCCGATGGGGATGCCGTTGCCCAGCGCCTTGGCAGACGTCAGGATGTCCGGGTGCGCGGCGGGCCCGGAGGCCGGCGCCAGCGAGGGGTGGCCGTGCGCCCAGAAGCTGCCGGTCCGCGACAGGCCGCACTGGATCTCGTCGAAGATCAGGACAGCGCCCACCGCGTCACAGCGCTGGCGCAGGGCCTGGAGAAACTCGGGGGTGGCCATGTTCACGCCGCCCTCGCCCTGGATCGGCTCGACGATGACACCGCATGTGTTCTCGGTGACCAGGGTCGACAGTTGCTCGACGTCATTGTAGTTGCCGTACCGGAAGCCGGGCAGCATGGGGGCGAACGGGGTCTGGTATTTGGGGTTCGGCGTGGCGGAGAGCGCGCCCATCGTCCGTCCGTGGAAGGAGTTGTGGAAGGAGACGATCTCGTGCTTCGCGCCCGAGGGATCCTGGGAGCGGCCGACCTTGCGGGCGAACTTGATGGCGGCCTCGTTGGCCTCGGTTCCGGAGTTCGAGATGAAGACCTGGGCGGCATCCCGCATGGCGCCGGACTCGCGGGTGGTCTGGATGAGCTTCTCGCTGAGGGCGCCGGTCCAGACGTTGTGGTAGAGATTCGAGGCGTGGATCAGGGTCTCGGCCTAGCCATTCCACCAACGGTTAGATGGGTGTTTTTCCTGCGTCGATCGGGTCCAAGAAATCGGCCACTGCACCTGTTCCCCAATAATCTGGGCGATCTCCGGATCACAATGACCCAGCGAGTTGACCGCAATCCCCGCCGTCATATCCAAGTAGCGACGGTTCTCCATGTCCCACAGGTAGCATCCCTGTCCCTTCATCATCATCGGCGCCGGGCGAACGTAGGTGGGGACCATGTACGGCGCGCGCTCTTTGACGAAGGCCGCCGTCGTGGAATCGGGGGTCGGATCCGGGTTCGGCACGGTTGATTCTTTCTGGCGACGCAGTTAGCTTCATGCCTCAGGCTTCTGACGCCGTCGACCGTCCAAGCGCCTACCTTGGTCATTTGCGACGCCGTCGCCGTGAACGAGCGTCGGAGCGGTGATTCGCACGCGCCGAGATTCTTCGGCACGCGCATGCGCCGGGCAGCGAAGCGAACGAAAGACATGGTGATGGACCTGAGAGCGCAAGTACAACCAGAGAGAAAAATCCACAGCCCAGGTTGAAGAGAGAGACAGAAGAGGGGAAGAAGGCAGCGATGACTCGTCTCGGAAGCATCTCCAAATCTGTCGGGGGGGCGCAAACAAACAGCGCAAACACCGCTATCGGCCGACGCGGGATTGTTCTTCCGCGCCTTTTTCTCTCCGGCGCAAATTCGGAGATAGTCCGACTGGGACAGTATACCTTGACACTCACGGTGGAAAGGTGCATCGACGGGAAAGTAAGGAGGACTGCCGTTCGGCGCGAGCTCATTGTCGACCGATAGTCTACAATAACTACCAAGGGCAGATGGTCGGGAGAAACCGATGCAAGAGCCCACTACGATGGGATGGGAAACAGCAAGCGAAACCAACTATATAGGATGTCATTGAGGATGGTATGTAGCAATCATAAGGTGAAGGCCGTTGATCATTTCCGCTCGTAGTATTCCTCCACACGTTCCACCAGATCAGCCTTCTTACCGGCTGTCGAACGGCCGTGAGAGTGCAGGAAATCTTTGAGGATGGGGACCGTGAGCTGGATAAGATGGTAGGATGGTTAGTGATCCTAGAGCATAGCGAAGGAGGAGTGACACGGGGAATGCTCACCTTCGACAGCGTATTCTTCTCGTAGTGGCTGCGGATATCAGCCTCGACACCGGAAGAACCATCCTCGACCTTGGGCTTCTTCGCCGGCTGACTGGCTGAATCTCCGGTCTCGGCATCGCGGTCTTTGGCACTCCGTTTGACCAGCGTGGTTTGAGCGGCCGTCCCGCCGGCCGCGGCGTATTGTTTCTCTAGCTCCTCCGCCCAGGACAGGACGTAGAAGCCCGCGCGCTGGCCAACGATGAGTCTATGCTAGGGGCATCGGAGTGGTTGGCGGTGGTGACTTACCTTATCGATCTGCCGGTATTTCGGGATCGTTTTGTCCTCGGGTTTCTCGGGCAGGTCCTCGTCGAGTGCGAGAGCCTGCAGGATGCGGTAGTGCCATTGAAGCGCTGAGTCCAGTTAGTCTCGGTGGAGGGGCTCTGTCGTGCGGAGGGAGGGCTTACAGGGGTTGGGGTATCGGGAGGGGTCATAGATGGCCTTGGGGAGCTGCAGCTGCTGCACCACATAGCGCATCTTGTCAATCAAGGGCTCCGGCGCCACCGTCAGGCGGGTCTCGGGGTTCTGGCGCACGTCGTCGGCGAAGGGCAGCGGGATGATCCACATTCCCGGGGGAAGCTTCTGCACGCCGTATTCGTCTACCTTTTCGGGCCCTGCCATCAGGGCGCCCAGAACGGGACCGGACGCCTTGCGCGGGATGAACCAGACCAGGGCGGCCTTTCGATCCCGGAGTAGTTTGCGGTGCAGGGCCGCGAAGACGCGCGTGGATCCGACATAGTCGGCCTCGGACGGGTAGATGAAGAACGGGTGTTTGACGTTGGCCCAGAACGGGAGGGCGGAGAGGGGCTTGAAGCCAATGATGCGGATGACTGGATCGCCGAAATCCCGCAGCGATTTCAGCTCCTCGGGGGTGAAGATGACTTGGTCCCCCCCGAACTTGTAGGCCTTCTTAATCTCCCACTTCTCCACCGTCCGCGCCGTATCGTCGGCGATCGCGGTGGTCTCGCCTTGGGCCATCTGCGGGTGCTCGCCCTCCAGCCAGACGTAGCCGCTGCGGGCCGGCTGCTGGCGGCGAAAGAGATGATATCCCGACACGGAGATCCGGAAGTCGGGGCCCAGCTCTAGGGGCATGTTAGAAAAGTACGCCCGGCGGGCGACCGATCGTGAGTGGATGCTCGATAAGAGGGTCTTGAGCAGCGCGATCCCATCGCCCGTCGCGGTCGACGCCTTGGAATCGGCGAGCTGGTACGAGGGAGCGTCGGGATCCGTCGGCGAAGCCCTGTAGATGATATCCTGCGCGGAGTGTCAGTGCCATGCTCCTGAGGGTCGGGCTTGAGACCTCTTACGTCATAAAACCGCGCGTGGTCAAACTCATGGTCTGGGTGCGAGATCGGAAAGAGCTCAATGGACACCCCCAGGTCGTAGAGATCCCGGGCCCGCACTGCGGCCGCGGAGCGGAGGGCCTTGTTCTCTCCGTGGGGGTTGTCATTGTCCGTCACGATGAAGAGTCGCCGGGAGAGAAAGTTCGGGGCCTTCGACGTGAAGATCTGATTCGCACAGAACAATACGTTGGCCATGGACACTGGCTCTTTGGATGGAACAAGCACATTCCTTGCCTCTCCTTCATCGTCAGCCAGCCCCCGTAGCTCCTTGACTTCGTGCGCCGAGGGCACATCCAGATCGGTGAAGAGGTAGCAGTGAGGGTAGGAGAGATCGCCGCGGCTGGTCTCCTCCTCGTCGTAGAACTTGGACGCCTGCGTCCCGTACAAGAGGACCCCCATCATGTCGTGCGGGTTGGAGATGATGCGTTGCTGCATCAGGTGGTAGGCGCATTTCAGCGCGGCCGAGGCGGGCGACTCCTCCCCTTTCGTTTTCGAATCGGCGGAGGGACTGGGGGTCAACATCGACTCGTTGATCTCAATGGCAAAGAGGATGGCATCCTTGACCGTTTTATATCCCTATCTCATCTCCCTCGTCTGAGCTCGCTATTCTTCTCCAACGGTGGGTGGGGGGAGGGTGTTACGTACGGTCTCATCGATCTCCTCCTCGTCCTCCAGCTGGTCGTCGTCGCGGTACTCGTCAGCCATTGTGCGTGACCGGAACGGAGCAGAGCCTCTCGGGGATGTGGTCAGCGGTTCATGAGACCGCGTGTGGGAGATGCAGATGGCAAGTGAACGCCATGAGTCTTCCCCCGTGTGACGTTGGATGGCTGTGACGTCTAGGCAGCGATCGCTGCCTAGCGGGCGGAACGTGACGTGACGCGACCGACGCGGGGTCACGTGCTTCATTTACTCATATCACTCCTACGACGAGGCGTTGTCTGCATACGACACAACGGGGAGGGAATCTGAGGACATCTACAGAGTACGCCGTCCACTTCGCCTAGTGAGGTCGGGGAGTGGCCCTCCCACATCCCTTACCACCGTCTATAGAACCTCGTTGGCACGCCCATTCGTGACAACAGCACCCGGGTGACTCCACAGACGGCTAATCCCTGCTTTCCCTTCTATCCCGTCCTTCTCCGTGCTTCGTATGCCTCCCCTCTACTCTCCTTGTAGACTCCTGCTGGATATCGGTGTTGTCGACTGTCGATGAGGTCCCGTGCAGAGAACACAGTGCGGGTGTTGTTCTGTTTGTTTCCATTCAGGGCTAGTCCCGTTATAGCCTAGCGCAGATGGAGCGGAGCGGCTGATCAACATCCGTCATGGAAGGGAAGCTCCTCTCCGTCAGCAACAGCAATCGGTCACGGTGACGCATTGGATGCTCGAGTAGACCTAGGTGTCTTCAATCCGAGCGTTGACCCTGTACTGTGGAATCTTCGCATTGTGGATCCGTCGAAATCGCGATAATGAAGCCAGTCATTGCCGTTCCCGCGATCCTCGGCCTCGTGTACCGCGCGTGGTCCCGCCAGTCACTCACCATCCCGGGGCTGGTCGCCGCCGCCATCACGGCCGTCGCACATGCCCTGCACCCGTGGTCGGCCCCGTTTGCCTTGCTGGTGGTCTTCTATCTGGGTGGGACGAAGGTGACGAAGGTAAGACGATATGGAGGGCAGGAGGACCCCGTCGGGGAAAACGCGGGAGATCCGCTGGCAATGAACACTGGCTGATCTGGGGATCGGAGGACAGATCAAACATGACGTCAAAGCCCGGTTGACCCTCTCCGCGTCGGGTTCGCACGGGGGCGAGGGCGCGCGGACGCACATCCAGGTGTTGGCGAATTCCATCGTCGCCACGGGCCTGATCTTGCTGCATCGGTGGGCGCTCGCCGCCAGCGGACAGCCCGGTCGGGGGTTCTTCGCGGAGGGCCCTCGAACACCGGAGGATCTGTTGGTCGTGGGGATTGTTGCGTAGGTCCTTTTGACGTCGTTCCCGGCCAATCCCGTGCCAGTCGCTGTTCTAACAAGTATCCCCCCGTAGAAACTATGCCGCCGTTGCCGCTGATACCTTCTCCTCCGAACTCGGCATCCTCTCGAAGTCGAATCCACGCTTGATCACCTCACCGACCCTCCGTGTCGTCCCACCGGGAACGAATGGGGGCGTCACGGGCACCGGACTTCTGGCGGGGGTGATGGGGGCGTCCATCGTTGCGGTGGCATCGGCCCTGTTGCTCCCCGGGCGCAGTGACAGCTACAATCTAATGGAACGAGGGCAATGGGTGCTGGCCATGACGGCCTGGGGAGGCCTCGGAAGCGTGCTCGACAGTCTCCTGGGTGGGATGCTGCAGGCGAGTGTGGTGGATAAGCGAACCGGGAAGATCGTCGAGGGTACAGGCGGTGAGAAGGTACGTCCCATGCCCCTTGGGTCTGCCCCGTGTATCCCATTTCTTTCTCCTGTGAACAGTGACATGCGCTGACTTGGCACACGCTTCAGGTCCTCGTCCATCCGCATTCCACACCCAGTGGACAGGCCAGTGGGGCTGGCCTGACCGCCGCCGCATCCAGCAGCCGTCCCAGCAAGACGGCATCCGGAAAAGCCAGCTCGAAAGCCTCGGCGCCAGATACATCTGCTCAGGAAAGCCGACGAGTCGAGAGCGGCGTAGACCTGCTCGACAACAACGCCGTGAACGTGTTGATGGCATTGACGATGAGCGTGGGGGCCATGGGGATTGCCGCATGGGCGTGGGATGTATCCATCTTACGGATTCTTGTGTAACCGTCTACTATGAACTGATGACCGTTCACCAGGATAATGGGATATGTGACTGGCGCCGCTTCCCTGGTTTTCTTCTGTAAGAGTAGCCACCAAAGTCCAATGCATATAGGCCGTAGGTCGGAAATATACAGGGCAATGTCGCACGGAAGAGGTTGTCACATTCGATTGGACAGGCAGGAAGTACAAATGCTACGGAAACAGTGCAGCTTCAAAAAAGAAGCAATTTGCCATGCGTGTATTCTCGTCTCTATTCAGGTTAGCACTACTGGATATACTAAGGGACGTCCCGGTTGTCGACTTGAACGGCTAGAGATACTGTCTAGTTGTAAGGGTAAAGACGTTTCGCCAACTATAAGCGCCATTCGGTCAATTAGCACCAAACTAGACCAGCAAATATGACGGCCACTACACCAATATACGAGAAGATACGAGCAGACAAGGCATGAGCAAAGTAGAAAAAGAAAAGAAAGAAGAAACAAAGGGACAATGGGAAGGAAAAGGGTCGGGAACAGAAGAGCTACAGCTACGCAGAACAGTCCCCTACGAGGTTTTCTTCTCCAAGATCTTCTGCTGGATATGGTCCCTCTCGTGAGCCAAAAGACTCATTGTGACCCATTTATCCTTTGCGTCCTTGCGGATTGTCTCCCACTCCTTGGCCGGCATGAGGACCTCATTCGGGTGCTCTTTGAAGACCTTCGTCGGGCGGGTCCGGGCCGCGACGCCCGTGGGGTACATCCGGAAGGTGAAGGGCGCCTGTTCCAATCGGTGTGGAGAGGGCGTGGACCCCATACTCCAGCTGAGTTCCAAGTCGGGCCGGTGTTTCCGACCGGGTCTACGGATGACTACCGGCTCTTCATCGCCGGGGTGCAGGTGCTGGTCTTCGCGATCTTGGACGACCCAGGGCTTGGCTCGAGCAGGCGATGTCCCATCACGCCGGGGCTGGGAGATGAGCACGGTAGTATCATCCTCTAGGGAGGGTCCCAGCGTCCGCTTGGCGGGTCGAGGGCCATCATGGCCGTCAAGTAACTTCTGGCTATCATCCGGACTGTCCCCCTCGTCCATGGGTTGCTGGCATTTCTTGCAGAGAGCCGGACCATCCCCCTGCTGCAGTGGCCACGGCAGCGCCTGCGACTCCGTCTGGGGCCCCAAGGGGTCACAATGGTCGAGATAAAACGGCAGATCTTCCGCCTCAGGGGAATCCTTGATCCAGTGGTTCACGTAGACGAAATGCTCGTACGCGTCGGCAGTGTTGCCCCGCTGATACTCGATCCGCCCCAGCCAGTAGCGGCATAGAACGATCCACGATCTCCTCTGCATCGCTTCAGCGATCTCCAAGGCCCGGCGTGCATGCGCTTCAGCGTCTTCGTCCTGCTCCTCGTGTAGACACAGAGCTCCGTTCACCAGGGCGCAGAAGGTCGCGTTCTGCTTCACTTTCGCTTCGAGCTCGTCCATCATGCGCATGATGGACGACTGGGCTTCGAGAAAGGCATGCACGCGAGCGCCTCGCTCTGCGCACTCGCGTGCTTCTGCCTCCTTGGCCCTCTGTTCGATGTCACGTTCGTCCATCGTGCCGGTTGTGTTCTTCCTCTGCTTGGTTCCCGTCTTCCTGTATGCTTTCTGTGGGTTTTACTTTTGGATTGGCTCTTGTGTGATGGGGGAGCTCCCGCTGGGCACGGTGTCCATTATATAGTTCTGGGTCCTAGTGGTACTCTGCGGGATCCCTTCTCCACAACCCGCACTCCATTGTCTGGTCCCACCGAACAATGGCATTGTCCTGCCCAGATCTCTTTGTCGTCTATCCGATAAACAAACGCAACAAACGGAACGGCCCGAACGTACAAGCAAATGGAGCAAACCCACGTAAATCCGGGGAAAGGTAATCCCTGCCCGCAGACAAACCAGTCAAACAGCCCGTGCAGTGCCTGTCGCCTCAGGCAGCAACGCAGCCTTGTTGGGATTCTTTGTTTGTCTGCGGTCAATTATCTCGTCGGCCTGGAAGTCGAGAAGAGTTCCTCGAGGTGCATCCATCATCGATCTGAAGACGGATCCGCACCCGCTCGGTTCCAATCTCTGGAGAGTATCTGCGATCGCCCGTTCCGCAACCCGAGATCGTCGATCGCGTTCCAAACGAGGGATAGTCCCAAACGACGGAGATCTAGATGACGATGGCGCCCGTCGGGATTATCGCTCGCCTCAAGAGCCTGTACACTAAACCACAGGGTACGTCGCGCGGGACATAAGAGGCCGAGAGCAGGGTGGATCTCTGACCGGTTCGCATTCTAGATGAGCCTGTCATTTCAGCGCAGCAAGCCGCGCTGTATTCGGTAGGCATTCTTCCTAAGAGAAGAAGGGTTTCGGGCAGGTCAATGGTTGACACAGATGATCGCAGCTAGCCTTGACCTTCCTCTATGTCGTCCCGTTCTACCTCTTCTCCGCCACGCGGCCGTCGCAAACCCTGAGTCGGGATGCCCCTTCGGTCATTCGGGCTCGCACCCGCGCGGTGACGGGGTCTTGCCTGCTCAGCACGGCGGCCGTTCTGTGGCTGTTCACGGCTAAGGGGCATATCCCGTCAAACGAGGCCCTCCGGATTCTGGGATGGTGGCCTGTGGGCGTCCAGGAGATCGTGCGCGGTCTAGCCCTAACCGCCATCCTGTTCATGGGACCGCTCTTTGAGCGAGGCATCGTATACGGCCAATGGCGGGACTGGGTCCGGGGGCGGGGGGTGTCCGAGTCGCTGCGCGGATGGATGGGATGGCGCAACTTCATCGCCGTAAGTCAATCCGCGACCCATCTGGATAGATACAAGCACGTCCGTAGCCAGACGCACATCTAACAGGACAACAGGGCCCCATTACCGAAGAGGTTCTCTTCCGATCATCCATCATCCCACTCCACCTACTAGCCAGAGTCCCACCCAGCCGCATCATCATGATCACACCGCTGTATTTCGGCATCGCCCACGTGCACCATTTCTACGAATTCCGCCTCACCCACCCCGACACCTCCGCGTTCGCCGCCCTGCTCCGCTCTGTCATCCAGTTCGGATACACGACCGTCTTCGGCTGGTACGCCACCTTCCTGTATCTGCGGACCGGATCGCTTCTGGCCGTCATCGTCGTCCACAGCTTCTGCAACTGGTGCGGGCTCCCCCGGCTATGGGGGCAGGTGGGCGACGCGGGCGTGCCGTCGGATTCGCCGCGCCTGTGCAAAGACAAGGACGGGGCGGAGTCGGGTTCTCGGAAGGAGTCTGGCCGGTTACGGATCGGTTGGACTATTGCCTATTATGTGCTTCTTGTGGCGGGGATCGTGGGGTTTTACAAGGGGCTGTGGCCGTTGACAGGGTCGCCGCGTGCTTTGGTCTCTTTTACGGCCATTTAATTGATAGGAACGCATTGTTGATGGAGACTTTGGGAGGGTCACTGGTTTGTGAGGAGCTTTCTTTCCTTCTTTTTTCTTCCTGTTCCTTTTCTTTCCCTTTCTTTCTGGTTTCTTTTGACCCCTGCTTGTGGAACTCTGTTCGGTTCTGGGCTCGCCCAACTCGATTTCATGTCTCATTATGCCAACACCAACACCCTTTGGACTTGATTCAGACAAAGACGATAATTGCAAATCTTCGATTGTTTCTACTGTATACCCATGGCCAGGTATTACTGGACCGGATGATATCTATGTCATGAATCACGTTGTGGGTGGGTCGTACAAATGCGGTGCGGACCGTTCAGTCACTATCGTGCGGTCCTCCGACAACATAGTAAGTGATATAAGAAGAGATGCCAACGAAAGACTGGATGGTTGATTATATGTAGTATTACAGCTCGTGGTATTATACAAAATCCTAGCACCCCTCACAACTTCCGCCGCTGGAAGGCCCAGTAGGCCTTCCAGGGCAGCCGCCAGTCGGACCGGAGGAGGTCCGGTTGGAAGATGTCGAAATCCACCTGCTGGAGCCGGTCGAGCCACAGTCGCGTGGCCACCGCGGGCATGTAGACGCCGAACGCGCGGTTCACCTCCTGCAACGGGGCCGAGTCCGCAACACCGCCGGGGGACGTCGGATGGTCGTGACCCTCCTCGCCCTCGTGTTCGAACGCATGGCCCACGTCCTGGCCTGCGCGCAGGTTGGCCAGCATCTGGTCGACGGTGATGAGGTGGTCGCTGGCCCGGGTGGCGACGGTGAAGACGGCATCCCGTAGGCCAGGAGCCTCAGCGCCCTGTCGAAAGACGGCCTCCTCCTGCACGCCCGTCTCGGCCATGACGTCTAGCGGGAGCATGACGGCACCCTGCTTCGTGCCGCCCCCTGCTCCGCCGCCCTGGGGACTCCGCGGGGCCGGAGGCGGGAAGGCGACGAGCGGGAGGCCCTTGAGGATGGCGACGATACCCGTGGCCTTGCCGATGTGGGAGGCGACGTGGTCGGCGGTGACGGAGGTCATTGGCAGGGCGGACAGCGTCAGGTACATGAGGGTGGAGTAGGTGTTCTCGGCGTAGGATTCGAGGGCGGCGAGGTCGGGATAGGGGTCATTGGTGAGGGTCTGCTCGCGGGCGTCGATCATGCGGGTGAGCCAGCGTTTGCTGATGCGGGCGCGGCCCTGCGTCTGCTCGTGGCGGTCGGCGATGGCGGCGGCGAGGAGAACGGCGACGGGCTCCTTGGGCGGGGCACCGGCGAGGGCCTTGGTGACGGCGTCGCGCCAGAATTGCAGTCGCATCAATCCGATCGTGTGGGAGGAGGTGGTGTCGGGGATCATGGAGAGCGAGACGTTCAATGCCCGGAGGGCGAGGTAGAAGGGCTGGACGGGCCGGGGGACGAAGGTGCTCAGGGTGTAGGCGGGGCGATCATATTTTCTGCATGCCCAGCGGGGGTCGAGTCAGCTCCTCCATTCTCCGCGCTCCTCTTCCTCTGACTCCCCCCGTGTCTTCGACTCACAGCACAAGATCGGCGCAGTACTTCTGGGCGGCCTGCACCTCGGCCTCCGCGGCGCCTGCTACCGCGCTGGCGGACAATCGGCCCTGGCTAAACAGACGTCGTGATGATGGGGTCGACCGTCGAGCGTGGCATCGGACGCCCCCACGCAGGGCCTGTGTAGGTAACGGTCCTGGCATGGCGAGGGATCACACTGGTGAGGTGAGTTAAGCGTACACTTGGTGGTGATGATGATGATCATATGGCTGCATTGATGATCCTGTGGTGACAAACTAGACAAACCAACCAACCCAGACAAACCTGTCAAATCCAACAAATCTGTCAAATAAACAAACTGACCAAATCCAACAAACAGATGCCTGACCCCGGTGGGAACAATAATGATCCAGACCCCCGGGATGAGGATTTCTCGACTGCGTTCACTCCATTCCAGACTTGAGAATACTCAGCAGTCCGGGAAGTACAGTTCGGGATTCCAAACGAACGACCATCTGGAACGACCGAGGATCCGGACGCGTCGATTGCCCAGAAGATCCTCACTGTCAGTGCGTTTCCCCTCTCTTGGGCCCTCTTCGCTCCCTCTTCCCCTCCTCCTCCTCTACCTCTACCTTCCCCCGCTCTTCCCCCCCAAGAACCCCACCCTGCATCGCCATCCTCCCATCCCCAGGCCTCATGTCGTCATGTCGTCATGATGGAGTGTCTCCCCTCCCCTACCCGCGCGGGATCTCGCGTCGGGATGGCATCACCCACCGACACGCGACATGACATCCATCGGCGCCCTCTCAGCATGTCTCAGATCACGTGCACAGCTAATCCGGCGGCCAGTCACGGGACCGGGTCGGGTCGGCCTCGGGCATCAGCATGCCGGCGGTTCATGCGGACTTGAGTTCGACCGTGTTCCCCTCGGAGCAGGAGCTCCCCCTCGACGTCTATCCCCGCCAGGTCACCCTGCGCGATCGCGTCACCATCGCCACCCTCATCCCCCTGTCGCCCGAGGATGAGGTCCCCCGCGCCTTGCTCCTCTACCTGTCCGACCAGTTGAACAAGGAGATCGAGAAGGGCGACACCTACGCCATGATCGACCCCATCCCCTTCTCCCAGTTCGACGCCTACTGGTTCTCCAGCTTCGGCGCCATCATGCTGCTGGGCGACATCAAGAGCCTCCAGGAGATGCAGGCCATGGACCGCGCCGGCGCCAACTGGTCCAAGCTCTGCCTCGGCAGCTTCAACGTCCGCCCCAACTACCCCGGCCGCAGCAATCACGTCTGCAACGGCATGTTCCTCGTCACCGACGCCGCGCGGAATCGGGGTGTCGGCCGGCTGATGGGCGAGGGTTATCTCGAGTGGGCGCCCAAGCTGGTGAGTCCCCCCCGCCTCTGCCGGCGGAGTGCGTCGCTGACGGTCACTAGGGCTACACCTATGCGGTCTTCAATCTGGTGTACGAGAGCAACGTAGCCTCGTGTCGCATCTGGGATGCCCTGGGCTTCAAGCGCATCGGCAGGGTCCCCGGGGGCGGTCGGCTGCTCTCCAATCCGGGTCAGTACGTCGACGCCATCATCTACGGACGCGATCTCGGCCCGGAGGGGGAGGATTCCTTCACCCAGGACCGATTCGACAAGATCCGATATTACCTGAAACATTCCAAGTACCCGCGCGGGGCGGACCGCGCGGAGAAGAGCCGCCTTCGGAGTGCCGCCACGCACTACAAGCTGATCGAAGGCGACGGGGACTCGGAGAAGTTGATGCTCAAGGACAAGGAGGTCGTCTCGGATCCCCAGCAGCAGTACACCATTGCCCAGGAGATGCACGACCAGCAACATGCGGGCATCAACAAGACCACCGCCGCCATCGCCGTCCAGTATCACTGGGTGCGGATCAAGGAGACCGTCAGCCGCGTCATCCGGGACTGTCCGCAGTGCAAGGAGACCCTGAAGCTGCCGCTGACCGGTCCGTTCCTGCGGGACGATGACCCTATGGACATGACGGTGGCCGAGGCCAAGCCCGACCCGGCCGTCGACGGCGCCTCCCACCATCACCATCAGGCCCCGTCCACGGCCGACGCCCTGAGCTCCGGCCCCCATCCCCTGGACCCGACGGCCCTCGACGCGCCTGCCAACCAGCATCCGTTCATGTCGACGCACGCCGCGGTGGTACCGGGGTCCGTCGAGTCGATGGGCGACTACACCACCCTGCCGCTGGACCCGCAGATCATGGACATCCACCAACCGTTACCCCGCTTCCCGACCCACGACGTGATGACCGACCCCTACGCGCACGGGGGACACGGCTTGTCCGGATCCCACTTCGACGACGACGTGCGGCATCACACGGCCCACGACTACATGCTGGTGCATGACACGTCCGACGCAGACGCAGGCGCCGCGTTACATCAAGAGGCACTAGGGCTGGTCCATTCGCAGGCGAACGACGTCCTAGCCAAATTTCAGTATGTCGGACAACCGGACGATGATCTCGACTTTACCTGATCCGACTTTTCTTTCTTCCTTCCCCTCTGTTGAGGTTTCTGGTTCTTTGACGATTCGTAGATTTCCGGAGCATGGGGTCTGGCGTTTGAGTGACGGGGAAGAGAGGGGGGGGTTGGGGTTTTGGGTGGATGTGCCATCGGTTAATCATTGCATTCTATTATTCGCCTTTACATAATTATTAGAAATAGCACGCCACGGAAGCATCTCATCAATCGCACCCCCACCCGTATTTGTATCCTGGCCTGTCTTGTACAAGTGTAATTCGCTGGGCTATGTTCGTCCACGCGTCCGTCGGCTCCCTCCCACTGTCAGTTAATTTGCCAGTCAGAAATTAGAAGGTCTCACTTGTACCGATCCAGTCCATGCAACAGCTCTTTCACGGTCCTGTAAGTCTATCAGAGTCTTAATCACATATCCTAGTTACATTGGCACTTGGCATGTCTTCATCCCTCGTTCAGTTCCACATGTTATCTCCAGATGCAAAGAGCCTTGGATCATATTCTACACCGCACCCTGAACAGTGTATATATAGACTGGTTACCCTGTCTATGACGCAAACCCTCAAGTATTGGGTAGTCTGTGGAGTCACCGCAATCAGTCAACATTTGATTTGCGAGTATCCCACACCACTTGTATGTCACCTCTTTTCTTGCGACTTGCAACCTTTTACGACTTCTTTCATAGCTCTAAATCACCAATATTATCATGTTTCTGACTGCTTTTCTTCCGTCATTTCACAACACTTTCTCTCCCTCATCCGATATATCTTCTACTACTCAATTGCAACAGACATGGCTCTTTAGCCCATTCCCAGTCTTTCTAGACAGGATCATGCATGTAGCATGTCCATCATACATTGTGGCGGTAGCATAATTTGAGTACGAATTGACGAAACTTGAAAACGGTCAATATTGATGATATGAGGAAAGCTACAAGGTATGGTATATGGTTGTATATGGTTTGCGATTATACAAATAGCGAACAACAAAGTAAGGAAGAAAGAACAGAAGCTGGCAGTATATGAAGCAATGAAAAAGATACTGCGTTTGCCTTGTCCGCTGACGTGTTGACCGATCCCTATCACTGCTTCCACCACAATCCTCCGTGGAAATAACCAAGCACGTGTATCTCTCTGGCCTGTGAGCCACAACTCCAAGTCACAGCTGCCTCTGCAGTTGTCCAAGCGTCTCGCTCCGTCCTCTTCCACCGCTCGGATCGTGGTCGTCGCCGGCTCTGTTCGAACAAAGTGGCCTTCCCTTCTCCCATACGGCCGCTTGCGTGACCTGCCCGTCCGTCTCGCTATTCCCTGGACCCCTTCATATGCTGAGATACCGCTGGTCACCCTGATGTCCCCACTGTGACGCTCTATAGTTGTCTCCTAACAGGCCTGCAGCCGAGCTGCGCCAAAGACCATACGTGCTTTAAGCCACGCTTTCACCCTGCCGGACAATCCCAGAAAATTTCCACACCCTTTTCCGTCCGGCTCTCTGTCGGGAAATATCATGACACTGGTTGGTGCACATGTCTTCTTCTAGTCAATTTCGTCTCGGTCTCCATTTCGGTCTCCGTGGGAGGTTTCATCCGACTGAGAAAACATTCGCAAAGCAGAGAGTAGAGGTTGAAAGTGGTCAAGTGAACCATTCTGTATCATAGAATTCCAACCGGTGGTAATTCGTGACAGCTGGTTGCTGGCCATGGCGTTCTCATGGCTAGCTACAGTTTTTGTCGACCCTTTCTGTGTCTCTGGTTCCACCATGAGTACACGGGACTCTTCGAGAAGGTTCTCAATGCAAGATTCAAGATGCGAAAGGGCTTGACAGAGGTCAGGATCAATTGATTCAAAGAACTCCTGGCGTAGTGGAGCACAAGTCTCGAGCAAAGCTATGGCCTTGGTGATCTGACCTCGAATGCTTTGAGTAGAAGTCAGATTCCCCATGCTGAGCAAAGTAGAAGGATGTTCCGGTCCCAGCACTGCCTTGTGAGTATTCAAGACTTCCATCTCCAGCTCTTCAGCTTCCTTCCACTTCCCCTGGTTCCAGTATGTGCATGCAAGATTCTCCATGCTGACGAGTGTTTCAGGGTGTCCTCGGCCTAGTATTATTTTGTGAGCATCTAATACTTGTATCTCCAGCTCTTCAGCTTCCTTAAATCGCCCCTGGGTCCCATATGTGCATGCAAGATTGGCCATGCTGGTGAGTGTATCAGGGTGTTCTGGACCTAGTATTATTTTGCGAGTATTCAAGGCTTGTATCTCCAGCTCTTCAGCTTCTTCCCAATACCCCAGGTTCTCATATGTGGATGCAAGATTGGCCATGCTGGAGAGTGTATCAGGGTGTTCTGGACCTAGTATTATCTTGCGAGTATCCAAGGCTTGTACCTGCAGCTCTTCAGCTTCCTCCCATCGCTCCTGGGTCTGGTATGTGGATGCAAGATTGGCCATGCTGGTAATCGTATCAGGGTGTTCTAGGCCTTGTTCTTTCTTGTGGATATTCAAGACTTGTATCTCCAGCTCTTCAGCTTCTTTCCCTCGCTCCTGGTTGCTATATGTGGTTGCAAGATTAGACATGCTAATGAGCGTATCAGGGTGTTCTGGACCTGACGTTATCTTCCTAAAACTCAATACTTGTGACTCTAGCTCTTCAGCCTCATTCCATCGCATTTGGTTCTGGTATGTCCATGCAAGTTTGGCTATGCTGTCGACCGTTTTTGGATGTGTTTTACCTAGCAAGAGAGCTCTGTTTGCGTGCACCTCTCGAAAAAGGGGCTCAGCATCATTATATCTTCCGTCGGCGGATAGATACAAAGCAACCATCCCGCACAAGTCTTGCCTTTCAAGACCTCCTTCAAGACACTCTGGAGTTTGGAGGAGAAACTGTGCGTGCGGTAAGTATTCCCGCCATAACGCACGGTTCTCGTGGTCATCAGAGGGAAGGATGTCGTTGAAAAAGTCACAAGTCTGGACTGTCCTGCCGTCGAGAAGGTTTTCGCCCCGAAGCCAATTTCGCGTCGCTAAATGAACGAGTCGGTGCATATTAAGGAACACGCTGTCAGTCATCTGGGTTAGAAAAGAATAGGCCTTCAACAGTCCCAGTGCTTTCTGTTGCTCTACTGGGGAGCCTCCTGGCGGGAGGAGGGACAATGGGATGTCTCGATGGTGAATACATGCAATATGCGACAGATATTCCGTGGCCATTGGATTTGACCGGCGGATCTGCTCAAACGAGATCAGCCATGTTGTTGCCACCGGATTCTGCGTTTCCTCATATCGATAGTCGTCGTCGAAGTCCTGGCTGAGTAACTCCACTTTGATATGTTCTTGCTCATTCAGGAGCAATAGATACTCTTTCAGGCTGATGCTGTTCTGGTTGATGTAGCTTGCTGCTTGGGTGAGAGCGAGAGGTAGACCCCCTAGCTGATGAAACAGCATCGTAGCCGACTTATCATCCGTCATCAGATCTTCATTCATCAAAGACGCACGAAAGAGCTCCGTTGCTAACTGGTCATCTAACTCTGAGACTTTGATGACCTCCGGTCCTACTAGACGGGTGGCCAGTTGCTGATTCCGTGTAGTATAGATGGTAAGCCCAGTCTCGCTCCGAGGAAGAAAGTCTTTTAGTACGGTTGGCGGGGACATCCACATATCTGCATCATCAGCATTGTCGATGATCAGGAGCCATGAGCCCGCCCGTTCCGAGCTTAGGTAGGCCTTCACATCGGCCTTGATGCTGTCCGGGGTTGCATTTCGCAGCCCGACGGTATGACCGATGTCTGCAAATGACTTTTCCACGGCATCGACACTTGTTGCTTGGATCCAAAAGATGGATTGCTGGGGCGCTTGATCACGAATTCTGTATGCCAGATCGATTGCGATCTGCGTCTTCCCAACTCCCCCTAGCCCTGAAATGGCAGCCTTTCGGATCTGATTCTGGGTCAAAACCAGCGTCTCCAGCTTCTCGAGTACGTCGGTTCGTCCTCGGAAGCGTGGATTTCGATCAAAGGGCATCATGAAAAACCTCTGCCGTGCCGCCTGACTAGGCGAAAAATGGGCTGCTGGAAGCACAGAGAGAAGTTGTTTGGCATAAGCTGCGGCCGCCAGGGCGGCATATCCCTGCCACTGTTTGTTTTTGTGGGAGTCGCAATAGTCACAGATGCCCCGGATCACCAGGCAGGGGAGGTGATTCATAATCCCCGCGGCCTCCATCTCAAAACATAACGCGTTCAACCTTTGCGCAATCTGGTCCCGAGTTCGACCATCCTTCATCACTTGATTCCCCGATGCAATGATGCCGTAGTGGATCTGTGGCTTGTCCGACCCTCGTATAGCCCGGGGGACCGGTTGTTCCGTTTCATTGGGCACCCCCGACGGATCTGTCGATGGAAACAAGCGATCCTCTTCCGTGGGCCGGGAAAATTCGGCCTGCATGTCTGGGTTTTGCCTGAGCACACATGCGATGGACTGTGAGATCGTGTCGCTCCGGCGTATCTTATCATCCGCCACGAGCCGAGCGACAGCCATTAGCAGGCTGGTGGGTGGCTGGTTCAATGTCCCGGTATATTCACAGCCCCCGCCACTGGTAGTTTTGCCCATGTCATACTGGACCACGCCGGGGTAGGTCCCCGTGGGCTTGCTCACGACAAGATCGCCGAGACGAATATCTGCAGTTTCGCTCGGTACACCCCCTCCAATCCCAACCATCAGTCCGCATCGAATATTGGGAAAGGTCGATCGCAAATACGCGGTCACCACTGCTGCAGAGGTGGTGCCATAGACGCCCGATGGCAGGCACGCTACCACTAGTCTATGGTCTCCGATTTTCCCCAGGATGTAGCTGCACTGGTGGGAGGACTCCAGCTGAGGCTCGGCATGCACCTCATCGAGCATCACTTTGACGGCCGCCAGCTCGAGGGGTAGTGCGCAGATGATCGCCAAGGCATAGTCCCCATATGAACGCGTCGTGTCCACCATTGCTACCGTCGCCTCCTTTCAAATTCAGTGGTCGATGGAATGTGTCGATCAAGCGCAGGCGTAGGATGTGCGGTCTTCCTTTTGAATGAAGAAGGTCTGCAATGTAGACAGGAAGTTCAGGGGCCACTGTAGATCATTTCACCATGCGGGGTACGGCTGACCCAGCCTTGCAGCCCGATGACATGTTGAGATGTAAGAGAAATGCCAAAGATACTAGAATTCGATACGCACAGAGGTCACGGGATGAATGCCAACCCTTGTCCGATTCCAGATCAAGTAATTAAAATGATATGCCGTGGAAATGGTCCATCTATCCCTCTTCCTCTCCCACGTGAGTTTGGCTCAGTGGGTACTACTGTTCAGCTGCATTGCGGGAATCCTAATTCGAAGATCGATACGGTGCTGTCCGAACTATTATTACCAATCGGTCAACCTACGTGATAGTGATAGGTGCGTAACCAAGCCCTACTGCTCTAGCTCTGTCTTGGTCGAGCTAGCGAAGAAGCGGATTTGTATATACATGATCAAGGACAAACGATCAAGGACCAGAGCACTTCTATGGCTGCAAACACAACCGCGACACCACCATGAAAAGGGATCCCGAAAGTTGGTAAGGCATCTCTGACGAGAAGAGGCGCTGGACCGAAAGGTAAATCTTCCATTACTGGACGCATTTCACCACCACCAGCGGCACAGGTGGAGATGGACCCTCCTCGTATCCTACTGACTCCACTCGGTCCAAAATTGTCCCCCTGTTACTCCCGTTGCCCTCCCCACGGAGCAGATTGACGATACCCTCATGTCCGTTCTGCACGGCCAATGATAATGGGGTCTGACCGTTGTTATCTTTCGACTCCAAGTCAGCACCTTTTTTGAGGAGTAGCTTGACGACACCTTCACATCCATCTCCTGCAGCCCGTGACAGAGCATTCTGGCCATGCCAGTCTTTTGACTCAAGCTTAGCACTCTTTTCAAGAAGTAGCTTGACAATATTCTCATGTCCACGTGCTGCAGCCTGGGACAGTGGAGTTTGGCTGGCATGATTCTTTGACTCCAGATAAGCACCCTTTTCAAGGAGTAGCTTGACAGCAGCCTCACGTCCATCTCCTGCAGCCCGTGATAGAGGAGTCTGGCTCATACAATCTTTTGACTCAAGCTTAGCACTCTTTTCTAGGAGTAGCTTGACAATATTCTCATGTCCACGTGCTGCAGCCTGGGATAGTGGAGTTTGGCCGGCCTGATTCTTTGACTCCAGATAAGCACCCTTTTCAAGGAGTAGCTTGACAGCAGCCTCATTTCCATATTCTGCAGCCCGTGACAGTGGAGTATGGCTGTCCTGATCTTTTGACTCAAGGGCAGCACCCTTGTCCAGGAGTATTTTGATAATATTCTCATGCCCACTTGCTGCAGCCTGGTATAGTGGAGTTTGGCCGGCCCGATTCTTTGACTCCAGATAAGCACCCTTATCCAAGAGTATCTTGATTATACTCTCATGTCCATCTCGTGCTGCCTGTGATAGTATTGTACTACCAAATTGATCCTCTGACTCAAGGTCAGCACCCTTGTCTAGGAGTATTTTGATAATACTCTTATTTTCATTTTCTGCTGCCCGTGATAGCATTGTGTTGCTGATGTGATTCTCCATCTTGCATCCAGCACTGTTGCCCAGAAGTAGCTTGACAGCACTCTCATGCCCGTTACCTGCAGCCCATGCTACTGGAGTCTCGCCATTCATATCTTCAGAGGCAAACTCAGCACCCTTGTCAAGAAGTATCTTGACAATACTCTCGTGTCCACATTCTGCAGCTAATGATAATGGTGTCCGACCAGCATAATCTTTTGACTCAAAGTCAGCACCCTTTTCAAGGAGTAGCTTCACAATACTAACATGCCCGCTCGCGGCAGCTAATGAGAGTGATGTCCGGTCATTGCTATCTTTTGACTCCAGGTCAGCGCCCTTTTCAAGGAGAAGTGCACTGGGTCCCTCGAGCCCCAAATAGGATAGTAGTATGAGGCTGGTGAAGTTTCCAAAAGGGCAATGATAGTATCTGCCCCGTGCATGTGTTTTAAACCATACGGACTGGCTCCTCGAATCTGGACTACATATGCCCAGAGCGTAAGGAACCACATCGTCGTCAGCGCTAATACCGGCCGCGCGGTAATGAGCACCCCAATATTCAGCCGAATACTCTAAGAAAGTACGCGTCTTGAGGTACTGGCTGTAGTCTCTGCTTAAGTCCACGGGAGTAGTGTCATGATTGAGCAAATTGAGATAGGACACACAGGCTTTTGCAAGAACAGTGTGTGCGTCCTGGCTTGAAATAGAATGTTGCCAAATTGACTTTGACAGAGCAGTCGCAAAAGGTTGACGTGCAAGCAGAAACTCTCGAGCGGTTTGGTGGAGAAAGTATATCTCACCGTGGTGGATTGAAATAAACAACCCACACCAATTTCGGAGGCGTGATTTGAAGTCCTCGTCGTCCTCCAGATCGAGGTCGTCAATCGAGTTGGATTGGCTATCAACGTTCAATGCAACGTTCATCTCAGAAACCGTAAGCGGCTGACTGGCCGCTAGTATAATACTCAAAGCCTTCCGAACCATTGGATTTTGCTTTGACTTATTGAGAATCTGCTCATATGCTTCATTGATGGTTGTAGGCAGGTTGGCAATGGTGGAATCAATCCCCTTAGTGGTCTTCTTGAACTGTTCGGTCGTCAAGTAATCGAACACAAGATATACCCAGAGATAAGTACGGTGCGGGATCTCGAGCAATCTCGTTGCTAGGTGACGTTTGACAGGCTCGGTCAGCCGTTTCGCTTTCGCCAGCTTCTCGACGCGGTACTGGATTACACGGTTGATTTCGTGGCCAATACTTTCCGATTCATCCTCTCCTGGTATACGGACATACGGGAATAATTCCCGCAGGTCCGTGAACTGACACACTATCTTCTCATACGGCCGGCTTGTTAAGAGGTACTTCAACTTGCCATGGCCTGCGTTGGGGCCGGAGAATTGGCTCTCTATACCTCGTATAAGGTCCTCCATCTCTAACTCGGCGCATTCATCCAGGGCATCGAGGACTATGATTATCGGTCCGGCCAGGGGATCTTGCACTGCCTTTTTCAGAATGGTCCAGAGTGACGTTGTTGAGTTGGTTAGACCACGCCCATCTCGCCTATATTCTTCCTGGGCATGTATTACCAGGGACGGGTTGTGCGAGAAGAGTTGGTGGAGTAAAGCACACAGCGCTTGGCGGACTGTGTCCTGGTCTGAGGCTTTGAAAAAGAAGTAGCAGATAGTCGCTGAGCGTGGCAGTCCATCGTCAACCAAATATTTAGCCAAGACGGACTTTCCACAGCCTGGGTCAGCGGAGACCAGTAAGGGCCCCGCATCTTGTTCCAGCCACTTTTGGAAGTGATCATGATTCAGGAACCATTCGCATGTGCCCTTGACTCGCGTTTGCACACGATCCTTGTACCCCTCGTAAGTCGTATCCTTGGTGCCGGAGGTGAGCCGGAATATCTGGTGACACTCTTGGTGCTCCTTGGCTGACATTTGGTTGAACATATGTTGATTTAGCTGAAAGTTCTTCTCTGAAATTATCAGATGCGTTTCTGCTACGCCTTGGAGATCTATCAGAATTGTATATGTTAGTATCAATATTGAGAAATGACTGTTGGGCTCCGTTAGACCTACCAGACAGAATGTCGCCAATCTTCTTCTCGGCCTCAACCCTGCTGGGTGGGATCCGCAGGAGCAAGTCTTTGGTGTATACTGCCGCCACCATCGCTGCATATCCTTGCCACGCTTTGCTCTTGTGCGAGTCCGCGTAGTCGCATATGCCCCGGATCACCAGGCACGGAAAAGTATTGATCAGGCCTGCGGCTTCCATTTCGAAACACAGAACGCCATCCTCCGCCGCCAGCCTATCTCGCGTCAAGCTATCCTTCATCAACCGGTTGGCAGATGCAATGAGGCCATAGTGGATGGCGGGATTCTCGTCAAGTTCCGTCCGCTCGGGTCGTGGGATCACATTAGAGGAATCCTTCACACAAACTTCAGCACATCCTCTTGGATCATGGATGGAGTCGGCCCTGAACAGCAAGTCACTGTCGGGAGGTGGTCGTTCGAAGTCTCGGCGTAGCATCGTGTTGCAGTTTAGCAGGCCGTTGACCGTCTCCGCGATCCGATGGCCCCTCCTCCGATACTGTGCCTGGATCCCCGTCACGGCCGTACGCAGTGTCGTTGGGGGGTGATTCAGATACAGCGTCTGCTGGAATCTCTGGCCCTGGATCGTTTTGCCAAAATCGTACTGGAGCACGCCACCCTTCCCATTGCGGGGGGCACTCACGACCACATCCCCCAGACGAATGTCATGCCTTGCGCTGGGAACCCCGCCGCCAATACCGACCATCAGGCCGATTCGGACATTGGGAAAGCTATTCAACATGTTGGCTGCGACAGTGGCCGCCGAGGCGATCCCATATTCCCCATCAGGCAAGACGGCGATGACGACGTTATGTTCCCCAATTTTGCCCAACGTGTAGTCGTTCGGATCGTTGGGGGATAAATACGTCGGTCCTTCATGCTCCTCGTCGAGGAGTTCCTGTGCCGCCACATATTCGATCAGTAAGGCGCAAATCCAGCCCACGACGTAATTCGCCGGGTCCGACATGTTCCCTCGTGAGAAGAGAAACGTAGCCAAGGAGACGATAGTCTGCTCGGTATGGGATGCGCGATTGGGCGATCAAGAGGATGCTGCATCCAACAAACGGAGTTCTCGATTCCTGACTGTCTAGACGGAGGACCGAGGCCGGAAGACCAACCTTCAACTCCAGCCTCGCTTCTGTCTGCTTCCGTTCCTTTGCTGTTTTGGGAACAGCCCACAGGCCCTCAGGCTGAGGCGGGGTAGACACCATGGCACTAAGCCCACTCGGTTGTCGCCCAGTCGAGGGACATCGGTCATGATCTGTTTGTCGTCGAGTGGTCCTGTCGATTTGGCTTCTGTCTCGGCAAGCAATTGTAACCAGCCAAGAGTACCCTCCGTATGTCTCTTATTCTTTCATCCGACGAAGTGTTAGTATGCAAGTTCCAGAATGGAGCGGGCAAGGATAAGGATAGTGCGGGCAGGGAGCAGAAGGTGAGAAAACACGTAAATATACTGAAATCGTTGGTTAGATGAACCTCAAATCCGTATAAGATGCTGTCATAAGGAGGAAGAAAGTTGACAAAGGACAATGATATTGTTGATTATATGGAGAACGACCGACTGCCATTGCTGCCCGCACAGACCGCAGGTGCATCCACGGACTTCGACGGCCACACCAACTATCTATCCATCTGCATTTCTAGCAGCTCAAGTCCTACTCCCTGGGTGTGAGTATCTACGAGTGATGTTGAGACACGAAGCCGGGTGACTGTTGTTCCTTCTCTTCTTTCAGATTCTTCGTAGCTCGATAACTCTCCGTGATGATAATGATCTAGCTTGTTGGAGGGGAAAGCTCATTCCCACGACTGGTTTCTATCGTTCTAAGTATCCGATGCGTATGGCTTGTATCCTCTCCGGGAGTGCGACCATGAGCGCATATTTGATGACGATGTCCTTTCCAATCTGCCGTGCGTCATGACAGGAGAGTGATCCTGAAAGCCGAACTTTCCTCTGCAACGAGACCGATCACCTGCGTCGGGGTGTTTCACCACACCTTCGATCTTCCCGACTGTAGACGTGGATCCCTCTTGGGGTTCCTGCAATTCTGCTCTTCCTTCTCGTCGCTTGACCGACGGGGAACATAAGCAGATCCGTGTTCTGGAACAACTTCCTTGGCATGAGAGAGCCCTCTCGCTTCTCTATGTCTAGGACCCTAACTCCTCTCGGAGATCTGACCGTCGCGGGTGGAGGCCACGGCCCACGCTTGCCGCATGTCATGATTGAGGAATCAGCCCAATCTATCCTCTTCAACCGATCGCGGAGCTCTTCCTTCCCTGAATGCACCGCTCCATCGGAGTCTTCATGCCGTCTGGGCTGACCACGCTTGTCCCGTTCAACCGGCACCCGTAGCCATCCAAGGCCATCGTTTCGGGGAAAATATCCGCGAGTCAACTGCCTGAACGTCAGGAAATCGATCGGTCCACAACGGACGGAAACGAAGAGTGCCGGATGGTTGGTTGGAGGTTGAAGATTAAAAGATGGATGAGTGGGGAAAGTGACAACCCGGGATGGACGGCGGGACGGTTTCTCCGGGCCGGCCATCGCCAAATTTCGCGATTCACAAACAAGATCGATCCGAATGGTGGTTATTGCCTCGCCTGCCTCCTCCCCGCCGTCCTCTGCTCGATTACCACCATGTCCATGACTTCCGGTCTCCGCTGCGCCACCCGGTCGCGTCTGTCGCGGGTCCCGACCCCGTCCCTGCGCCGATACGCGTCCGGCGCAGCCGCCCCCCGGCATCTCCTCTCTATCGCCGATCTCACGCCCGCCGAGTTCACCACCCTGGTGCGCAATGCCGCCGCCCACAAGGTCGCCATTAAGGGCGGCACCGTCCCGTCGAATCTGCGCGGGGCGCTGACCGGCAAGACCGTCGCGATGATCTTCAGCAAGCGCAGCACCCGGACCCGCATCTCCACCGAAGGCGCCGTGGCCCAGATGGGCGGCCATCCGATGTTCCTGGGGAAGGATGATATCCAATTGGGGGTCAACGAGTCCATGTACGACACGGCCGTGGTGGCCTCGTCCATGGTCTCCTGCCTGGTGGCCCGCGTGGCCCGACACGCCGACGTGGCCGAGCTGGCCCAGCACTCCACCGTGCCCGTTGTCAACGCCCTCTGCGACCTATATCACCCGCTGCAGGCCATTGCCGACTTCCAGACGATCCACGAGCACTTCGCTCCGAAGGGAGCCGCTGGGCTGGGGCTGGAGGGACTGAAGATCGCCTGGGTGGGCGATGCCAACAACGTGCTGTTCGATATGGCGATCGCGGCGGCCAAGACGGGCGTCGACGTGGCGGTGGCCACCCCGGCGGGCTACGAGATCCCGGCGTCCATGCTGCAGGTCATCCAGGCCGCCGGGAAGGGAGTGCCCAACGCCGGTCGACTGATCCAAACCACCGTCCCCGAGGAGGCGGTCAAGGACGCCGACGTGATCGTGACCGACACGTGGATCTCCATGGGCCAGGAGAGTGAGAAGATCCAGCGGCTGAAGGACTTTGCCGGCTTCCAGGTCACCAACGAGCTGGCCCAGCGGGGCGGCGCCCGGGAGGGGTGGAAGTTCATGCACTGCCTCCCGCGGCATCCGGAAGAGGTCAATGACGAGGTGTTCTACGGGCCCCAGTCCCTGGTCTTCCCCGAGGCGGAGAACCGTCTGTGGGCGGCCATCTCGGCGCTCGAGGGCTTCGTGGTGAACAAGGGGAAGATCCAGTAGTGCTCTCACCGTCGCATCCATTCGGGGTTCCCCGTTCGTTCCATCCCGCATCTGCTTCTGTCGCATTTCCAGCCAATGCCATGACTTCCTTCCTGTTTCTGTAATTGTATTGACCACTTTCTACTGGTGTAATTCTGGTCTCCTGGTTTCCGTGACTATCCCTGTAAAGATTGTTGATCTGTTGCTCTCCCATCACGTGCTGCTCGATCTTGGCGGTGGGGTTTCAGGGTCGGCCCGTCCCGGTGACTGATTGTCATTTCGATTCGATATTTAATCATGGTCAGACTTCCGCATCCATCCATCACAACCATTGCCACGAGATTGTCACACCGGAGAATGCCGCCGCGCAGTCAAATCATCCACGCACCCTCCGACGACGCTCCCCAGGGCCGCCGGTCCGTCTTCCTCGCCGGCACCACCAGCCCCGTGGACCCGGAGGACTGGCGCGCGACGCTATTCCGCGCCCTGTCTAATCTTCCCGTGACCATCTACGACCCGTACCGCTTGGACTGGGACAGCTCGTGGCGTGAGGATATTGACTTCGCGCCGTACCGCGAGCAGGTAGAGTGGGAGCTGGACCGGCAAGAACGAGCCGACCTGGTGGTCGTCTACTTCCACCCGGCGACACAAGCCCCTGTGAGTCTGTTAGAGCTGGGGCTCTGGGCCCGAACTCCGGGCAAGGTAATCGTGGGATGTCCGGCGGGATACTGGAAGCGGGGGAACGTGCAGATTACTTGTCGCAAGTACGGGGTGACCCTGGTGGACGGACTGACGGAGCTGGCGGAGGCGGTGGCGCAGCGTCTGTCGCTCAGTCCATGATCGCGTTGCGTCTAGTGGTGGCATGAATCTTTCTTGCATACTCTTCTGTCCTTCCATGGGCTCGAGCGAGTCGCCGGGGATGCTGTCGCTCCGGCGAACCCTCTTCAAGTCAGGTACGGTCGTAGTTGTGCTCTGATCTCGCAGATTTTGCTGGCGGCTCTTGTTGATTTATTCTCTATTGATCATGTTTCTTGCAACCAACTTATAGTCAATACTCATATTCTTTCCCATCGTCCTCATCTTCCTATATGGTCCGGGTCCATAGAACTATAGAATATATATAATGGATGTTCTCCCACCCGCTTCGTGTTCCGACGCCACCCACGCAATTTACGCCCTGGCCAATATTTTATTTATACACTCAATTAGTTTAATCCCTTATTAACTTACTTGCTTGTCTCATTTATCTCTGAGCATAAGGTCATACACTGTCGCAAGCAGTGGGCACGTGGTTCCTCACCGGTCGTTTGTTTAGTTTGGTCAGTTTGTGATGTTTGCAGAACCGTGCCTCCTCAGGCATCATATCCTCTCTTCTTCTACTCTGGATTCTTCTTCTCTTCTCTTCTACACCTCTTCTCTTCTAAGATCACTTTGAATTGGATTCTGGACGCACTCTGGATTCATCTCTGATCGAGAACATCAATATGCCCGACGGTCCATGACGTCTCCCGAGCCCAGCTAGTCCCCGCACGGGGCTAAATGCTTTTCCCGCCCGCATCGGCTGCCAATGCCGGCTCGGTTGCCGCCCTGGCCGTTCGTCACGACACATCTGCCCCGGAAAATGCAGGAGGACACTCCATGTCTGCATTGCATCTGTCTCGAACAGTCGGACAGCGTTGTGTCTTCTCTGCATCACCCATTTGTGCACGTTACCCTCCCATCCCACGCCCGATCCGCCCTCGACACGCGCGAGCCTTCGCCGCCGCACCCCGCACCGCCATGAAGCACCATCTGATGGTGGGCACCTGGACCCCGCCAGGTCGCATCTACACCGTCGCCTTTGACGATGAGGCTCTCACCCTCGAGCTTGTCAAGAAGACCGACATCCCCGAGGCGGAGCCCATCTCGTGGATGACCTTCTCGCATGACAAGAAGGCCATCTACGGGGCTGCCCAGAAGAAGTGGAATAGCTTCGCCGTCAAGAGTCCCACCGAGATTGAGCATCAGGTCTCGCATCCGGTGGCCGGCCATGGTATGCAAACCGCTCATTCAGAAAGAAAGAGAGAGAACTGACAGCGGGAGAACTCGCCGCCAGTGCCGACACCAACACCCGCGCCATCTTCGTGCTCGCCGCCCGCCAGCCCCCCTACGCCGTCTACGGCAACCCGTTCTACAAGTACGCGGGCTACGGGAACGTCTTCTCAGCCAATTCCGACGGCAGCCTGGCCGAGAACATCCAGAATTTCGAGTACCAGGAGAACACCGGCATCCACGGCATGGTGTTCGACCCCACCGAGACCTACCTGTACTCCGCCGATCTGCAGGCCAACAAGATCTGGACGCACCAGAAGGACCCCGCAACCGGCACCGTGTCGCTGGTGGACTGCCTCGAGGCGCCCTCGCCGGATGACCACCCCCGCTGGGTGGAGATGCACCCCAGCGGCAAGTACCTGTACGCGCTGATGGAGGCGGGCAACCGGCTGGCCGAGTACGTCATCGACGAGCGCACGCACCGGCCGGTCTTCACCCACAACGCGTATCCGTTGTTGCCGGAGGGTAGGACCCATCTCCTTAGTTACCTCCCGAGGAATAAACATCATGCTGACCTGATCGATAGGGCTCCCCCCACGCAACAAATACCGCGGCGACGTGACGTTCACCACCCGCAGCGGTGAATACCTCTTCGCCACCACGCGCAGCAACCACTTCGACGTCACCGGCTACATCACGGCCTTCAAGCTGGGCCCCGCCGGCCAGATCGAGCGACAGCTGTTCATCCACCCGACGTCCACCAGCGGCGGGCACTCCAACGCCGTCAGCCCGGCCGACTTCTCGGACGAGTGGCTGGCGCTGTGCGATGACCAGCTGGGCTTCGTCGAGATCTACCGCTTCCGGAACGAGACGCTCGCTCGCGTGGCGCGGGTCGACATCCCGGAGCCGGGGTTCGGCATGAACGCGATCTGGTATGATTAGACGACCGAGTGTACGTAGAAGAATAATGAATATATTTGAATTACATCATGTTTCTCCTTCTTCATACCCCACCAATCCCTTCATGATACTTGACCATGAATAGAAGGATATATGGATAAACTACATCTCCAGCGTCAGAGTAACCGTCTTGGTCACCAAATATTCATCCACAGCCACCTCCCGCCCACTTTCCTTGCCGTAGCCCGACTCCTTCATACCACCAAAAGGCGACTCAGCGGCCGAGGCATTACCCGTGTTGAGCCCAACCATACCAGCCTCGAGGGCCTCAAGCAACCTCCACACCCGGTCCACATTCTTAGTGAAAGCGTAGCTAGCCAGCCCCATGCTAGTAGCGTTAGCCCAGCGGATAGCCTCAGCCTCCTCATCGAAGCGGTACAGCGCCGCGATAGGCGCAAACGTCTCCTCCTGCGACACGAGCATCTCAGGCGTCATACCGCCCAGGATGGTCGGCGCGAAGAAGTACCCTGTCTCGCCTTTGACCCTGCCTCCATCCAGTAGGACGTCAGCGCCGCGCTGGCGAGCGTCTTCGACCTGACGCTCGGCCTTGTCGAGCCCGCGCGGGGTAGTGACAGGTCCCAGGGTGGTTTCCGCCTTGGCGCCGTGGCCGATGACTAGGGCGGCGGTGCGCTCGGTCAGCGCGGCGGCGAAGCGGTCGTAGATGCCGGACTGCACGTAGATGCGGTTGGCGGTGATGCAGGCCTGGCCCGCGTGGCGCCACTTGAGGGCCATGAGGGCGTCGAGGGCCTGGTCGAGGTTGGCGTCGTCGAAGACGAGGAAGGGGCAGTTGCCGCCCAGCTCGAGGGTCAGTTTCTTGAGGCCTCGGGCGCAGTGCGCGGCGATGAGTTTGCCGACGGCGGTGGAGCCCGTGAAGGAGACCTTGCCGACGAGCGGGTGGGTGCAGAGGGCTTCGCTGAGGGCCGGGGTGGCGGCTAGGTCGGTGGTCAGGACGTTGAGGACGCCGGCGGGGAGACCTGCGCGGCGGCCCAGCTCGGCGACGGCAAGCGTGGTCAGCGGGGTCTCGGGGCTGGGCTTGATGATGAGCGTGCAGCCGGCGGCGAGGGCGGCACCGGCCTTGCGCAGGATCATGGCGACGGGAAAGTTCCAGGGGACAAGCGCGACGGCGACGCCGACGGGTTGCTTGACGGTAAGGATGCGGCGGTTGGGGATGGAGGGCACGCTGAGGGAGCCGTGAACGCGCTCGGCCTCGCCGGAAAACCACCAAAGGAAGCTGACGGCGTAGTCGAGCTCGCCGTAGGCCTCGGCCAGGGGCTTGCCGGTCTCGTGGGTCAGGATCTGAGCCAGGTCGTCGCGGTTCTCGCGGACGAGGGTGTCCCAGCGCATCAACCACTGGGCGCGCTGGCGGGGGGTGGTACGCCGGAAGCTCTCGAAGGCCGTGTGGGCTGTCTCTACGGCGGTGGGCACGTCGTCGGCCGTGTTGACGGGACAGCTGGCCCAGGGACGATCCGTGCCGGGGTCGCGCACCTCAAACCGGGCCCCGCTGCGAGCGGGGACCCAGCGGTCTCCGACGAAGGAGTCGTCATGGAAGAGTGAAGGGTCGCGGAGCTACCTCCGTTAGTCTGCTGTCTTGGGGGTATCAATGCTGGACGGGGTGTGGGGGACGCACCGTAAACGGGAGCTGATACTGCGCCATATTGAAGATGCGATGCTCTGAAGTGACACCAGGTCCAGCGTGTCAGGACCGGGAGGCGCCCGCTATAAAGGATGGCCAGCCCGCATGGCGCCGCGGCTGGATCAGAGGACAACCCCGCACCTCGGCGTTGATCCGTGGGATGACGCAGCGGCATTTGCGCGTGGGGATTGACTCCATTGGCTGTCTGTGACCGCGCTCAGACGAGAATAGTAATTCCTGTCCCCTGTGGAGCCTCTGGCTGTAATCTTGACTGAGGACCGTTGATGTTGATGTTGATGTTGATGAAGATGAATTAGGGCTGCGTCGATGTCTGTTTGTTGCGTTTGCTTGTTTGTCCGCTGTGTCTGATTTGTTCCATTTGCTGTGTTTGTCTAGTTTGTTAACCCTTTCTTGTGCCATTGGCATATCGGTGCATAGTGTAGTGCACCGGGAGAATATTATTCCCTCCGGCGGGGCCTCACGTGCGGCCCCGATAAGAGATAGCAAAAATACCCCCCAATACCGCGTCATACCAAGGTTACCCCCCTTTCTCGCCCGTCCTGACCATACGCGGACCGCATGACGAACGTGATCATCGACTTCATCTCAACGTCCACTTTGACTTCAATTTCTCTCTCTCGCTCTCCGACAACGCACAACACCCGTTATGGCTGCCGCGTTTGACGATGAAGACCTCTCGGTCTCCTTACCCGCCCTAGAACGGGATCCCCGAGATCCAAATCGAGATCGAGATCGAGACCGCATCCCCGAGCCCGATCGCAAGGGCGACCGCGCCCGTCCCATCGCCACGGGGCTGGCGGACCCGGCGGCCGCCCCCTCCCCGGCGACCACTCGGGACATGCAGCGCCTGGATCAGTATCAGACCATCCGGATTTTGGGGGAAGGGTCCTTTGGCAAGGTGAAGCTGGCTATTCACCAGCCCAGTGGCCGTCAGGTCGCCCTCAAGATCATCTCCCGGCGCAAGCTCCTCTCCCGCGACATGGTGGGCCGCGTCGAACGCGAGATCCAGTACCTGCAGCTGCTGCGCCATCCCCACATCATCAAGCTCTACACCGTCATCGCCACCAAAGCCGACATCGTCATGGTCCTCGAGTACGCCGAGCGCGAGCTGTTCGACTATCTCGTCAAGCGTGGCCGCTGCAACGACTCCGAGGCCCGCAAGTTCTTCCAGCAGATCATCTGCGCCGTCGAGTACTGCCATCGTCACAAGATCGTCCACCGCGACCTCAAGCCCGAGAACCTCCTCATCGACAGCAACAAGAACGTCAAGATCGCCGACTTCGGCCTCAGCAACATCATGACCGACGGCAACTTCCTCAAGACCAGCTGCGGCAGTCCCAACTACGCCGCCCCCGAGGTCATCTCCGGCAAGCTCTACGCCGGGCCCGAGGTCGACGTCTGGAGCTGCGGTGTTATCCTCTACGTGCTGCTGGTCGGCCGCCTACCCTTTGATGACGACTACATCCCCGCCCTCTTCAAGAAGATCGCCGCCGGCAACTTCCACATGCCCCCCTACATCTCTTCCGGCGCCGCCGCCCTCATCCGCCAGATGCTGCAGGTCCACCCCGTCCATCGCCTGACCATTCCCGAAATTCGCCAGAATGAGTGGTTCCTGCAGGACCTGCCCCCCTACCTGCAGCCGCCCCCGGAGGAGTTCAGCGGCTCTGGCCCCGACCCAACCCGCGGCGTCGACCCCCGCCGCATCACCGCTGGGAGGCCGCCCGCCGTCCAGCACAAGATCTACGAGGTCGCCATCACCAAACTCGAGCGGAGCATGGGCTACGCCCGCGACGACATCGAGGATGCCCTGAAGAACGCCGAACCGAGCGCCATCAAGGATGCGTTTGCCATCATCGTCGAGAATGAGATGATGCAGACCAACTGTACGTTTCTTTCTCTCCCCCCCTTTTGACGCACTCTCCTCCCGACGCCCACGACTAACCTCCGTAGCACCCACCGAGGACCGGATGATGGCTCCGCCCCCCAAACGAACCCCTAGCGCGGCCGGGCGTCCCCCGCGGCCTGCCGCCGGTCGGCCGGCCCGGCCCCGCCGACTGCCACCACCCTGCCCACGCGACCCCGCAGTCACTCCCAGCGCCCGTCTGGGCCGGGGTCCCCGCACGCGGCGCCCGCCACGCCCGCCGAGGACCTGTCCACGCCGCGCGTCAGCCACGTGCGCATGCTGCCCACCAGTCTGCCCTACGTGCACGACCAGTTGATGGAGCAGCGCGCACGGGAGCGCGAGCAGTGGGCCCGCGCCCAGGATCAGCAGGCCGAGGCCGCGGCCGCCGGGCAGGCGCAGCGCGCCGCCCCGACGACCCCACCGAGCAGGCCCACCAGCAGCAGGAGGCGACTGCCCGGGCCCTCAAGCCCCACGCCCGCAGCATCGTCGACCTGGAGAAGCTGCGCCTAGAGCCGCCCGAGTCGCGCAGTGCCCCGCACCAGCCCCGCCGCAGCCGCAAGTGGCAGTTCGGCATCCGCTCGCGCAACCAGCCCTACGAGGCCATGCTCTACCTCTACAAGGCCATCGCGGCCCAGGGCGGCGTCTGGGAGATCCAACCTGCCGACGCCGGTCTGGCCACCAGCCCCCCACCTCCACCCCCCGGCCGGGACCCGCGCGAGTCGCCTTTGCAGACTAAGTACCCCGACCTGCCGCCGGACTACTACGTACCGCGGGACCCGTGGTTTATCCGGGCCCGCCTGCTGAAGCAGGGGGTGCTGGCGCCCGGCCTGTCCGGCAGCGTGCACAGCAGCCGCAGCGACATGGGCGAGTCCCGCCGGCGGTTCCAGCCTCCCGGCGCGGCGGGCGGGACTCCATCGGAGGAGAAGGGCGGCAGCGGCAGCGGACCGGCGGATGGGACCCCAGTGTCAGGCCCATCGTCAGCCACGCAGCTGGGGAGCACCATCCGGCGCATCACCTACGGGGTGTGGGTCTTCGTCGACATCCAGCTCTACCAGCTCGAGGAGCACAACTACATGGTGGACTTCAAGTGCGACGGCTACCAGAACGTGATCCGCGCCGAGCACGACGGCGCCGACTGGCATCCGATCACCAAGCGCTTCCGCAACAAGGAGAAAGAGGTGACTAGCCCTTATCCGTTCCTGGACGTAGCGTCGGATCTGGTGGCGCAGCTGGCGGTGGCTAGCTAGGTGGCCACCTAGCCGGTGGACGAAGAGGAAGTACTGCATGGGACGGCGTTGGGATGAACTGGACTGCGGTTCTGCGTTGCCTTTGTTTGAAGGAATAGATTAATGCCATATTTTGTTGAATATCATACTTGACCCCGTATAAGCTTGAGGGGTTCCATTGCCACTTCTTTCTCGTAAGTAACAGGTGACCGTACCCGCCACTGCCTCTGATATGAGACCGCAGTCAGACCCACACTATCTATCTATCCCTTGAAGACTCTCGAAAGCCCTGGGCGATATAGGACGACCGTCCACAGACAGGAATGATCAGCAGATACAAAGGGATCATGACAAAGCCTAAACTCTACGATCGACTGAATATCCGTATAAAATAAACTCAAACATTGCTTCATTCATTCCGTAATTTCATAATACTGACAGTCTGTCAAGGCCCCGACAAAACCAGATTAAAACTGCTTCACTACCCGCTGCAACCGCGGCGGCTGCCGCATGAACTTCTCCGGTTCCTGGCGCGCCCCCGGCTTCCAGTAATCGTACTCCATCCACGCATTTTCAGGCATCTGCGCCTCCATGGCTTCCATGAAGTTACCCAAATCCGGGTTCAGCGGGATCACGCCCGTCTCGAGGACATACTGGTCCCAGAGGCGGAGCAGACGCTGCAGCCTATCCGGCTCCTGCTCGGCGCGGTCGTGGATCTCGCCGGGATCGTCGACGAGATTGTACAGCTGCCAGCGCTCGGGGCCCTTGGGTTTGGGGATGTAGACAATCTTCCAGTCGCCGCAGCGCAGGGCCGCGCGCCCGCACGTCTCCCACCCCTGGATGAAGTCCTGGTCGTGGATGCGTGGCGCCGTCCCCGTCGCCCAGTCGACGAAGCTGCGTCCTCGCATCGGCACCACGTCCCGTCCGCGGTACTGTGGCGCCGGGTGCGTCGCCCCCGCCATGGCCAGGATGGACGGTGCCAGGTCCATGACGGTGGCGAACTGGTCTGTGATGCCGCCGCTGCGGGCGTGCTCGGCGACAGGGACGCCCGTCGGGAAGCGCGCTAGGAAGGGCACGCGCACCCCGCCCTCGGTCGTGTAGGCCTTGTACAGGCGCGACGGCGCGGTGGCGGCCTGCGCCCACCGTGGGCCGTACCAGATGAACGAGTTGCCGTTTCCTAGGTTCTCCAGCCGGTTGTCGTAGTACTGTTGCAGATGGGGCATGACGCCGCTCTGGACGAGCGGGTAGGCCTCGTAGGCGGCGCCCTCGGCGCCGTTGTCGGACATGAAGCACACGAAGGTGTTGTCCAGCTCGTCGATGGACTCCAGGTAGTCGACAACCTTGCCTACGTTGGCGTCGATGCACTCCACCATGCCCGCGAACACTTCCATGGCGCGTGCCGACAGCGTCTTCTCCTCGGGCGTGAACTCATCCCACGGCTTCACCCCGTCCTCCTCCGCCACCACCGGGTGTGGCTCGACGTCCTCGCGGACCATGCCCAGCTCCTTGAGTCGCTGGAGCCGCCGCGCCCGCAGCGCGTCCGGCCCGTCGTCGTAGACCCCGCGATAGTGGTGGATGTACTCCTGCGGCGCCTGGAGCGGCCAGTGCGGCGCCGTGAACGGCAGGTAGGCGAAGAACGGGCGGTCGTCATCGGGGCGGTCCTTCCAATCGGAGAGATACTGCACCATGCGGTCGCCGTAGCCGTCGGATGAGTACCAGCCCTCGGGCAGCGACTTCACATAGTGGTCGTCCTCCATGTGGAGGGCGATGGTCGAGGCCTCGAGGAATGTCGGCGTCTCGTCGGCACCGCGCAGCTGCGGCTCGAAGGCGTAGTGGTTGGAGCAGGCGGGCAGGTGGGCCAGGGAGCGGTCAAAGCCACGCTGGAAGGGCGACCGCTCTGGCGTGAGGCCCAGATGCCATTTGCCGGACATCAGGGTATGGTAGCCGGCGTCGCGCAGAACCTCGGGCAGCGCCACCACGCGCTCGTTGAGGTAGCCCTCGTATCCTGGCATTCCGCGCTGCGGGGCCGTGCTCCAGCCACCGCCTTTGGGATCGTTCTGTCCGGAGATGTTGGTCCATTCGATCAGGTTCCCGAGTCCAGCGATGTGATGGTCAGTGCCGGTCATGATCATCGCGCGCGTGGGTCTACCCATTCTGTCAGTACTTCCATTCTCCTCCCTTTCCAGCCAAGATCTGCAATCGGGAAACCTACGAGCAGGCCGCAGCGGCGTGGAAATCCGTAAAGCGCACGCCCTCCCCGGCCAGTTTGTTCAGGTTGGGGGTGCGGATCTCGCCGCCGAAGCACTCGATGTCCGAGAAGCCCAGGTCATCAGCAACGACAACTAGAAAGTTGGGACGTTTGGGGGCCATATTGATGACGTTTGGTGAGTTGCGATGGAAGTTCGTGTTTCCCACAGCGAGCCCGCGGTCAGGGCCCTTCAGAAGGCGTCCTGATATAGGACTGCTATACCCCGCAGCGGGATCATCTTTCCCTTCCCCCGCTCCTGCCCCAGTCTGTGTCGCCTGTCGGCCGTCGGCTGCGAGTGACATACATGGATGTGGTGATGACGGTGGAGGCACGAGCCGTGTGATTGGAATCCACGCAGGCTGCGACTGCCCATTCAGCAGACAAGGGCATTCGCCATTGGGACCGAGAATGGCGCGTCGGCTGTCGGCTGCTTTGCTGTTTGCGGTTGAAAGTGCTATTTGACGTCATTGTTTATTCCCCTCGGCCTCTGGCGATGGTCCCGATCGCTCATGATATGTCATGCACTCGACAGGTATGTTACTGGACGGTGAATGGGCCATGTCCCGAAAACGGCGGCCCTGAGAATGCCAGGGGCCTCATAAATGCATCCTTGACCGGAAACAACATCTCTTTGTTTATGGAGCGAAGAGGCCCGACGCAAGGGGGTTGCGACAACCAGATCGGTCGGCCATACCATCGTACAACCGTCAACATCGTCAATTTATAGTATGCCAACAAGTTACACCTCCTGGTGTCGACCGTGGTTCTGGCCAGGAATCAACCAACATGACTATTACACCAGACTCGACTCCTCTCCCCAACGATGCCATCTTTCGGAAATTGCTCCGCGTCGCGCAGGAGAAGCCGGACCCCATCATCCGCAATGACCTGGTCCTCGGCCGGGACCTCTACGGGGATCAGCTGTTGCGCGATGTCCGCGACATGCGGACCCGCCTGCAGCCCCTGCTGGCTGAGCAGGTGAGGGGCCCCGGTGGCAACCGCGACACCGACCACTACGTGGGAATCCTGGCGCCTACCGGATATGAGCTCGTGGTCGCCGCGCTGGCCGGCCTCGCCCTGGGCGCGGCGTTTGTACCCATCCGTCGGTGATGCCCCGCAACCTTCTCAGAGAGATCAGCCCGCTAATCAGAGTCGCGGTTCGCAGGACCGGACGCTCCGCTGGACACGATTCGCGCGGTCGTGCAGCGATCCCCGATCCATGTGGTCTGTCTCTCGTCGCGATACGCTCACCGCGCCGCCGCCATCGGCCAGGCCGGCGGAGGCCTTGACCATCCCGTGCGCACGCTCCTGATCGGCAGCCAGAGTGCCAACGACCGCGATCCCGCAGCCGTCGCTAGGGTCCACCTCGACGCGACCCTCGCCATTCCCGAGACCCGGCCGGCGGCGGTCTACTTCACCTCGGGCTCCACCGGCCCTCCCAAGGGCGTTGTGCACAGCCGCCGCCTGTTCGCCCGCGACGTCGGCGGCCGGGGGCCAACGGGCACCTTCCTGTCCGCGCGCCCCGCCGACGGGGTTGGGGGCTCGTGCGTGCTGCTCCTGGCCATCCTGCACGGGGTCACTTGTGAGATCCTGGACTGGCAGGCGGGCCCCGACGTGTACTGGGCGCGGCTGCGGCAGGGCGGCGTCACCCACTTGACGAACCTGACGGAGGTGTGGGACCAGATGGCCCGCTACTACCGTGAGCATCTCCGGGGGGCTCCCGCCGCCGATCGTGAAGCGTTCCTACAGGGGGCCCGGGGGCTGCACGTGGCGGCCGCCCAAGGCGGCTTGGCCGGCCCCGAGTTGGTCCGGTTTTGGGCGGAGGAGATTGGGACGCCCCTCACGGTCATGTACGGGAGCACCGAGATGGGCGATGCCTCGCTAATCGCAACGCCGGGCGTGGCGCAGAGCTTGGATGTAAGCATTGGGCCGTCCGGGATCCTAGTGACGCCGAGGCTGACCATCGATGCGCCCTCCGCAGCGCTGCATCGGACTGCCGGTGCCCCCGCAGCACGTCAAATTAAGTGAGGGAGACCATGGGGAGATCCTCGTCAAGGGACCGTGGCTTTTTGCCCGGTGAGTGCGAGACCCCTTGGCAACCCATCCGAGTCCGGACGCTGATCCCGGAGGGCATGCCTCCAATAACTAGATACCAGGCCGATTCTAAGGCCACCGCCGCGGCCTTTGACGCCGATGGGTACTACCGAACGGGCGATGCGGCCCATCTGGACGGGGGCCGATACGTCTTCGATGGTCGCCTGGCCACAGACCGTGAGTCCGCTCCACTTTTCTCCTCCTCTCCCCCCCGATGACGGGTGACTCACATTGCACACAGTCGTCCACCAGGGCGGTCAGACCTTTTCCGTTCTTGCGGTGGAAGGGGAAGTTCAGAAGCTCGACTACGTGTCCGAAGCCGTTGCGGTGCCCATCCAGGAGCACCGCCAGGTGGGGGTGCTGGTGCGCTTCACCGGGCCTCACCGGGATGCCATCGGTCTGGCCCGGCTGCGTCACGATCTCCAGTTGCGGGTCGAGTCCACTCGACTCCCCATCGCGCTGCGCGTGTTACGGGACCATGACAACATGCCGCTGACCAATGTGGGCAAGATCGATCGCGTCTCCATCGCGGGACAATTTTCCGGTCCGGATACCTCGTCGGCGGAGTGGTGGGAATGCCATTAGACCCGTTTATGTTTTGGGAGGCGGCTGGAGGATCGTTAATCCATTGTGCTTAAGTTTGTCTGCTGTGTGCATATGCCATCGAAGCTGTTTGATTTGGACTATCGTTGGTCCTACTTCGTCTCTCCCCCGGCCCTTGCCGGGAGGTTCTCCCCCTGCATGTGCCGTCCACCGCTGAACCAGCACTAGGAGCTCTCGTCTCCGGCGGAGGATATCATCCCCACAGCGAAATCTTGCTCCCCTCCGCTGGGTCCATTCCCCGACGGTCCTCCTCGAGGCTCTTGGTCGTAAGCCATGCAATGCTGCTCTGGATCGGGACCCGACGACCGACGTCGTGGATGGCATCCCAGCATAGAGTCAAATCCGAGGCTGAAGTGCAGTAGAAGTAGAAATCACACCCAGACAAAGTAGAAGTAGTGAAGTGAAGTGAAGTCGAAGTCACGAAAGACCGAGGACGCCGAGGCAAACCCGACAAACTCACGTGACGCCCGCCGGGGAAATCAACGATCGGAAATTCGCATCATGATTGTTTCTCCATCCATCTCCATCTTCCCATCGTCATTTCGCGACCGAACATGGCATCCCTGAGGACCTCGGCTCTCCCGAGCTTGATCCGGGCTCGCATCCCGCTCCTGCGACACAACCAGCGCCGCTGGGCCCAGGTCCACGACGTCCGCTTTCTCGCCACGCATCACGACCCCAACCATGTGCTGGACAAGTATCGGGCCAAACTGGACCAGAAGGCCAAGAGGTGAGTGGGCCTCCAAACCCTGGACGGCCGGGATTGGATGCTAACCGCGGAATCCATATCAGTGAGGGCCACCAATCGATCGACTCCCTGAAAGACGCCTACCAAGACAAGATCACCGACCTGCGGCAAAAAGCCACCACCCCCATCACCCCCGACGACCCCGCGGCGCCCCAGAAACCCTCCGCCGTCCCTCCTCCGCCGCCGGCCGCGCCGTCGCCCCTCGCAGAAGCCGCCGAGACGTCCAAAAAGGCGTCGGGGATCAAACCGCTGAGTGCGTACCTCGACGTCGAGAAGATTCGCGACTTGCCGGCCAAGGAAATCGAGGCTCTCTGGCGGCTGCGCCACGCCTCCAGCGCCGATTCCATCTGCGCCGTCATCCCCCTCGACACCTACCAGCGTATCGCCGCCGCCGCCCGGCAAAACCCTCAGTTCATCCTCCCGCTGCCGCGTACGCCCTCGGCGCCCAGCGACTCGCCCGCATCACCGGAGGCGGGCTCGGAGCCCGCCCCCGAGTCGGTGGGCGCAGATATCCATTTCCTACAGTGGGGATTCCACCCGCCGGCGACGGCGCCCTCGTCGACGGTGCCCTCGGGCCCGCAGGTCAACTCCCACACCTCGACCGTCATCTTCACGCAGCTGGCGGCGTACAAGCTGCATGGGGCGTACGCGCAGCCGCACACCACTCTCACGCACCACCTGGACCTGGCGGACGAGACGGGACTGGTGCTGATGCACGGACAGGTCATGCCGAACGGAGGGGTGTCCACGTCGGAGGCGACGTGGCTGGCCAGCTGTCTGCAGCGGTTCTATGACTTTGGGGGACAGGCGCACGGCCGCAAGGGCGAACTGCTGCGCATGTTCACCCAGGGGGATGTCCAGGGGTTCAAGATCGACGAGCTCTTGGCGGAGTCGGAGAAGCTCTAGGGGGGTGAATGGTGGGTTTGTACAGTATGAACCGATGGCTCTGGGGACAACGTTCCCGGCCGTGTATTTGTAAGGAATATCATTGCTCCGGTGATGCTTCATGATTGCATCTTGCCCAACTCTCCTTTTCCCGTAGCCTTTCTATTGCCATTTACTTCGCTTCCTCGGAGACGAGCAAGTGCACTCTGTGGACAACACGACCAATGGTGTTGTCATCAGACTATATATCCGCCCGTCCCCTATATATACTATGATCCACCATCCATGTGATTCGCCGATGGAGGCCTGTCTTGATTTCCACATCCAACATATACCACTGATGAGCCTCCAAGAGTCATAGTGTCTTTCCAGTCCCCGCGTCCTTGTTGTCTGTATTTTATCATGCGCCATTTTTATCCTATCGGACTCATGCGGTCCCTGCCTGGTGTCCAGTGGGGCCAGCAACCGTCCATTCTCGCTACCCCATGGATGATAATGCCTCTGCGCGATTTATCACATCTATATCACCCCTTCCAATCCCCTTCTCGCCTGAAAATCGACTCGTCTTCTGCATTCTCCATCTTTAGGGCTCTGAATGAGTCATGATCTGATAACCAGCGTCACCGCCCGGCGGCAGAACGGTCTTGGCGGCCCGTGACTCCAACATATCTCCAACTTTTCTTCTTTTTCTTCTTTTTCCACTTCGTCTTTTCCTTCCTGGTTTCTCTCATCTCTTGCGTCCAACCTCATCGTATTCCTCCTGAGACCGTTCTGGCGGTCTGTCATGGCCCCCCGTCTATGAGATCATGACCGTCCGCACCATCTGGCCGCGCACGGCGAGGTCGGCGTGGCTGACGGTGAGCTTCCCCGGACGGAGATGCTGGGATGAATGGGAGTTCGCAGGGAGTCATTGCTGATCAGATCGCTCCAATGCGAATTTAGAAGCCGGCCTCGTCAACCGTGCCTTGCCGCTCGCAGTCTACGCACGCCGCTGCTCGTCGTCGACCCGTTTCCCCCTCCGAGGATCGGCCCGCCCACCACGGGGCCGATCTCGCTTCCGACTTCTCCTCCTCCACCCGAAGTTACGACCGTCTGGGCCGGCGAGCCAAGGAGAAGCTATTGGACCGGGTACGGTGTTCTCCCCCGCGGCACGAGATCCTCGAAGAGAGGGGCTAATTGGAGGAATGCGGGGTGGGGCAGGAATTCTTTCTGAGCGTCCTAAACTCCGCAGCCACTAAACGAGAAGCGAAATCCTATCTCGCCCGCCTGAAGGCGCAGAACACCCCACCACCCGACAAACGAGAGACGTCGGTGACGGGTGAGGGTGCGCCGGCGTCGCCCGTGGGCGGCAACGTGGGGGCCTTCTACGGCGCCTCGCGATCCGTCTCCGACGCGCCCGTGTTCCGACAAGACTCCACCCCCACCCCCACGCCGGAGCAGCAACAGCAGTCGGAACGTCTGCACCTGGCCCTCATCAAGATCAAGGCTCCGCAACGCCTCGACGATGCCACGCTCGATGGCGTGGCCAAAACCCTGTCGCAGCTGAATCGCCTGGGCATGGCCTGCTGTGTCGTCGTCGACCCCGGGGCCGCCGACGACAGTCGAACGGTGCGCGTCACCGCCGCCGAACAGGTCGATCGGCTGTGCAACGCCGTCGACGCTCAGCCCGATTCCAAAGCCGCCCACCTCGACGCGATCCTGACCCTCCCGTCCGAGGCCGGGGGCGCCACCCCGAAGGTCCTCTCCCGTAAGGTGCTGCTGGGCCCGCTGCGCGACGGCCAGATCGTCGTCATCGCCCCCGTGGCCTACACCGAGGACGTCCCCAAGGCCGAAGTGATCCCGGCCAATGACGCCGTGCTCGCCCTGACCCGGGAGCTGGCCGGGTTGGCGGCCCGCATCGACCCGGACGAGGATCCGTTGGTGACGGCGGAGCGCATCGCTCGCGTCCAGCAGGAGGTGTCGCTAGATCGGGTCATCCTCCTCGATCCGTTGGGCGGTATCCCCTCCTTCAGTGGACCCCAGACCTCCCACGTCTTCATCAACCTGGAGCAGGAGTTCACCGACATCGAGAATGAGCTGCTGCGGGTCAGTCTGTCGCTGGCGGCAGGCGACGCACACCGCCCGCTGCCGGCGGACGGACCCCTGTCAACGGTCGCTGACAGCAACCCGTTCTCCCGGTTCGCCCACACCGAGGTCGTCGGGGTGCCGCCCGAGCAAGAGCCCATCCCGGCCGTCTCCCATCCGGAGGAGCCGGCGATCGGTGGGCACCTGGACAATCTGCGGCTCGCCCACGAGGCGCTCGCCCTGCTCCCGGCGACGTCGTCCGGCATCATCAGTTCCGCGGCCGAGGTGGCCCATTCCGCCGAACCGCCGCGGGAGACCCCCGACATGTCCGCCGTCCGGACCCGGCGGCAGCGAAACCCGCTCATCCACAGCCTCCTGACCGACAAGCCCCTCCTCTCCGCCTCGCTGCCTGTCAGCCGACGCGCGCCCCGGGCCCACACCACGTTCGTCAAGCGCGGCCTGCCGCTCACCATCGTCCCGGACCCGCGGCTCGACCCGTGGAGCGCCCGGGCACCGTCGCCGGTGACGCTGGACGACCCGCGCATCGACCTGCCCCGACTCGTCCATCTCATCGAGGACTCCTTCAACCGCCGGCTCGACGTGCCGGCCTATTTGGAGCGGGTGAACCACCGGCTGGCGGGCTTGATCATCGCGGGCGAGTACGAGGGCGGCGCCATCCTGACGTGGGAGCTGCCGCCCGGCGTGCCGGATGACGGCAGCGCCGCCAGCCAGGCGCGGCGGGTGCCCTACCTGGACAAGTTCGCCGTCCTGAAGCGCAGCCAAGGCGCCGGGGGCGTGGCCGACATGGTCTTCAACGCCATGGTGCGCACGTGCTTCCCCGCGGGGGTGTGCTGGCGCAGCCGTCAGGACAACCCGGTCAACAAGTGGTACTTTGAACGGTCCACGGGGACGTGGAAGCTGTCCGACACCAATTGGACCATGTTCTGGACGACCCCGGGGCTGGTGGAGGACCCCCAGCGGTTCCAGGACTACGAAGCGGTCTGTCGCAGTATTCAGCCCAGTTGGGCGGATGACACGGGGGTGGTGGATTAATCCGGGAATTTGTACCACATTTCTGACTTGAGTCCCGCGTTTGGATAACTTACGCTGTCATCTTGACCTTGATTAGTATCTGTATATCTCCTTCATAGATGTAGACTCGTATCGTCGAGCATGGTCGGCGGAATTCGGCTCCGACCGGGTGCAAACCAGACAAACGCAACAAACACCACAAACGAAAAGCTTTCGATCAGCCCATCGTGGCGCCATCCACTTCACGTCCTCATTTTTCTCTCTGCCCACCATCAATTGCCCAAGATGAAGCGCAAGACGAACGAGAAAGACGCCCGGGACGTCAGCGGGCAGCCGGACTCCAAGAAACGCGCGTTGTCCAGCGAAGAGGCCGCCGCCCGCTTCCGCGACGACCTATTTAACCCGGTGGAGCAGCAGAAGTACACCGATGAATATGCCCAATCCGCCCCGTACGTACTGCAGAGTCCCAGACCCGGAGGATATGGAGAGAGCGTGACAGCTAATGCCATGCTAGGTACAAGCACGGTGTCATCCACCCCCTGATCGAGCCCTCCCTCCTCCGAGCGGTGCGCAACGAGATCCAGGAACATCTGCACTTCACCGAGAAGGAGACCGATATCTACAAGATCTTCCAGTCCGGTGATCTCGCCAACCTGGACGGCCTGGACGATGCCTCCCTGTCCCGACTGCCCTCCATCCTGAAGCTTCGCGACGCCATGTACTCGGCCCGGTTCCGCGAGTACCTCTCCGGCGTCACCAACTCGGGCAAGCTGAGCGGTAGCAAGACCGACATGGCCATCAACATTTACAACGAGGGCTGCCACTTGCTGTGCCACGACGACGTCATCGGCAGCCGGCGCCTTAGCTACATCCTGTATCTGACCGACCCGGACACCCCCTGGCAGGCGGAGTGGGGCGGCGCACTGCGCATGTTCCCGACCACGACCCAGAAGGACGCCGCGGGCGAGGATGTCAAGATCCCGAGCCCGGACTACAGCCTCAGCATTCCTCCGGCCTTCAACCAGCTCAGCTTCTTCACCGTCCAGCCCGGTGAGAGTTTCCACGACGTTGAGGAGGTGTACCACCCGGCGGAGGGCGAGGACCGATCCCAGAAGCGCGTGCGCATGGCCATCAGCGGCTGGTTCCACATCCCCCAGCGCGGCGAGGACGGCTTTGAAGAGGGATTGGAAGAGAAGCTGGCGGAGCGAAGCAGTCTGGCCCAGCTGCAGGGCCGCGGCGACATCTACGACCTGCCCCAGTCCAAGCCGACGCCGTGCGGGCCCGCCGCCGTACCAGAGGCCGAGGGCACAGGCAAGGGCAAAGCCAAGGCCGAGGCAGTGGTGGAGCCGTCCGACAGCGTCGAGTTCACCGAGGACGACCTAGCCTTCCTGGTGCAGTACATCGCGCCATCGTACCTCACGCCGGACATCGCCGAGGAGATGTCCGAGACCTTCTCCAACGAGTCGTCGCTCAGCCTCGAGCGCTTTTTATCGGAGAAGTTCGCCGCGCGCGTGCGCACCTATATCGAGGAGCAGGAGCGGCAGTCGCTGCCCGCGTCGTCCGACGAGATCCGGGCCCAGACCGGCTGGACCGTGGCCCGCCCGCCGCACAAGCAGCGTTACCTGTACCAGCAGAGCCCGGCGACGACGCAGGACCAGAAGACGCCGCTCCAGGAGCTGCTGAACGACCTGTTCCCGTCGCCGGCCTTCCGCAAGTGGCTGGCGCATGTCACGGGCGCCGACCGCATCACGAGCTACGACCTCCTGGCGCGCCGGTTCCGCCGCGGACAGGACTACACCCTCGCCAGCAGCTACGATGGCGAGGAGCCGCGGCTGGAGTTCACTCTCTGTCTGACCCCGACGCCGGGGTGGGAGAAGGAGGGCGACCACGATGACGAGGAGGAGGAAGAGGACAAGGCCAACGGGGAGTCCGCCTCCAAGCCTGAGGCGGCGGAGAAGAAGCCCAAAACGGACGCCGAGGAGCCCGCCGTGGGCGGCTACGAGATCTACATGGCGGGCGATGACGAGAAGGACGACGACGCGGCCATCTACCGATCTGCGGCGGCCGACGAGGATGATGGCATCCTGTTCAGCACGGCAGCCGGGTGGAACCGACTCAGTATCGTTCTGCGTGACAGTGGGACGCTCAAGTTTGTCAAGTACGTGAGTGCGGCGGCCAAGGGCGACCGGTGGGATCTGACGGGCGAGATGGGGGTGGAGTTTGACGATGACGATGACGACGACGATGATGATGATGACGATGATGCTGGTGATGACAACGATGAGGAGGGAGAAGATGAGGAAGATGAGGAAGACGATGAATAAAAGGATAGCTTAAAGATATGTACATAGATTTGGATCCATCTCCACCATCGAAGTTTGGGACTCCGTATTGAACGTAACCCATCCTCAGAACACACCTCTCCCACCATGCGCCCTTTGGATAATGGCCACGGTATCCAGATAATCATCCGCATGGACCAACTTCAAATTCAGACAATGGTGAACGCTTGTTGATTAAGGCTGGTTTCTGACTTTGAAATGTTCATGAGTTCTGCATGGCGACAATGGCTCCTAGGTCGAGCTAGTCCTCCTTAGGCATGTGGAAGATTCTGGTGCCATGAAATCGTCGAATTGTTCAGGAATATGTCATGTTTCTCTCCTGTCACACTTACCGTGGTTTATACAAACAGAGGGGACCCAGTCTCCGGTGGGCCAAAATGGCACATAGGCCCGCGAAGAGGGGAAGCAGTGGGATGATACACAACATGATGGAAAGGATGCATCGGGGACATGTTTATATAAGGAAGGAAGAAAAGAAGACTTCAATATTCACAAATGGTATTGTATCTAAACACGCTGGTCCATTAAATGTACTTGTACGGGTTCATGATCCCGTTCTGCGGTCTGTTAGTCACGTCAAACAGGAGGGGTAATGAGAGAAAACTCACCGGATCGTACAGATCCTTCAATTGCTTCATGAGCTTCACCATCGTATCATTCTGGCTGTACCCGATGAACTCCTTCTTGGCCAGACCCAAGCCGTGCTCGGCGCTGATGCTGCCGTTCCGCTTCTGGATCCACTCGTACACCCAGGGCTCGATGGCCTTCTCCACCTCCTTGTTGTACTGCCGCACGGCGATGTTCAGGTGCAAGTTGGAGTCGCCCATGTGGCCGTAGCCGACGACCGCGCGGACGGGGTGCGACTCGTCGTCGCCGACGAAGCCGAGCTGGGTCAACCGCTCGCGGCAGTCGTCGACCAGCTGGTACAGCTCCGGCAGCGGGATGGAGACGTCATACTTGTAGGTGCCGCCCAGGTGGCTGAGCGCCTCGGTGATGCCCTCGCGCCAGCGCCAGATGGCCTGGAACTGGGTCTCGTCCTGGGCCAGCACGCCGTCCGCCACGACGCCCTCGCTCATGATGTGCTCGAGGAAGGCCTCCAGCTTGGCCATGTCGTGCTCGGGGTTCGACCCGCTGGTCTCGACCACGCAGTAGAACGGGTACTCGCCCTCCAGCGGGTACTTGTTGCCGGTGGACTGGTGCACGAGCTGCTGGCTGCGGCCGTCCATGAGCTCGAAGGCGGACAGGATCTCCGACAGCTGGCCCTTGGCGAGCTTGAAGGCCTGGCGGACCTGGTCGTAGCTCTCGAGGCCGAAGTAGGCGACGTTGACCGCCTGAGGGCGCGGCGGGCACAGGATCGACACGCCCGTGATGACGCCGAGGGTGCCTTCGGCGCCGATGAAGAGCTGCTTCAGGTCGTAGCCGGTGTTGTTCTTCCGCAGGGTCGACAGGGCGTCGACGATGGTCCCGTCGGGCAGGACCGCCTCGAGACCCAGCACGCTGCCGTGCAGACTGCCGTAGCGCAGCAGCCGCAGGCCGCCGGCGTTGGTGGCGACATTGCCGCCGATATGGCAGGAGCCCTTGGCGCCCAGGTCCAGCGGGAAGAGGTGGTCATGCTGGGCGACATGCTGGTCGGCCACCTCGAGGATCACGCCGGCGTCGGCCACCAGGACACCCGACGCATCGTCGAACGAGCGGATCTGGTTCATGCGCGACAGGTTGAGGACGATCTCGTCGAACACGGGCACGGAACCGCCCACCAAGCCGGTGTTGCCGCCCTGCGGCACGACGGCCAACTTCCGCTCATTGCAGTATTTCATCACCTCGCTGACCTCCTCCTTCGACCGCGGCTTCAGGACCAGGCGCGTGTGGCCCCGGTACTTGCGCATCCAGTCGCCATTGAAGGGCTCGATGTCGTCGGTCGCGTCGGTGGTGACGCCGTCGATCACGGCGGACGGGGCGCCCAGCCGGTCCTGGAAGAACTTCACGTCGTCGGCGGTGATCTCGGCAAACTTGGGGTTCCGCTGGATATTGGGATAGGAGTCGGTGGTGTATTTGACCTCCTTCGGCGCATAGACGGTGGACGCCACGCTGAAGGACCGTCTGGCGGCTTCGGCCCCTCCCGACGGCCGGTGGGGGACCATTGCCGGTCCGAATGTACGGGGACGGGGCACCCGAGCCCGTCGAAGGGCGGCGGCAAGGCTCCTTGAGGAGGACATGGTGGGACTGCGTCTTGGGGAGTGGATTGGAGTTCCCAGATGGAATCCACCGGGTTGAAGTGGATTTGAAGTGATCGTGAAGATCAAGCCGATCGCGGACGGGCTCTGATTGGCTGCCGGTGACGGTGGATTTAAGTCACGTGTTGGAAGCATATTTGCGTGGTTTGTGTTGTTTTTATGGTTTGTTCAGTGTGCTCTATTTGTTCGGTTTGTTCGGTTTGTTCAAGATCACGATGAAGTCATGAAAAGCTTCAAGCAACCTTCATGATCCTTCATGACGATCAATCGCGGGTCAGGATGATCATTGGGTCCTCGTTCTCTCTTGTCTCGTTCATTCCCGTTTTACAGCCCGCCGTCCGCCCTTCGCCAGCGTTCTCCGATCTACCGCGCTTTTCAGCTCGACATCACGACCATAACATGATTGGACTAGATATCTGCAAGACAGATATGGCCATCAGCTCTCCTTTGAGCCCAAAGTCTACCAGACATCCAACCCTTGTCACACCGCTCCACGCCCGGACCCAGAGCATCCACGCCACGCCGCATGCGTCGGTCCAGGCAGGCAACCACGTTCCGTGATGACGTCATACACATCCCGTCCTTGATCGACATCACCATGCAGTGCCCCGCGGTCAACCACCATATCTGACCGGTTGCTCCTCGTAAACTCCTTCCGTCCTCTATACTACCTCTACCTCCATCATGCCGGGAAAACTAGGACAAAAGATCTTAAAGACCTTCGGGATCGACCACCCACACCACCCCCCCCCGAATCAGCCACCGCCGCAGCAGCCGCCAACAGACCATGGAGCTCGCCTACCCGGGAACCGCGTCATCGAAAACGATGAGCGCCTGCTGGCTGCCATCCCCAACGGCACATACGCAAGACTGGCCCGCATGAGCGACGGCAGCCTCCTCGGGTCCTTCACCCGCTTCGAGGGCAACCAGCGCCTGCTCCGGGTGACGCGCAGCACCGACGGCGGCCGCACCTTCGAGCCCTGGGGCGAGGTCACCCGGGCCGCGGGCGACTGCGACAACCTGTTCCTGCTGGAGATCGCGCCCGGGACGGTGCTGGGGGCCTTCCGCAACCACGACATGAAGCCCGGCGGCGGCTTCACCCACTTCCGCATCACCGTCTGCCGCTCCACCGACGGCGGGCGGAACTGGTCCTACCTGTCGCAGGCGGCCGAGAAGAACCCGCCCATGGGCATCTGGGAGCCCTTCATGCGCATGGGCCGCCAGGGCGAGGTGCAACTCTACTACTCGGAAGAGTTCGCCCCGGAGAACCAGTGCACCATGCTGGTGCGGTCGTTCGACGGCGGCGCTACGTGGACCCCGCCGCAGTGTCTAGGTGGCGAGCGCGACAACTACCGCGACGGCATGACGAGCATCGCTGTGGCGCACGATCGCGGCCGCGAGGTGCTCGTGCTCGTCTTCGAGACCACCACCCACCGCGCCTTCAGCATCGAGAGTATGCTCTCCTACGACGACGGCCAGACCTGGGGCTGGCGCCACGAGGTCTACCGCTCGCACAAGTCTGGCCGCCACGCCGGCTCCCCCGGTATCGCTACCTTCGCTGACGGTTCCCTGGCCGTTGTCTTCATGACGGATGAGGACTGGCCCAATCCGCACTGGCATCACAACGCCTCTATCAAGGTGCTGTTTGGCGGGCCCCCGCAGGATGGCCGCATCTTCTGGACACGGCCCACTGTCCTCTGCCCTGAGGCTAGCCACTGGCCGGGCATCCAGGCCGTCGACGGCCATACCCTTCTGGGAACATATGAGTGCGGAGGCGCCCCCAAGGCGAAGGCCATTACCCTGGACATGCAACAGGAACAGTCGGGTTGAGGGTTATGATGGCGGGAGAGGGACTCATAGGACGGGATACGGGGCTCTATCATGATGTATGTATCGTACAAACGGTACTTCTCAACCACATCAGTTCTATTTTCTTAATCATTATCTACGCGTGTGGCAGCCTTGTCTACGTGGAACTAACCTCCACTGGCTCCCGTGTTATAATCCATCTCACTGCGGACTAGATTTCTTGTAGCGGGTAGTAAGGAATGGCGTAAGAGGATGAGGCCGTGCCATGGGTCTGCACATGTAAAGTAGATCAGGTGCTGGATTCAAGAACCGGTCTTCCAGACTCGCCGTCAAGTTGGACGCTCGGTTTACTTGATATCAGCGTCCCGCGTCGACTCAAGTATCGCCGCTAACCACGCCCGTGTTTCCTGTGGCACAGATATCTCCCGCTCCAGAAGCTTCACCGTATGTTGGAACAAATCGGTCCTCCATGCGCGGTATTCCTCGGAGCGGACGCTATCGGCAGGGCTATAGCAACGTTAGCAGGTCATGGATTCAAGATTCAGAACGTGGGACACACTCAGCTGGGAACCCTTCATAAAAGAATTGATCGTGGTACTCCGACGCCGGAACGATGAGAGCCCGCACATAATCCCAAGCTCCATGGGCTGAGGTCTTGAGAAACCAGCGAATCAGCGCGTCCGCGATCCAGCTCGAGGTGATTTGACGGTAGATGGGTGTCTGGCAGAGACCAGGTGTTGCGGTGCCGATGACCACCGAGTCGGTGTCCTTCCATGCGGTTGCCAGAGTGTGCGTCCACATCATGCTGAGCAGCTTCGACCGACGGTAACGCTGATAGAAGCCCAGGGCGGTCTCGTCGTTAAACTCGCTGATCGCCTGGGCGGGGGTCGAGGTGAGCGGTATGCTTTCCCACAGATGGGCCTCGGAGGTGACGTTGAGCACGCGTGCAGCAGTCGTACGCTTCTGGCTCTGGCTCTGGAGAACCGGCAGGAGCGAGAGAATGAGTGCACATTGGCCCAGGTAGTTGACCTGGAGGTGCATCTCCCACGACGCTGGCGAGCGGGAGAATTCCGGTGACAATACCCCGGCATTTAACACTACGAAATCCAGCGTCTCCAAAAGCGAAACCCGTTGGATGAATTCCCGAATGGAGTCGAACGACGCCATATCCAGCTGCCATACGTCGATCTGGGCGGGACGGTCCGTTCCCAGGGCATCCTGGATGTCGGCGAGCGCGCTCTGGCCCCGCTCTTCATTGCGCGCGGTGATGATCAGGCGCGCGCTGTACCGGGCGAGGATCTTGGCTAATTCCAAACCGCAGCCAGACGTGGCGCCGGTCACCAGTGTCGTCTTGTCACGTAGCCATTCGAGCTCTGTTGGGGGAATGGGCTGGGAATGGGAGGTCATGGCTCTCCAGATCGTTGGAACCGGTCCATTGCTGTCCAAGGTGAGGGTCTTTCCATTCCGGAGACCAAGCGATAGCAGTTGGAGTGCCGAGTCCATCTCCTGGATTGATCGAAGTAGCTTAAACTATCTTTGGGCGGTCGCTTTGGTGAACGAGCAGAAGGCCCTACAGTGAATCGGGATGTCAATCGGCAGAGCCCTCTGCTGAATTGTCTGCGTCATCCCTGGCCTGTCAGTCTTCTACTTTGGAGAAACCACTTTTCCTGTGAGGTTTGGAACGGACAAGGGGTATTGAACTTGTTCAGGCGCGCAGACAAGCTAGGAAGTAACATGAACCCGTTCCCCCCTTGCTATGATACAACTGATGCATTCCTCTGCATGAGGCATGTCTCATCCCTCTTGGTTCTAAAGTGGACCTCCCCTGGCGCATTGAGTGGTGATAAGTTGGTGTTAAACTTCTGACATCGCCCCCCGATCCCTATGAAAAATCGTCCGTGAAAGACGTAGATAATTTGTGGTCAAACTGGGCCGGGCATCGCATGGGTAAGGCGTCTACCCAGCCCTGCCATCGCTTTTCTATTGCATGTATCGCCAAGTCAAATTGATATGTGGATCCCCACATTCGCAACCTCAATACCTTGCAGTCATCGCGAATCACACCTGGCGTATCAATGCAGTGTACCCCTTACATTACAGGATAGACGGATGCCGGATGAGTCGACCTCTGCAGATTCCATACCATCCATCCCGCGTAGCATGGCCAACAACGTCTGATCGCGCCTCAAGTACCTCGTACCTACTACCACCACCCCGTTCGAGCCCGGAGGGTCATCAGCAAGCAGCCTAGCCCCCGATACGCGGTACCTATCAATAATGCAACTCTGGCGACTGTCAGTAAAGGACCTCGCAATATGACTAGAGAAAGCACGTACCCCATATCAAGCCTCGGTCGACCGAACGTGTACCCTATGTACTGCGCCGCCGCCTGGGTGTCGTACAGATAGGCCAGCGGGGTGATGTGCACGCTGATATAGGCCTCTGTATACCACGTCTATGCCTGATTAGCGAGGAACCGCACCTGCACCTGTCGATGGACGTCTTACCCCGGGTAGCATGTACCACAACCAGGCCAGATGCCAGTGTTTCGCCGAGTCCAGACGGGGCTGGCAACCGGATAAGACGGAGACAATGAGTGTGCTCATTAAACAAACTAGGGGGGCGGCTTCACGGCTCGCCAGGGAGACGATCAGGGCTCCGATGCCATAGATACCTGGGGACTTCCTGTGAACACGGAGAGAAATGGGATTGGGAAAAGACGACCACCCACAGTAGAAGAAGACGTAATTGAGACCAAGCAGGACGCCAAAGGGAACTGCTGGTGTGCCCAGCACCACGTAAGCCGAGGTATGATGAAGAGCGCAGAGCGCCATCCGGAGCAGGCTCGAGAGAACCTTGGCCACAAAATACGCACTCTCGGAGTGGCCCGCCTTCGATTCTCGGTTCGCGAGGATAGCTGCGTCGAATTAGCTTGCAATCACGTCGGTTCGGCAGCCGAATTGTTGTCACCTTCTTCCCCGAAGACAGCCACACTCGGTGCGGCGCTGGAAAATGCGATGCAGAAGCAGCTGAACATGGCTACAGTGGGGAGAGTGAAGTAATTCACCGCGCTCGAAAGGAAGTGAAACGGGGGGTGGTACATCCCCTGGAAGAGCTGGCCGCGAACCTCGGACGCCGCGAGCCCTAAGAGCAATCCGGTCACCACGCCCGCGGCGATTTCTATCCAGAAGAGATCGAGTCGTCGGCCTTGCTGCTTAACATCCCGTTGGAAGCAGTAGATGACCTGTCGATGCCAGGGCGCCATGCGACCCGGGCCCGGCCGCTGGGGCCCTCTGTCCGTCGAGGGGAATCGGGGTCCCGATGAGGGAGCGTCTCGCACTGGGCGACTTTCGGGAGGTCGTCGCCCGTCGCAGATTTCGCGGTTCGGGCGATCCGGGGCTGGACCTGGCCGGCGGCGATGTCCAAGATGACATCCGCTGGATTGTGTCGGGGATCGAAGTCGTAGCCCAGGTGTTCGAAATGGGGTTGGATTCCCTGCACGGGACCGGAGTACAGGGAGCGGCCCGACTGCAAGACGAGGATCGCGTCGAGAGACTCGAAGATCTCAACGCGCGGCTGATGGATGACACAGATTACCGTGATACCCTTCGTGGTCAGCCGCTTCAGGAGCCGGATGATCGACAAGGCCGCCTGCGCGTCGAGTCCCGAGGTGGGTTCGTCGAGAATCAAGACCGCGGGGAGGCCACCAGTTCCAGTGCGATACTGACCCGTTTGCGTTCGCCTCCCGAGACGCCCCGCCGGTGGCCATCCCCGACGATGCTATCCCGAACCCGCGTCAGTTGCAGGCTGTCGATGACCCGCTGCGTGTGGCGGGCGATCTCCCGGTTCGTCCGGGATCCTCCCAGGTGAATCCGGGCCGAGTGAAGGACATTCTCCCAAACAGTGAGGTTCGGGTGAACCACATCATCTTGGGCCACAAACTTGACGAGACCGCGAGTGGCCCGGGACCTAGGTATCTCAGGTCAGTCATATTGTCCGGCGTGGATCAATCGTGGAACCTACTGGGTCAGGTCTTGCTCGACCCCATCCCAGAGCACCGATGCCGACGTCGCCTTGACGCGGCCGGTCAGAACATGGACCAAGGTAGCTGCGAGTGGGTGAGCAAGGGCCATCGTTGAAGAATCCGTGTCACTCACTCTTCCCCGACCCTGAGGGACCTAAGACCCCAAGGAGAGAAGCCTGCGCCGCAACACCGCTGACGCCGTCCAGAATGGTGCCCCCCGTCTGCGGATTGCGAACGATCACGTCTCTGAACTCGATCCGCAGCCCGGCGCCCGGCCTCTCGTCATATTGACCATCACCACCATCACAGTCCAAACTATCTCCCTCTAAACCACAAAGGTATGCTCCACCCAGAAGGCTAGCGGATTGCATCTCCAGTCCTGTCTCAACCCGTGCATCCGACTTCTCCCTCGACGGTCGGCGCGAAACCCGCTTTCTCAGACTCGGCCACACGGTGAGGACCACCAGCGCCAAGTCGATCAGAGCGCAGCACAAGATCCCGAGAAACGGCACCTCCCGACCGCTGCCCTCGGGACAATACGACAGGGCGAGACACTGCACCGGCCTTCTCGCGCCCAGCGGACAGTAATGCCCGGCGGGACACCGAATCTGCTCCCGACCCCCGGGGGGGCAATAGTTGCCCGTCTGGCAAACGGAGGGCTCGTAAATGCCCTGGGATGATTGGCACACATTGTGTTCCATCTGCAGCTTGTATAACAAACACTCCGGCGTCGGGGGACATAGTTCGGGGGGGTGATTGGCCGTGTTATTCGGACCTACAGTAGACATACATCATCAGTCAGACAGCGCTCCACCACACCGCAGCGGACTATAGAAGAGAGGGGAGGGGAACGGACAGTAGAAACCCTCCAAGCAGATATCCTGTAGTGTGAGAGGGATTGGATCACCACCGGAGGCACACGACGCCATGTTCGCGCAATCTCCCACGCGAAGTCCAAAGTCGACACGAAATTCGAGGATCGAGACACCCGTTCACCGGTTTCCAACCGTCTTCTCAACTGCGTGGCGAACGAGGCGTTTGGATCTAGTTCACAGAGACCCAATCGTTCGCGTGTTGCTTTGGACGTCCTGCTCCGACCGATCAACCATCAACATTCCAATCGTCGCGATCCCTGCTTTAGTCTAGAGCCATGCAAGGCGTGTCATTCCGCCACGCCGACTCGCGTCGAATCAAGGGGGTCTCCCCCTTGACCCGACATGATGGGTCGATCAGTTGGACCCATCGCGCCGCCCCGATGCTGTGTTTGTATTGGATCGATGAGTTGGATCATCCGATGTCTGTCCGAGCTCCTCCACCGTCGGATCTGTCATGTGGGGAGATACAAGACACGCATCTATCTGACATATGCCACTGTTAGGGACAGTATGAGCTATCGGATACCCATTCCAGAGGTGGGTTTCACCATCGAATCCTCCCTGTCCTTGCACTACCCGTTGTGGTATCCTTCAAGGCCAGCAGTGCTCACCCATGTCGTCCAACTTCGGAGACTTCGTATTGGAGAGAAGGTTCTGGTCCCAGCAACCCGTCCAGCCGGTTGATGTCGTCGACAGAGCGAAGAAATGAAGTGGGTAAAAGTAGAAGAGTAGAAAAATATCAGGCGCCGCACGTGCTCCGTCACCTGACTACATCTCCTTCTTCTTCACGACTTCAGACAGATTCATCTCGAATTCATCTCGGATTCTACTCATGGCTTGGTTCATTCCTGTCTCGTACTTAATTATATTCTAGCGGGCCTTGAAAGCTAACCCCACTCGCCATACCCAGGCCATACCCTGGCCATACCAGCCCAACACCAGACATCGTTCAAATCACTCCGTCTGCTTCTCTTCGCCGTCTCCCAGAAGCACAGCTACCGACATCCGCTGCAGGAGATGGTGGGCGTGGGAGGAATGGCGGTAGACCCCGCCGTGGAAGGAGGCCGTGGCATCCGTACCCACGGCCTGCCGCAGGAGTGTCTCGCCGCCGGGGTGGCTCGCCATGAAATCGCCCACGTCGTAGAGGACCCCCGCGATGGCCACCAGACATGCGCCCTGCCGCACCGTCGCCCGGTACTGTTCCCAGGACAGGATGGACAGGGGCGGGGCTGGATACTTCGCCGGGAGTCCGAGCCGTTTGCGCGTCTGCCGGTCCCGGGAAGCGTCAATCTCCCGGGCGCTGGTGCGGTGGAGGGCCGTCGCCCAGCCGAGCCGCTCCCACAGGGTGATCACCCATTTGCTAAAATCCAGGTCGTGCGCTCGGGGTCCGTTGCGGTAGTCGGACGGGAACTCGTGGTGGAAGTTATGGTAGCCCTCGCCGAGGGTCACCAGGGCGACGCTGACCAGCTGCCGCGAGGTATTGCTGTCCGAGTACGGTTGGTCGCCCATCCAGTGCGTGGCCGAGTTCGTCAGGAAAGTGCTGTGCCAGGTGATGACGCACCGGAGGAAGCCCCCGTAGAACAGCCCGCCGGCCCAGTCGTTCCACCCCAGGTGGGCGATAGCGGGGGCCGCCACGACGACCCAAAATAAGGCGAGGGGAAAAAAGTACCGGCGCTGCCACCGGGCGACGGGGTCGCTTTTCACATCTCGAATGTCGACGGAGCCCCAGTTCGGGCGGTCATGCACGGTCAGGACCCAGCCGATGTGGGACCAGAAGAATCCCTTGGATGCGTCGTAGGGATCTTGCGGGGTATCGAGATAGCGGTGGTGGGCGCGGTGGTGTCGCACCCACCAGATGATGTCCTTCTGGACGGCCGCGGTGGCTAGGAATGCGAGAGCGTATCTCAGCGGCCGGCAAGCAGTATACGCTCGGTGACCCCACAGACGATGGTATCCTATACCAGAGGGCATGGTTTAGTGGGAGTTCACCCGGCCTGGATCCCCGGGGCGCCTGGGGCTCAGTCCGTCCTACTACTACTAACCAGCTGTCACGGCCACTCCGCTGGCCGTGTGACCCAAAGCGACAAGGAAGCATGTCTTCCAGCGGACCGGGACGAAGAAGAGCGCACCGATGCCCAAAACGTGGAAGATGCTCACGCAAAGAGCGCTCTGGACATCGATCCATCGATGGCATGGGCGAGGACGGGGAACAATTGGGAGGCCAGCCATGGATCAACGATCTAGGTTTCTCTGCTCAATTGAGCTCTGGGTACCAAATTCGCAACGGATCGTTGGGGGGAGGGGGCAGCATGAGATCAACTCGACCTTTAAGTATCCCCAGTGTAGCGAGACGCAGACCCCTCCTGACCATGATCGGAGTATCAGCCATTCCCTCGAAACAACCTCCGCGCCAAATCTTATGCGAGGGTGTTCTCGGCGTGGATTACAGTTTCGTGAATCGGCATCACCATGTCAGATATGGGCCACCGACTTCCGTTGCGGTTCTAGTTGGGCTGTTGCGCGGGTCACAACGCCGCGAGTTGGCCGGATCCCAAGCCAGGGTCCCAGACGGTCCTGAACATCTTCCACACAAACCCACCCCCCCTTGCAGATGGTAAGTGAGTCGAGGACGTGGTGGCCCATCTGACCGGTCATATTCCCATGTCGGATCCTCCTTGCAGAACCCTGTCGCAGTTCATGACTGATCTCTGATTCTTTCGGCCTCCCTCCTTCCCCCCCGCCAAGGTTTTGAATATAGAAGCAGATAACTGCCCGTCGTGGAGTCGAAGCACTATCTGCTGGGCCTCTGCGACGTCCTTGCGCCATGTCGTCCCATCTGCCAACCGTCTACTTCCGCCGGGCCTCGTTCTCGGAGCTCTTTCGCCAAGGTGACCTGCTATATCCCCCTTGTCCCCGGATACGGTTCGGGTGGATCGATTCGACATGGGTCCCGACGTCGCTCTTCCAGGCGACGATAGACGCGAAGCTCCCCATCGTCATCATCGCCGCGTACGCGGCGGCCACGATTTTTCTTAATCGCCGCAATCAGGCACGGCAGGGCCAACCGTGGGCGATCAGCCGCTCGCGGGGCTTCCGCGGGTTTGTCTACCTCCACAACATCGTCCTGACGGGGTACTCGCTGTGGGCCTGCATTAGTATCTGGACCCTCCTCTGGTCCAGCAGAGTCGACCGGCGGGATCCTCTGTACGCATTGCGCACGGCGGATCGCATCTGCGGGGGGCACCATTTCCGGACGGCCAGCGGCCAGTCGGAAGTTGAAGGGCCCTGGACAGCCGCGATCTATGTCGCCTGGACGTTCTACCTCTCCAAGGCGTACGAGATGCTCGACACGATGATCATCCTCGCTAAGGGGAAGCGCGCCTCGGGGCTGCATGTGTATCACCATATGGGCGTGTTGTTCTGCGGCTGGGCAAGCATCCGATACGTCCTGCAAGCGAGCTTCGTCGGTGTTGTGCTCAACTCGACCGTCCACACGCTGGTGGTAAGGCCGTCCGTTCGTCCCTGATTCTCGTCCGAATTCTGGCGCCCCCTGGACTGATCCCACCATCCCACAGTACTCCTATTACACACTCTCCGCCTTCCGCGTGCGCGTCCCCAGTCCGCTGAAGGCTGGGCTAACGGCCATCCAGATCGGCCAGTTTGGGGTCGGGCTCCTCCTCAGCCTGGCCTTCGTCTTCATCCAGTACGATGTTCCGCTACCGATGGACGGGGAGCCGGACCAGGGCTCGCCGCCTACCTCGTCCCCGCGGGTAGCCACCACCACCCGCGGCCGGCTGTCGGGGACGGGAGAGGACGGTCTGGTCCCGCAATACCGCACCGTCACCTGTCTCAGGAACCGGGGGGATATTCTCGTCTTTTGGGGAGGGTTCCTGTACGTTTGCGTCCTGATGCTCCTCTTTGTGGGGTTCTTCCGGCAGACGTACTTGCAGAGACAGAAGGCGAAGACGCAGTGAGGTCTCGTCCTGATAGGACAAGATCAATCGCAATATAATTCAGTGTCAGTATAGGGGAGATGAACAAGCCTATGAGACGGCGAGCCGTAGACGTAGGGGTAGACGTAGAGACGGTTCGACTCTGGCCCTGGGAATCACGAGTGACCACTTCGACTCGACCTATGTGAAGTCTGTCTGCTCCAGACGAGCACAGTATAATCGAGTAGAGTTCGTTCTCAAGTTGCAGGGGTGGATCTTCTCTACACATCTTGGACCGGCATAGGCGTCATTGAACTCATCAGTTTCATTCATTGTCCCGCACCGAGTGAACCATGGGCGTGCATCATATCTCTCATATCTCAGGCTGTCGATGCTCCTCGCACGAAAAGAGGAAGAAAGCAACATGAATAGCAATATCAAGAAGAACAAAAAGGATGTAAATCACAGCGCCGCCACCAATTCATCCACACTCTTCATCTCCCGTCCATTATTCTCCCCCACATCCAACGCCACCAGCACGCGACTGACGCAATTATACCCAGCTATCCCGGTAGTCAACTCGACGATCTCGCGGTCCGAGAGGCCGGCGTCGGACTGCAGTCCCGCAAAGGTATCGTCAGCGACGCGCACCGTCTGGGTCATCTCGTCGACGTAGCGGACGACGGCGCGCTGGGCGGTAGACAGCGCGGTCTCAGCAGCGAGGGCGGCGCGGGCACCGGCAAGGTCCTCTCCGGCGGCGGTGGGAGCCAGATGGCGCACGGCGTGCAGGGCGGGGGCGGGATGCCGCCCTTGAGGGCCAGCGGGGCGTGGGAGTTCCACTCGTAGACGGCGCCGTTGAGGACGGCGACGCGGCAGACGGCCATTTCTAGGAGGCCGGTGTCAACCTGGGTGCGCGTGCGGATGGCGCCCAGGAAGCTGTTCCAGCCGTCGGCGACAGGGGGCGCGTGCAGCAGCGAGAGGTCGAGCGGGATGAGGGGGCGGGGGTGTCGGCGTTCGGCGATGCGCTGGTAGATGGCGACCGTGTCGGGGTCCGCGGAGGGAGGTTCCTGGGGGGCGTAGGGGAGACGCATGATGGATATACAGATCACTGGGTGGGAGTATCTGGGGTTTGGACCCAGGACAGGGGAGTGGGTTTGTAGATACTAGATATACCGTGGGGCATGAGGGGTGGAGAGGGGCAGGGGGTCCAGTCGGTCGGGTAGCCGATCATTGCCGGGGGAGTTTTCTTTAGCCGGATTCAGACGGGACGCCGGTGATGGACTAGACCGGGGTTCCCCGCAGGCTCTTCGGCATTACTACAGACATCTATCGGATTGAAGGAGGAAAGGGAAGCAGGAAGGGAAGATCTCCATTCTGAGTAGATACACGTAAAATTCATGACCAAAAGGGGGGCGCCGGGAGCGCCCGGAAGGGAATCTATTTCTTGTGGGAGTTGTACATGTCGATGACCTTTTGCACCTCACCGCGCGAGCCGAGGTAGACACCGCTGCGGTCGTGGATGTGCTCGGGCATGACCTCGAGCAGACGGTTCATGTGCGAGTCGACGGCCAGACCGCCGGCATTCTCGAACAGCATCGCCATGGGGGCGCACTCGTACAGGATACGCAGCTTGCCCTTGGTGCTCTTGGAGTCGGAAGGGTAGGCGAAAACACCGCCGTAGAGCAGGGTGCGGTAGGCATCGGCGACCATGCTGCCGATGTAGCGGGCGCTGTAGGGCTTGCCGCCGCCGGGGGGGAACTTGAGGGAGTGGAAGTAGGCCTGGGTCCACTCCTCCCAGTAGGAGCTGTTGCCCTCGTTGACGGAGTAGATGGCGCGCTGCTCGGGCAGGCGCATGTTGGGGTGGGTGAGGATGAACTCGCCGAGGGAGTTCTCCATGGTGAAGCCGTTGACGCTGCCGTTGCGCATGGTGATGACCAGCTGGGCGGAGGCGCCGTACATGGTGAAACCGGAGGCGACCATCTCGGTGCCGGGGCGCAGGACGTCCTGGGCGGTGACGGTCTTGTTGGGGCCCAGTAGCTCATCGGGCAGCTTGAAGATACCGAAGATGGTGCCGACCGAGACCCCGGCGTCCAGGTTGGAGGAACCGTCGATGGGGTCGCAGACGACGGCGTAGCGGGCGTAGGGGGCCTCGTCGAAGACGATGGCCTCCTCCTCCTCCTCGGAGATGAGGATGCGGCATTTGCCGGAGCCCTTCATGGCGGAGAGGAAGACATCGTTGCCGATGACGTCGAGCTTCTTCTGGTCATCGCCGGTGGTGTTGGAGGAACCGGCCAGACCGGTGAGGTTGATCAGGGAGGCCCGACGGATGTAGTAGGCGATGGACTTGAAGGCGAACTGCAGGGCGTGGCAGAGGAGACTATCCCGGTTAGTATCGACCATGACCTGACGAGAACGAGGGGCCCCAGGGGGATCGAGGGGGGGACGCGTACGTGAAGTCTCCAGTGGCCTCGGGGATCTTAGTCTGCTCCTCCGTGAGGAAGCGGGTCAGGGTGACAATGTCGGTGTTGATGTTTTCCTGGCCCACGGGAGGGGCGCCATTGCCAGAGGACGACATTCTGAGGGATAGATGGTCGAATTGAGGGTGAATTGACCGTTAGGGATGTGGATAGAAGTGGATAGGAGAGGGGAGACGAGGTGACAGGAGGGGATCGTCGGGGCTTAGGGGCGATGGAGGGGGCGGGGACAACGCAGGAGAGAACCTCGGGTGACGGAGAAAGCAGGAAGCTGACGGAACCGGGTATTTTCCAGTGATGAAGAGGAAAAAGAAGATGAGGAGGAAGAAGATGAGGAGAAAGAAGATGAGGAAAAGGAAGTGAAGAGAGAAAAGATCCCAAAGCAGGTGACCCAACAGCTCCACCCTGGAAACCGGTCAGGGCGGATGACGCATGTGTTGTCATTCTTTCTCTTTTTTTTCCCCTAGATTGGGATGCGGTTTTATGATATCATTTCCAGATCGAATCCATTCTTGCATTATTCTCATTAATTCGTATTTTTCTCAATTGTCGATCCTCAATTCGGTTTCTGACGCCAACTGGTTTCGTCATGCCTGAGGCGGGGAGGGCCTGAGGCGGGGTCCTGCCTGAGGCGGCGGGGCCAGACCCGAGTCCATCTCCGGTTTCACCCGAGCGGATCGTGATTATGTATAGATTGGTAGCAGACATGAACGGACTCAAGATCAACCACGATCAAGATACCCGGAGAGGGTAGACTCCGGCTAGAGACGGCTGGGCAGGGATTCCAGCTCGGACGAATCCGACGCCAAGAGCGATCCCGATTCAGATTATCAACCGCCAACGGGAAAGAGAGGAAGAGGGGGCATCACAAGGGAAACGGAAAAGAGTAAAAAAGAAGAATAAAAAAGAAAAGAAAGACCAACGCCTGTCCTGCCTGTCCGTCCGCGCCTCACGCCGCCCCCGGGGCTTCGCCTTGGCCTCCTTCTTCGCCTTGGCCTCGTCCTTCTTGCGCTTCTTCTCCGCCTGGAGCTTCTCCTCGTGTTTGCGCTTCAGCGATGCCTTCTCCGCGTCTGTCCGCGCCACCGGCCGGAAGAATCCCTCCAGTCGCGACTGCTGCGCGCTCGTCAGGGTCTTCTGGAGTCGCGCCGCCCCGTTGCGCACCCGGTCCTCGTTGAATCCCTTGTCCTGCACCAGGAAGGCCACCAGTCCCTCGACGTCCGGCGCCGTCCACTTGAAGTCGCACGCCGGGTCGTCCGCCCCCCGCACGTCCGGGTTCAAGAACAGCTCCCGCGCGTCCTGGTACGGCCAGTCCGCCGGCAGCACGTACTTCTGCTTCGGGTCGCTCTGGATGGCCGCCACCACCTCCTCCAGTGACCCGTGGTCTCGGATCAACTTGAGCGCTGTGTTGGGTCCCACTTTGGGAATCGGTTCGAGGTAATCGCAGCCGAGAAGGATGCACATGTCGATGAACTGTGTGATTTCGCCCCAGTCAGCCATACACACCCCAGTCCGCACCACCGGATCCCGCCCGACGTACCTGTGATCGATCCATGCCCAGTCCCTCCAACGCCCGCGGCAGGTGGATCTCCTGGATGGGCTCCTTGCGCTGCTCGCTGAACGTCAGGTGCCGCAGCAGGATGGGGGAGTCGAAGCAGAGTGTATCCATGTCCTCCGAGGCGGCCGCGTAGACCTTGCCGGCGCGAGCCAGAACGGCGCACTGGGCCTCGGCCTCGGTGGGCGCGTCGATGTAGGGCACCCCCATCAACTGCAGTAGCCGCTTGCACTCGGCGTTGTGCTCGCGGGTGACCCGCACCGTGCGCCGCGAGAACTTCTCGACATCCTCCGCCGTGCCCGTCTCCTTGGCCTCCTCGTGGGCCTCGGTGGCCTCGCTCTTGCGCGCCGACCGTTTGGCCAGCTCCCCGGACTTGAGCTTGGGCGGGGCGCCGTCGAACACGTAGAGGGGCTTGATGCCATTGTCGACCATGCGTAGGGTGCGGTAGAACATGCCCATCAGGTGGGAGGTGGTCTCGCCCGACTCACTCATCAGCTGCTGTCCTTCCGACCGGACGGCGATGAGGAAGCTGTAGATACTCATCGACCTAGTGGGGGGTCAGTGGAGATCTTCGCTCGGGGGGGTGTCCTTCTCGGTTCGTGTAGACGTACGCATCCTGTCTCGCGTTTACTCGTTAGCCTCTCCATTCCGATAGCCTTCAAAAGTATCAATCACACGTACAATGGCGACCTTGCGACCAAAGTGATTCTTGATATCCCCGTTCTTGACCGCATCGGGGGCATTCTCGGAGATCACCTGGAACAGGTCTAGGCATGGATCAGTAACGTTCGGGGGGGATTCGGGTGTCGTGACGCACGTTTAATACCCATGATGTCGTGTAGTGATTCCGATTGAATAGAAGACTTAGGGAGAAGAATTGAAGAAGAGACAAGAGAAGAGACAAGAGACAAGAGACAAGAGGGACCGTGGAGAAACGCGAGGATGACGCGAATACCGCCTGAGTCAGCCCTGAGTCAGCTGTGCAGGTTATGCAGCTCAACTTTCTTCCCAACAACTTCTTCTCCTTCTCCTCGACGGAGTATACTCTTCACTTCACTTTCCCTTCAACCTCCTCTCTCTCGACACTCCCTCAAACCTCTCAACTCTCTCCTTTCTATACTCCTTCCCATCATGGGCCTCTTCTAAATCTGTCGCGTCGCCGTGATTTCCAATCGGGTCGGCAACGCCCTCGCTTACGCTGTCTGCTGTCCGCCCACCCTCCAATGCCTCTCCGGCCTTCATGAGTCGGACGCCTCTCACGCGAGTCGCGGTTCCCATCCGGGCCCGAGTCGCCCATCTTGGTAGGTGTACGGAACCATTGAGATCGCAGGGACACGGTCATGGGCTGATGCGCGCCCCCGGGATAGTCTGCTCCGTCCGGACCGCCGCAACCAAATCGAACACGCCCGCCCCCGGTCCGCCGCCCCGACGGACCTCCACGGTGGTCGGCGGGAGTTCCGCGATTACTTTGTCACCCATCTCCCCTCCTCCTCGCTCCACCCAGACCCCCGGAGCGCCTTCAGTTCTTTCCACAAACTCCCGCGGGCCGACTCCGTCCCGCACACCGGGGACACCCCGCGCACCCCGGCCACCTTCCAGACCCTGGTCAACCGCGAGACCACCGTCGTGCGCATCCCCCTGCGTAATGCGAAACATCATTTCGGCGCGTCCACCGCCCGCGGCACGCGGCCCACCAACGAGGATACCTGGCAGGCCGGCGTCCTCGACATCCCCGCCTTCGCCAAGCGGCCCCCGCCTCCGTGACCCTCCGGCGGTCCGACGCGGCCACCGGCGAGGGCCGCGGGGCGGACAGCGCCAGCGGCGACCCCCAGGTCTTCTACTTCGGCATCTTCGACGGCCATGGGGGCACCGACTGCAGCACCTACCTGCAGCAACAGCTGCACGAGTACATCCAGAACACCGCCGCCGCCGTCGAACTGCAGTCCAGCCTCCCCCGCGACGCCTGCCTCCGAGACTCGGGCCCGGGCACGGGCGACCGACCCATCGTCCAGGGCGGCAACACCGCCCGCGCCGCCGAGCTGGAGCGGCGACTCGTCCAGCGGTGGCGCTCCCTCGTGGGCGGCTACTTCCGACGCTACGTGCCCGCCCACTTCGCCCACCTCGCGGACCCCGCCGCCGGGTCTGGCGCCGCCGACCGCACGCACGGCGTGACGATCGAGGAGATCCTCGAGTACGCCTTCCTGCGCGCCGACCTGGAGTTCGTTGCGGCGCAGGCCGCCCGGCAGACGGACGACGAGCTGGCCCAGGTCGGCCGGCCCGTCGCCCAGGACCAGATCCTCTACGGGCCACGGCACCCCCGAGTGACGGGCGACGGGGCGCGGGGTCGGTTCAAGGGCGGCAGCACGGCCAGCGTCGCCCTGATCTCGACGCCGACGCCCACGCCCTTTTGGCACCCGGACAGCGCGGCCAGCCTGCTGGTGTCGCACGTGGGCGACACGCGGATGCTGCTGTCCTCGACGGTGACGGGGGAGGCGGTGGCGCTGACGACGGACCACCACCCGTCGGCGCCGGTGGAGGCGACCCGACTGCGGCGGTACGCGGCGACGTTCGTGACGGACTCGTTCGGCGAGGAGCGCATCAGCGGGCTGGCCAACACGCGGGCGTTCGGCGACGTGCAGTCGAAGCGCATCGGCGTGTCGGCGGAGCCGGAGATCCGACGGGTCGAGATGGCGCCGGCCGAGTACGCCTTTTTGGTGCTGGTGTCGGACGGGGTCAGCGGCACGCTGTCGGACCAGGAGGTGGTGGACATCGTCAAGGAGGCCAAGACGCCCGAGGCGGGGGCCCGCGCCGTGGTGGATCTAGCTACTGAGGTGAGTCGCGAAGGCGACAACGCGACCTGCCTGGTGGTGCGACTCGGCGGGTGGGAGCGACGACAAGAGGGGGGCGTTGGTAGTTTGGGGACGAAGGAGACTCGCGACTGGCGCCGCCAGGAGGCGACAGATCCACGACGGTCACGACGGTGATCCTCTTCCTCACCATTGTACATAGACGATCTGTTGACTAGCCCGTATCTGGGAATGTACATTGATTGTGCCTATGGGGTTTGTGGATGGTGTAAACCAGCGCATTGAGTACGTAGTCTACATTCTCTTTCTCCCTCATCCTTATACCATTCATTCCCTTACGCTATCCACCCACCCCACCCATCTCCCCCATATCCATCCTTCCTTGAGAAAATGATCTACGACCCCCGATAAGTCGAATAATTCCACGGCCCCAACAAAACCGGCACATGATAATGGCGCCACCCATCCTTCCCCTCGACCCCCTCCCCCGAACCGTAAAGCGCACCTCCACATCGGGCCAGAAGCTCTCGACGCCCTGGGCCGCGTACCAGGGGCCGACGTCGAAGCGCACCGCCCAGTGGGTGACGGGGTCTGCGTCGGCGGGGAGCGCGGCCAGCACGGCGGCGACGGAGGCTGGTGTTTCTTCTGACCCGGATGATGGGGTCCAGTTGGCGACGCGGCCGTCGGCGTTGGTGGTGGCGTGGTAGGTGGTAGTCGGGGTGGGGGTGTTGCTGGTGGTGGTGGAGGAGGATGGGACGACGCGTGTCAAGGTGACGGGGAGGTTGGCGGCGGGGGTGCCGGTGAGGGTGTTGAGGACGTGACAGGTAATGGGATCGCGCGACATGGTGGGTGGTTTGGTTGTTGATTTGGTTGTTGAAGCGGGGGTGGAGGTTGCAGCTGGAGATGCAGATGCAGATGGAGATGGAGGGGGAATGATCCAGTTTTGGTAACGCGAGAGACGGTCGGTGGCGGTGCGGAGGGAGTTGGAAGCGTCCATTGACTGAATGGTTCAATGGATGAAGAGATCAATATTTGAGAACTGAAGATATGAGAAAGAAGACGAAGAGAAGCAGTAGAGAAAGTGTCGGAGTTCACCGATGCGATCGCTGACTGATATATATTTCTATCTCGGTGGATTCCGATGGGCGTCATGTCCCTGCGCCAACTGGCAGCGTCGCCGCCTGATTAGAGTAACAGTATGAAGTATTAGATTGATATTCCATCATAGTATGATCCTCCCATTCCAAATAACCCATCCCACAGTGATCCTATACCCCATGTCCTCCATGTCCTCCATCCCCATGTCCATGTCCTTCATTCTCTCCCCCATCAAACCCATCCAACCCCTCTGAACCCTCCCTCGAACCTCCCCTAGATTTCCTCGGCCCGTACAATGCCTGCGATCCCGTATATGGCGTCGCGCTTTTGGTGTGCGGCCGCAGCCCCAACTCCGCCATATGTCCCCAGATGCGCTCATGGCGCCGGTCCCACCGCTGGCGCCGATCCTCGGCCTCCTCCCCAGACGGCCGCCACTTGCTCTTGAGGATGCGCCGGATCGCCTCGGGCGACACTTTGAACTGCTCCGCCAGCACCGGCGTCGTGAACCGGTCGGGCGCCACCGCGTGCAGCTGCCGGATCCCGTCCAGCGCGTCCGGCGACAGCTTCTTCTGCGGGCTCCACCCCTCTCCAAACTTGTTCTTCAGCGCGTCCTTCTGCACCTGCCACCCCTCACGCTTCCGCTGCGGCGGCCGTCCCGGGCGCGTGTCCTGCGACGGGGGAGTCCGATCCCGGGACGGCGCCTTGGGTCGTCGGCGTTCTCGTGGTGTTGGGGCCGCGGACGATCGATCGGCGGGCGAGGCATCCGCGGGGCTGGAGGAGGCCGTGTCGCGCCCGGCGACATCGTCCCCAGATCCGGAGGGCCTCGCCAGGCCGCGGGATGTGCCGAAGCGGCGATGTGAGAGCGGTGTCGTGAGGAGGCGACGATCGAGACTGGCGGCGTCTGGAGCCCCGGTGGATCGAAAGACCTGGCGCAGCAGGGTCGGGAGGGCGAGGCGGGCAGACGACGCACAGGGAGGGGCCATAACGACGATGATGAATACCCCACGAAGGAAATCCTCAGTGCACGCAAGGTATGAAATGAAACGGACAGGAAAAGACTTTTGATGGAGATGAAAAGTCGCGACGAGAAGAAAAAACCAGATGAGATCACGGGCCGCACGTGATGTATATGCCCCAGGCAGAAATGGGAGCCTGGAAAAAAAGAAAACCAAAAAATAAAAAATAAAAAAATACAAATGATTTTTTTTTCTTCCTCGCCAACTTCTCTCCTTTCGCTCCAACTTCTTTCTCCCGATCGATCTCTTGCCTGAATCAATTCCCCTGACGATCGCTCAGCCTGGTTCGTGAATTTCTGGTAGGTTTGCACGCCGTCTCCCCATCCCAGATGGTGCTCGAGACTTCACGGTCCTTGGCGGGATGGAGTCATCCCAGCCGCATCAACGTCCGGCCCTCTCATTGCACCTCGCCCTCACCCGCCTCATATCATTAAAAGAGAGAGACTGACGCAGTGGAATATTCCAGTGACAATTGACAGTTGAGGATTCCGACGTTCATCCCGCATTCCCGGCAATCCCACCCCGAACCGATCCCCCGTCGCGACAGACGGCTCCGAAGATACCGACCATGGCCGAAGAACAGAAGACGGTCCCCTCGGCCAACGCCGCCGCCGAACAGGATGTGCAGAACGTGTTGGCGGACTTGAAGGGAGAGAACACCGCCCCCGCCAACGGGGAGGAGAAGAAGGAGGAGGCCCCCGCCGACGCCGACGAGGCGCGCATCGTCGCCGCCGCCGCCCAGCTGGGTGAGAAGTCGGAGAAGGCCGAGGAGCAGAAGGAGCAGAAGGAGCAGCGTGGCCGGGGCGCCGGCCGGAACCAGGCGCGCTTCGACCCCAGCTCCCAGCAGGAGACCGACGACCCCGTCGAGATCCGTAAGCAGGTCGAGTTCTACTTCTCCGACTCCAACCTGCCCATGGACAAGTTCCTGCTCTCCCAGGTCGGCGGTAGCGCCAACCGCCCCGTCGCCCTCGAGCTGCTGTGCTCCTTCAAGCGCATGCGCCGCTTCCAGCCCCGCAGCGCCATCGTCGCCGCCCTCCGCGACTCCGCCGCCGTCGAGCTGACCGAGAACGACACCGCCGTGCGCCGCAAGACCCCGCTCCCCGAGACCGTCAAGGAGGCCCACGACCCCGGCGTCGCCAAGGTCTTCGAGGACAAGGCCATGGGCCGCAGCGTCTACGCCAAGGGATTCGGCGAGGAGGGCCCCACCACCCAGCTCGACATCGAGGCCTTCTTCGCCCCCTACGGCCCCACCAACGCCATCCGTCTGCGTCGCACCCACGACAAGCTCTTCAAGGGCAGCGTCTTCGTCGAGTTCGCCTCCGAGGAGAAGCAGCAGGCCTTCCTGGCCCTCGACCCCAAGCCCCAGTGGCAGGGCAAGGACCTGCTCATCAAGAGCAAGAAGGAGTACTGCGAGGAGAAGGTCAAGGAGATCGAGGCCGGTCGTGTCCGGCCCAGCGGTGGTCGCGGGCGCGGGCGCGGTCGTGGCGGCCGGGGTCACGGCCGGGGTCGCGGCGGTCGCAACGGCGGCGATTGGCGCCAGCGTCGCAACGAGGACCAGCAGAAGGACAGCCAGGGTGAGCGCCGCGACGTGCAGAAGGATGCTCGGTATGTTCTTTCCCTTCCTTTCAATATCTTATCCCACCCTATTCATCCGTGTATGAGACTAACCCGTCCAGTGGCGTCCCCGTCGTGCAGAGCACCACCGACAGCGCGGAATCCGGCCAGAAGCGTAGCCGCGACGACGAGTCCTCTGCGCAGCCCCCCGCCAAGAAGGTGGACGCGAAGGAATAGATTCGCTTTCGATCTCGGAAGATGGGATGGGCATCGTGGGATGCCCGGCGAGGGGAAAAAACTACATTTATCACGGATATCATTGATCCGATCGGCGTTGTTGTACACGTGAATGAATTATTTGCTCCTGGTTTGGTCGGATGCGTTTTTCCACTGCAATAATAGATTAGCCTTTCTCTAGTAGACCTGCTATACTTGGGTAGATATCACTACGATTGAATAATCCTAACACCAAAAAGAAGAGAAGAAAAAAAAGAACGAATAATCCAAAACAGGCTAGACTGATATATTCAAAACGACAACGCCTCCAGTGCAATACCCCAAGACTCCAATGCGTGCTCAGTGGCCGGCGCTCGAACGCCGCTTCGTGAGCGCATCGATCACCCGCGTGTAGAATTTCGACGCCTGCTGCCGCACAAAGGTGATGTCCACCGTCAGGTACTCGGGCAGGAGGTCCACCAGCTCGCGGTCGCGGCTCTCGTCCAGCAGCGGGAGGTACTGGAATTCGGCGTTCTCGAAGTTGGCGGCCGAGACGTGCGGTACGAGCAGTTTGAAGTGGAGGGCTGTGTGAACGTGAGTAGGTGGATGATAAAACACCGAGAAGGAGGGACCTACTGCCATTGACGCCGGTCTGGATGCAGTCGTAGAGGCAATCGGCCTCGCGCTGCTTCACGTCGCGGATGATCAGCCCCGTCAGGTCGCTGTAGAGATCCTCCTTGAGCTGCGCGACGGTCGCCGCCTGCGCTGCCTCGGCGCTGACCGCGGCGATCGCCCGGTTGTTGCCGCCCTTGACGGCGCTGCCGGGCGCCTTGGCGGCGGCATTCTCGATGCTGGCCGCCGTGTTGCGCGCCGCCGCCAGCTTGGTCTGCAGGGCCTTGACCTCGGTCTGGGCCGAGGCCAGCTGGCCCTGGGCCTCGTCCGCCTCAGCTTTGAACTGCGCGGCTTCGGCATCCCGCTGCTTCAGCTGTTTCTGCAGGCCCCGACTCTGTTGGCCCAGAGCCTTCTGCGCGTCCAATTCGCTCTTCAGCGAGGCGACCAGGTTGTTAGAGGCTGCGATGGTTAGTCAAGACTCAGACTCGAATGAACGACATGGCTGGTATGGGGCGAAGGGTTCAACGTGAACATACCGGTGGAGATGGCTTCGCACTGTTTCCGTAGCTTGTCCACGTTGGCGTTGGCCTCGACGACCCCGATCTCCTTGAGGGTCCGATACCGATTCTCCAGAGCATCGAACTTCTTCGTCAGGTCGCCGAGCCGGCGTCGCAATTCCGGGTCACCATTGGACCGCTCCTCGTCGGTCCCGACCTTCCGTTTCAGCGGGGAGTACGACGGCGGACGCTGCGTGGACTGTCTGCGTTTTGTCGGCGAGGCCGACACCGACCGACGGGGCGGTGGTGCGCTGTCTTCCTCCTCCTCGATCATGGTATCCTCCACGACCTCCAGCGCCGCTTCCACCTCCTCCGCGGGGACCGGTGCCTCCTCCTGGACTTTCTTGGCGGGCGCCCGTCGCGAGCGCTTAGGCTTCTCCTCCGCCTCCTTGCGCGGGTCCGGCAGTTTGACCTGCCGCGTCCCCGCCGGGGTGTATTCGAACTCCCCGTCGACCGTCACTTGCTTCCCGGAGCTGCCCTTCCGTCGACCCCGCCCGCTCTTGGGTTTCGCGGGCGCTGCCGCAGATCGGGACGACGACTGGGCGCCCTTCTGCGGAGCGTCGAGCTCATCCTGAGACACCGCGGCGCCCTCCGCCGGCGGATGCTCACCGTCGTCGACCGCACCGTCCAGCTGCTCGACCTGAGTCCCCGGGATCTCGTCGGGGACGGCATGCGACGAGTTGCGACTCCCCTTAGGCCTCCCCCGACGCGTCGTCCGGCGGGTGGACACTGGCTCCGGTTCCTCCGGGGCCGCAGCCGCCACAGAGCTGCGCTTCGTCTGCACGGGGAGTGGCTTTCCATCGCCGGACTTGGATCGTGGACGACCGCGTTGTTTCTTCGTGGGGCGCTCGGCATCGCGCGGTTCCTGGGTCTCGGGAATCTGCATCATGGGGTCTTCGTCGTCGGACCCGATCAGGCCCGTGAAGCTAGCGGAGGCCGCAGTGGTCGCTTTTCGCTTGGGCATGGTTAGGTGTATTGAGGGGAGGTCAGGCGCATTGGTCTTGGTGGTCGTCGTGATGGCATTTCCATCGCGATCTCAGGGACGCGTCGGTGAGTGCTTATGTCAGCATTCTGCCTACGTTTACCGCTAAGCATGTGCATGACCTGTGCATGCTGATTCAGCTGCATCATTTATGCGTCTTCTACTTCGACTTCACTTCGTTGCTTCTTTTCTTTCTCATGTCTCCTCTAGGTCAGTTCATTTCTTAATTTGTTATTCTTTCAAATTAACAAGCTCATAAGACTATGACACATCCCTACTTCGTTTGATGTATACGAAAATCGATCTCCATGAGTGGGAGGCTTCCCGCATCGAGGTTGATATAAATATACAGTCAGATGGCCCCGACAGTGGTCTCCACCACGCATGACAGGAGCCTACTGAAAGTGAGACGGGGCAGTGCAGGGTACTTCTGTAGGTCTATTAAGTCTACCGGATTAGAATAATCCGGATTGCTGTGAGATCCGTGAGCACGGTGAGTAGCTAATGTATCTCTTCATTGTTGTATGGCTACACGCATGTCTGTATTGACTCGCGTGCATATACCAAACGATGGTAAAACATGATATAGAAATGAACCAAAAATAAAACCAAACAACCTAATCTCTAGGTCTAGTGCTGTCATGAGTCGTGAGTCGTGAGTCAGATATTCAACCAGGCATTGCCGGTCATCAATCATGAGGTCAATAGAGGCCGTCAGCAGATAACAACGCCAGAACCGAAAGGAGAATGAGAAAAGACAAGAGAAGAAAAAAAGCCACCCAGATAGACACAGACTCCCTTGAATAACAAATATGATACCACAAGGAAAATAAGATATCACCGCTCATACATGCTCGACCGCCACCCCCTCGAAGGATACTCTCCCTCTCCCAACCCCATTCCCATTCCCATCTCCATCTCCATCGGCGGTGCCAGGGCCCCGCCACCTCCCCGATTCCAAGATGCCGATACTGATGCCGATCCCGGCCCCGGACTCACCGTCGACCAGCGCGAGGGCCGCGCGCTGGGACCAGCACCGGCACCCA